GACAGGCCCACCAGTAATCTCATGTATAGCATCACAACATATGGATGGGCCCTTCAGTAGTATTATTTATATCATCACAACATATGGGTGGGCCCAGCCCTAGTAAGATGTACCCTGTCAAAACATAAAGACAGGCCCATCACTAATATCATTTAATAGAGTCACAACATATGGATGGGCCCTTCAGTATATTATTTATATTGTCACAGCATATGGACAGGCCTGTCCACAGTAAGATGTACCTCTGATGAAACATAAAGATGGGCCTGTCAGTAATCTCATGTATAGCATCACAACATATGGACAGGCCCTTCAGTAGTATTATTTATATAGTCACAACATATGGGTGGGTCCAGCCCTAGTAAGATGTACCCTGTCAAAACATAAAGACAGGCCCATCACTAATATCATTTAATAGAGTCACAACATATGGATGGGCCCATCCACAGTAAGATGTACCTCTGACAAAACATAAAGATGGGCCTGTCAGTAATGTTGTTTAATAGCATCACAACATAAGGACAGGCCCTTCAGTAGTATTGTTTATATTGTTGCAACATATGGATGGGCCCATCAGTAATATCATCTAATAGTGTCACAACATAAGGACAGGCCCTTCAGCAGTATCATGTATATCATCACAACAAATGGATGGGACCATCTAGCAAGATGCACCCCTGTCACACCCCTGTCACAACATAAGGACAAGTCCATGTATGGTATTCTTGGCAGCAGAGAGGGAGATCCAAGCTATCTACATAAGGACAGTCTGTGTAGGGCATTCTCAGGCAGCAGAAAGGGAGATCAAAGGGATCTACATAAGGACAGGCCCATCCATGGCATTCTCAGGCAGCAGATAAGGGAAAACAGAAACCAGTGTTACAACATAAGATGGGCCAATCTGTCCATTGCAGGATTACAAACCCTTGGCACCACATAAGATGGGCCAATCCATCATATCATAGATAGCTCACCACAAATGGATGGGCCTATCCATAATTGGGTTATCCCCCTGTCACAATATATACAATGGGCCCAGGAAGACAAGAGATGAAGAAAGTGGAACCTCTTGCACTATAGAGTATCTAAATTTCCCACTATAAATTGTGTTTCACATTGGATGATTTGCCTATTCAGTTGGAATCTCAGGTGCTGGTCTATGTAGCTGCAAGCCAGGACTCTGCCATTGGAGCAGACAGGAAACATGCAAAACAAACAGCAATGCTATTCCAGAACAATGCATCATATTTTTATCTGAGCCTCTGCTTCATATATACATTCAGGATTATTGACTTGTACTGGTATTGCCATCATGCCATGGGAATCATTCATAGGTGGGACAAAAAATGTGACATCTGCATATCTCATCATCTGTCTTTAACCTCTGACTCTTCCACTCTCCAATCACCATTACCACTCTCACCATCAAACTACTCCATCATCTCATCATCAGAAACATGTCATCATTGTCATCTTGCAAGCTCTTCAAGAAATCACCTGAGCTTGATGCTGCAGCCAACTGCATCCTTCAAATTTACTTCAAGGATATCATGGAAAGTAGCAAGCTGGGAAAGGTGGACAAGATTGTGAAGTGGAGAGGTGCCATCAAGGTGATGAATGATGAACTAGTGCATCATAGCATCATCACATTTTTTCACTAACTGATGCATTCAGGATGCTGTATGTGACCTCATTGCTAGGATGGATGAGATTCTGATGACCCTCATTGGTGTCAACATGTTCTTAAAGTGGCATGAAGACCTTGGCCTGATTGAGCACCCATGGCCTGAGTGGAAGACCACCCTATCCCCTTCCAAAACCAATGTTGCCAACCACAAGTGGCTTGACATCATCAAGCATCAATATGACTACCACCAGTTGGGCCTCCCTATGCCCCATGTGGTGCCAACACCAACACCACCTGCTCAAGAGACCAAAATCCTGATGAGTGACAAAGGAAAATAGAAAGCAACTGAGGCAGAGGTGGAGCAAATGATAGCAGAGAGCTCACACAGGATGGAGGTGGATGATGAGGGTGAAGATGAGGTGCCAGAGAAGGAGGACAATGAGGAAGAACCAGCACAAGGCAGGCAGAAGCACAAAGCTGCCATGAAAATGATGTCCCATCAATCCAGATATTGGTCCCACTCTAGGAAGGCAACTGTGGAAACTAACAATGATGATGATGTTCCCACTCAAGGCCAATCAAAATGCAAGCCTTGTCCACTGTCAGATGGACTATACAGTTGTGCTGCTGTAGCTGCCAGAAGGATGCTTCCCCCAACCCCCATTCCTGTGAGTCATGCCACAGATGCAAGGTCTGATGCTACAAGAACCCTGGGAAGTCCTGCTTCCCATGCAACAGTCACAAGATTCGATGTAGCCATGCCAAAGGTGGGATTGCTGCTCCAACTTGATGGAATCCATCATGAGCCAGGGGAAAAAAGTGAGCTCAAAGTCTGTCCCTGACAATGGAGGCCCAAGAATCCCAAAGCCCAAAGGAACATCCCCCAAAGTGACATGTTTTGATGGCTTCCAAAGCCATCAACACTGGGGTTGGGCCCTCCAACCAGGGAGAGACAATCCCCAAGGGATCTTCACTCAGTACGTTCACAATTTCATGTATTTATGCTGACTCAAATTTTATTCAGAGATTCATATTCCTGCATTCAAATGCAGGGATTCCCACCCAACCCCAGCTGCTGTATGAGTGGATTTGATTGTCAAGGCTGGCCCATCCATTGTGCAGGAGGTAGAGGAATCTATGGTAGCAGGTATGTTTAATCACTCCACATTTATGCTAATTATCACAGTTAACCCTTGTGTTCAAAGCAGACACCTGCCCATTGACAACAGCAGCACCCATCCAACTCACAACCACTGCAACTCCCAGTGCACTGTCACCTGTCTGTGCCCCAATTGCCAAGGTGTCACAAATGTCCAACACAATCAAAGAGTGAATTGAAGATTTGGAATGTTGACTCTGCAATGCTGAGGCCCACCACCATTACTATGAGGATCAAATGTATGATTTCCAAATACAACATGATGAAACCATGCAGACACTGGACATGATGGCTTGTGAGCTGGAGGCTCTGTGTATTCAGGTATATGGATGAGCATTGGGTGACAGTCTCATTGATCTCTTAGGGCCTCTGGCAGATGAGACAAGGGTGGATAGTACAGCAGCTTTGACAACCACTGCCTCAACCACCACTACTCTCTTGTCAGCAAAAGCTATGCAGGCCTCAAGTCATCTCTATGACATACTATCACTTGAAGATGATGGCTCAAATTTCCAGACATGGAAAGTAAGGATCTGCATGGTGCTCAACATACAAGACCTATGGGAAGTTATTGACAGAAACACAACTACAGTGCCTGATCCTAAAGTCGACCCTAATGGCCATATGGACTGGTTGATAAAGGACAAAGAGGCATGAGCCCAGATCATACTCACACTGAAAGATGAACCCCTCACTGGAGTTCTTCATGTGACAACAGCAGCCGAAATCAGGAAAAAGTCATGTCAGCAGTACAAAGGGCATGGCAAGCAGACTATAGCCTATCTAATAGGCAAGCTGTTCCATGGCATGCTCTCAGATGACAGTCCAATGGAAAGCCAGCTAAATGCTATGTGGCACAAAGCATGCACACTAAAGTCACTCAGCCAAACTCTCGACAACTCCCTTGTAGCCATTGCTATGGTAATCTCCTTACCACCCTCCTATGCAACACTCTGCACAATCTTGATGTCTTCAAATGACAAACTGTCAATCAACTCAGTGATCTTGCAGGTTCTAATTGAGGAGAAGTCATGTCAACTTGCCTCCAGTGGGCAAACTGCACTCATCTCCAGGACATCTGCTCAGCAAAAGTCAAAAGCAAATGATGACAGAGAAAAGGTCAAGTGCAGGTACTGCAAAAAGAGAGGACACAGTGAAGATGAATGTCAAAAAAAGAAAGCTGATGAAGCTTCAAAAAATGTGACATCAGATGACAAGGGAAAGGCAGGAGAGAAGGAAAAGGATGAACTTGCTGCCAAGTTCACACATGTATCCTCTGAGTACAATGTGCCACTCTGCCTCTTTTTAGCACATGCACACAGCCATCCTCCACACACACACTGGATCCTTGACTCCAGAGCCTCTGCTCACATGAGCTGTTAATACAGTTGGTTCACCTCACTTAAATGGCTTGCACCTACACAGCCTATTACAGTCACAAATGGAAACACTGTGCATGCAGTCGCAGTTGGCCATATAACTCTTGATATGGACCTCAGGGACAGACAGAAAAGTTGCATCATCCTACATGATGTCTACTATGTGCCATCTTTAAGCTCAAACTTGCTGTCAGTCCCATCCCTCACCAGTCAGGGAGTATGATTCACCTTCAAACAAGATAAGTGTCAGTTGGTCAACAGCCAGTTGGGAACTGTTGGAGTTGCTATTCATAAGAAGACTGGACTCTACATACTCACTGCAAAATCATGCATCCAAAATGATGCCTCATACATGCTGTGTAACTCTGTCTTCCCATTCTGCAATTCCAACATCTTGCTGTCTGAGTCATGTGCAGGGTCAGAAGCTTCACTCAAAAGCTGGCACTCTAGCCCAGACTGGTGTGCAAGTAAAAAACCCACACACAGACTTGTCAATACAGACATGGTTGATGAAACAGAAGTTATGGACTGCACACAGCACCCTACAGCAGCATATCACCTTCATCTTGAAGAGACACAGCAGATCAACTTAACCCCACCTAAGTCCTATTAATGACACTCATGGTGCACCCTACCAGACCTACTCAGCCTTCAATGGATCCATACCAACATCTTGGACAGACCATCAGTCAGAAAAGACCCTTGACTCAACTGACAAGGTTCACACTTGAGCAGAAATCAAAACTGGTGAATGTCCTAAGCACCTCTTGACCAATCATAAGGGTGAATACAACTCAGAAGAGTTAATCACCTACCTCAATCCCAAGACAGCCTGCTACAAGATGTCAAACACATGAACTCCAGGCCACATAGCTGAGTGTGCAACTTGCACACTTGTCCTGCCCAGCAAGAACTGCACAGATGCAGTCATACCTGCAGTACATACTCCAGGTGCACTAACAAATCATACTACATTTGACAAAACAACCTTGGGGGCATCTGCATGCCTGAACAGACCAGGCATCCACAAGCTTGAGACACACAGCATCATCCCTCTTGAGGGTGACTACACAGGGTCAAACAAAGCAATCACAGCCAAGTTACCTGTGGGCACTTGGGCTGTGAGCAGGGAAAGCAGCAAATATGATGCAGACTCACCAGCCACCTCTATGATTGCATGTGCTGGTAGCATGAGCACAAACCTGGGGCAGATGAGCCCAGATCTTCAATCAGGCATGCCCAGTGCTAAAGACATCCCTAGAAAGGTTGAAGACAGCCCAAACAAGCCATTCATCAAACACAATTGGTCCCCAACACCATCTGAGGAGCCAGATAAGTGCTCCAGTCAAACAGAGGCTCTTGCCTCAAAATCTAAACAAACCTTGGTCAAAAAACCAAGTAGCTGTCCTACAGAATGTAGCTAGCCACCTCCTAGGGCCATAGGTCATCTACAAAGCCTGCTACAACAGTGCCTGAGCCTGGAATCACCTCAAAAGTCCAGGTTAGCTCCAAAGCACCCCAAGCCATCATTTCACACCAGCTATAGCCTCTCCCTTGAAAATTGGGATGCCAAATTGACCTATGGGAAGGATAGTGTCAGTACAAGAGGCAACAAGGGTGGAGGAGATGAGATGACAAGTGTAGAGGGCCAACATGCAGCCAGCAAGGCTGTGGAGGTGCATCAGAACAATCAACAACAGACTGCTTACAAATCAAATGCACATGCACACAGCAACTCTGTGCCACACAACAAAGCTACTCACAGCTTGAATGTTGGCCCCAGAAGTGCCACCAATGCAAATCCTTCACCTACAACATATCTACACAAGGTGTTACATGAAGGGTATGGACTTATTTTTCAAACCATGACTTGCTGAGGGGGCATGTTGGAACATACTGTTGTTCTGTACAGTAAGCACTGCTTACATAATATTCCCATACAATTTAGCCACTTCATTTTTCCTTGTACCTCAGACTTTGTCCTACTTCAAAGACTGAGGTAATGTTCCTTACTGGTATTATACCCTACTTTTACTTACCAGCTTGAGTAGTTTTCACACTCTAGGTTGGTTAATAATACAGACTTTGTCCTACTTCAAAGACTGAGTTTTCACACTCTAGTTCACCCTGCAACCTTGGTCCCTTCTCAAAACCTTTTCCCTCATATCATTGTGGGGAGAGCAATCTCCCTACACTAGGAGTGTGTGTACAGTGTCAATTGGAGGTCTACTAAGTGTCTATAGGCTCTGCAATAAAAGTGATGCAAATGTGACCACTCCTGAGCATCTTTGACACCCTCCATACTCCAGGTTGCCCAATACTCCACCCTTTTTGGTCAAACCACTTCCCCTGCCATTGCATGACCTCTAGACACTCCTCTTGGCCATTGCAATGAAGTTCCAACACTTGTGACTGCTTTCAGGCCACCTGCACTTGCTCACTCATGCTCTTCAGGCCTGCACTATCAGTTATGTAAGCATGTTTCTGTAGCTCTCACTGTGTTCTTGTTCACATCCCTTCAGACCACTTGCACTTCCTTGCACTTCCTTTACTTTAGCTGCTCCTTTGATTGTTGATGCCATACTGACCTCATGGCCATTATTACATCAATCTCAACTAATTACCATCCTTTCCTGTCACTCTTTTCACTTTTGATGTCACTTAGTTCATAGTTACATACTCTGCATGTAGCTACACTTATACCTGTCTGTGTTGACAGAAAAAATAACAATTTGGAAGCCCCCAAGTTAGAGACAAAGAGAGCAAGCAGAATAATGACATTGACATAATCCCTTCCCTTTTCCCTGCCTAGCACTGAGTCACAGGCATAGTTCTGACACTTTTCTAGGCTGGTTCAAGGCCTGTCTGCCCCTTAATCCACCACACTTTTAATTTGGAAGTCAATCAACTTGCATGACTCAGTCACATCCACTCCCTACCCCCTCCTACAGCTAGAGTGACTCCCCTTGGGTTGAACTCACCCCTTCAGATTGCCTATCCCTAGGCTGGAGCCCACAACCTCATACTAGGTAGCAGATACCTGCTCCCCACATTGTTTGCTGAGTTTGGTCCAGGCTTCTGCTGCTATCTTTGTGTGTATGACACCACTTAATGGCTTGTCCTTTAGTGTGAGGAGGATTTGTGCTCATGCTTCCTTATTCCTTGTCTCCCATTCAGCATAGTCATTCAGGTTCATCTTGGCATCAGCTGCTTTCTTTTCCAAGCCACCAACCACAGACCACAACCCACATAGATCCAGTACCATCTCCACCTGTGCCTTCCAATTTTGGAAGTTCAAACCATTACTGTTGAACAGTGGGATGTCATACAAGTGACTCAAGCCTTGAGTCACCTTGCCAGATGTTGTTGCAGATGAGGTAAATGCCACTGCAGGCAGTTTCCCTGCTGCAGAGACTAAGGGAGGATTTGACATGTCTTCAGACTAAATTTCTGTCATAGGAACCTTGTAGTCAAATTTGTGAAAATGGAAGTTGAGTGATATGAGCAGGGCTCATAACCTTTTAAAGGTTACAAATGATGAGTATATTGCTAGAGTAAGGTAACTAAATAGAATTTGTATGGTCTGGTACTAAAGATATGAAAAGAAGACATTACCTCAGGCTTCAAGTTGGACAAAGACTGAGGTGCAAAGGAAAATTTTTTCTGCCCACAACGAGTGGTGATTATGTAAGTAGGAAGTTCTCACTGTTCTGCATACCATCCAATCTCCAACATCAGGCACCCTGAACAGCTGCCCCCACTGCCAAAGACATGCCACTGCAATTGGGTGGCCAACAGAAAATTCAGTCTACCAGCACCACCACTTGTGAACTTTCCAGAATAAACTGACTTAAACCTACTGGCATGAATGCTTCATACTGTTGGAATCTGTAGGAAGCCTGTACCGGTTTCAGGTATTAACAGTTGTAAATTATTCGTCGGATCCTTTTTCCCATCCTTTGGACCGCTCAACAGCACACAGCCACACCAACCACCTTCGCTCTCTCTCCTTATCTGACAACCTAGGTAGGAATGTCTTACTTCCCTTGGTATTTACTTGAGCAAATGTGCGAGGGTCGGACGAATCCCATCCAAACAAGTGGATGGAGGCCCCAGCCAGTAGGGCCGATCCAAGTGCCGTAGACCTATTTTCAGTTTCAACTACATATATAGACAAACGACAATGGGAATTATCCACGTACTCTCTCATTTCTGGCCTAACAACTTCAAACCCGCCAACGTCTGCTAATACCTCCATGCAGACATCTCCATTCGTCATTCCCCCGTCTACTTTCAGATGTTTGAGGTCTGTCTTAGAGTCTAACTTCATGCTTTCGAGGATGGCTCTTGTCTGGAAAGCGTTTGCTTCCGTTGTTGCCCGAGCAATGTGTGCGGGAGTTGTATAAGCCGACAGCCCTGGGCAGGTGGGATCAAATAGCCAACAGCCGAATAATGACCCTACTTACCAATAAGCAATCCAGCTGCCCCGGGATCCCAGTAGGGTGCAAGAAGCCCGGAGAACGCTGGCACAAAATAGACGCCTCCGGTATCTGGAACGGAAACAGCAAGTGTGTTTATTTCTTCCGCAGACTTAATAAAGCCCATTGAATCTCGTAACCTGAGATCGGTTGGAGCAGACTTAGCGATAGGACCATAACAAACACACCATTTGATGGCAGCTCCAGCAACACCAACTTGGTAAACCATCAGCTGGGACACACGGTCCGTGCATTGGACGTGAAACTCACTGCTCCCTTCTACGGCGTACACTGGCGCAGCGCCAGGGCCAGGCTGATACGCCACCTAGAGGAAATGTGGAAGATGGTAAGCATTCAATGGTGGCGAATTAATCAACACCCACGGTGCTCAGCAGCCCGTGACTACTCTTTACGATATCATTTCCCGTGCAAAACAACAAAAAGGCACCCGTCCCATAAGTGCACTTCGCCTCCCCTTGCCCAAAACACTTGTTTCCGACAAGTGCGCCTTGTTGATCACCAATCAACGCTCCTATAGGTACGCCTTTAAGAGGACCACTGGCTACGTGACCGTATACTTCGGAGGACGACACCAGCTTAGGAAGAATCGATGGTCTGAAGCCAAAGAACTTGAGGAGGCGATCGTCCCATTGTAAGGTGCGAAGATTCATCAAAAGCGTCCGAGACGCGTTAGTCACCTCACCAACATGAATACCGCCGCTAGCTCCACCCGTTAGATTCTGCAGATTTCCCTAAATCACACGGTGCAGCGCGTAGGTTGTGAAGGCACCCTTACATATGCGATCCACGACTCTACCGTTCCAAAGAGCAAGTTGTCTGCTTCGTATGCCCTCTTCACATCGTCGTCGTTGTCAATCATCCACCGAAGCTTGATCGCCGAAAAGTAGGTCGAAAGGCCGAGTCCGGTGCTTTGTGAAGTGAGTTTCTCCCTATTCATAATGAAATCGATCGGTTTGCCTCACATTTCTCGTAATGCCTCAACCCCATCAACCCCCTTCCTGAACTGACCAGTCTCAATTTCAATCCCAGTTGCAGCAAGTATCTTTTCAAAGTGCGCGACGATGTTCTTCGTACGGGAATCAGTCCAAACGATAGCCCGACATAGTGGCCTTCCGGTGCTGCGACTCCAGACGACAGTCGTTTCCCTTTGGTTGGTGACGCCTTGACGAATAAGTGAGCAATATCACCAGAGGGTAACCAGAAAATATGACATAGGCATCCACAGACCAATTACTCTGATGCTCTCTTTCGCCCATTGGGCTTCTTCTAATTTCCTGCAAGCTTCTGCGATGCATTCATTGGAAACCTGCTGTATCTCATTGGCATCATGCTCGTGCCACCTGTGTAGTGTCTCAGTCTTGTAAATGATCATCGGAAAACCGGACCTTACCCAGGAGCTGGGTAATATTGAGGAAATTCCAGTTGGTGTTGGGCGATGATGTTTGCATACTGGTCGAAGACAATAAATCGAACAGACCTGTGGGTTAAGGGGGAGCACCATGATCTCTATTTTCCCTCTCGCGTGCAAAGACAAGCTTACGTTGTTCCGCAATCCAATGAGCCTACAAACTCACCCAATCGTAGATCAGACATGGTAGTTTGATAAGAACATCACCATGCGTTGGGCCCCACATGCCATAGAACCGCTAGTAACATAGACAAATACTAATATCGATTCCGACGTCTAGCGGAGACGAGCGGACCATCGGTCCGACCGTAACCTGGGTCTACACACTGTTGACTACGTACTTGTACGTATTCACGTGTTTCCTAAAGAAATACTGAAAGGAGAGGAAAGGGCAATAATGCACGTGTTACCCGTGAGGTTGCACTCTGGTCAGCGTAATCTAGCCAGAACACCAAGTACGGGCGACGAGAGAAAATACTCACGGGTAGCTAGTCGCAACTACCATCAGGAGGTCCATCCTTCCATCTTTCATCCACCTTGGCACAATCAAATTTATCTTTCCCCAGTCTCTCATTCACCTCGTTATGCCTTTCGCACAGCCAACGACTGAGGGCAACTCGTCCACTCACATCAGGAGGATTCGTCCTCATGGTCTCACCAAGGTGGGACGCACAGTGTGAACACGGATATAAGACGGGCAACGAATGTAGAAGGTTGAGCATATTTGCCCGTTGCTGCGGAGTCGGACGGGCTGGGTAGTATGCCGCAGTAGTGTGCAGGAACGTCCACGTCGCACGACCGAGCTGCTCAACATCTGGTGGGCAATAGGCAGGCTGACCGTCCGAGCGTTGGTCTGAACGGAGGTTTGCTGCAGTTGCGAGTGCCGCCATTGATGCTGTAGATGCCTTGGGCTTCCAGTTTCGGAAGGCTGTGCAGATCTTGCAGGGCTTTCCATCTGGCCCAATGACCATCCCCGGCGGAAGATTCTGAGGTGGTCGAGAGGCCGAGTCGGACGACGCGGGGGTGATGCCCATACGTGTTGGCTGCCAACGGACGGAGGCGGACGGAGGGACGGCGGGCCACGGCAGCGCACGGTATCACGTGACTCGACCGAAAGTTTGATCTTGGAAATGCTGAATGGCAAATGGGACCTACCCGGGCGACACCAGAACGACATGGCAGTCAACCACGCCAACGTCTTGCACGACCAAGCCCGTTTTTCACACGCCGACACGCCTTAACAAGGCGTCGACCAACGAAGTGGCAAGTATATTCGCAGTGGCACCAATGCCACCCTCCGTGTTCTCCGACGGGAAAGCGTGGAGAGGTCTTTGCAGCTGGATTCGACCATTATGAGTGCTCTTCACGTGGTCTCAGCAAAAAACAGCGCTGTCTCCATTGAAAACGATCACGTTGTCTATAGCTTGCTCAACGCGATCACTCGTTTCAGGCGGAATGTCGAGAGGCGGGCCACGAAGGTACTTGAATCCGTGATCGCATTCTCCCTTGACCTCAGTGCAGTGCTAGAGAGTCGCGTGCCCTCATTCTTCATCGAGGAGGAATTTCCTAACTCGGCACCGCATCGCCAAACGAAGTATCGTGACGCTGAACCTCCGTTTCCAAAGATGATGCAGTATAGTCTTTCGGTGGAAGCTATGAGATTGGCCAAAGATTTCGACTGCCATGATGTCAGTCTCTCAGCAGAATGCTACTTCCTGATCGGGTGATCGCTCAAATCGCGCCTCCTATGTTGGCTTTGTGAAGGCGAAGCCATCAGCCATGTACATCTTTTTCGGAAGACGCGGGCGGAAGGGCGGGAAGTCGGAAAGGCGGACTCGCCGCCCCGCCAGAGTTTCCCAATTTTATGACGGCTTCAATGACCTGATCTACTATGCAAGGCGTTATTTTCAATATGGCATTAACTATCGTTGGGTTGACCTGTCACGGGCACTGGCGAGACTACCATTAATTGTACTTGATGATGACTACTTAAGGGCCTTAGCCTTGGCAATCCCGTCTCAGAGGGAACTGTAGCCGCACTGCGCGACATGAAGGGGTTGTGCGATAACCATATCCTCTAGACCCAACTTCACGAGGAATTTACGTCATGTTTCATCTCACCCAACCCATTCATTGATTCGGATCATCAAGAATGGCAGCCTATCGGACGGACCTCCCTATGCTGTGCCCTGCGGATCGAAACATACAATAGGGCATTCTACATCAGGTGGTTGCCGTGATAAGCTATATGGTATCTGGGCTCTTCCAGGTTGTTTGCATGCGCACGCCGATGTGCAGGATAGAACGTCCTGCGGAAAGTTGATATGCACCTCGCTAACACTCTGGATTAGATATTCTCTCGCCTGAGAAGAGAAGGACGAAACCTACAGAAGCACAGACAGCGTGGGGGGAATGCATTTTATGTAGTTCATTATCTAGTCCTCTATGCCAAAATATATGGCATACACGCAGAATAAGTCACACCAATGATGCGAAAGAAGTAACATAGTCCTCGGCGGCCTTAATTTCTGGAGTGACGGTTCCGACTGAGATTTCCTTTGCGTAAAACATGTCCTTGGGTGGCTACCAAGTGTGCGCAGAACTCACCTTCTCATTGGGTAGTTTCTGGAGTCAAGCTGCAGATGTCTCTAGGGGTGATACAGCGGGGAACACGGGAGCACGCACGATACCGCTGACACACGGATAGACAATAGGAATCCGGACCTGCATGGAATAGGATTAATATCGACCTTGCCCGAGAAGTTCAATCAAACGGGCACCACGATTGAGCAGGAAACGGACCAATGCATCAAGGACAGAGCCCCACACAATGCGTTGCATTTATGTTGGTTGGAATATAAGCGGAGACATCCTCACCTTGAGTCTCAATGATGGAGAGAACCGTCAGGGAACCACCGTCGAACTTGTCCCTCATCACGCGCCACGTTCCAAAAGACAGCAACGTAGACATAGCATAGTTTCTCCTCCACATCCTTGCCATCGTTCCAGTGCTTCTGGTTGGGAATGGTGTCGAAAGCGGTGGCAGTCTTACCGGTCTGACGATTGCATCAATATTGGGCTTGAGACCTGTCATCCTGCTTGATGGGCTGACGAAGAAGGATACTGCCATCAACGAAACCCGACGATGTTCTATGGCCTCGATAGGAGGGCATCGACAACACAACGATAACTTGACCGATTCAATCAGTCGTGCCCCCTGTGATTCTAATTTTTTGGGTGCGTTCCCACGGACCCATACATGGGTGCATTGCACTTCACTTAGAGGTCCAAGTTTACAGTAACACAGTTCGAGTCGTCGCAATGAGTTCGAGGAAAAGGTACAGGCCAGTCATCTTCGAACTAGTCTTGCTCAAACATCCGCCGACAGTAAACTAGACCTCCTCATCCGGGTACGATACTCGAACCCCCTCCCACCACCACCATGTCCTCCGAAGCTCTTGGATATACCGACTGACCCTATGCGTTATGCTCGGCCAGAGTTCTTGAATGCCATTGCGAATGAGACTCCTCTTCCTATGATTATAGATGCCGAATGTGGCATGCCGCTTGACCTCGGCCTCTGGGAGTGTTTATGGGGTGAAGACGCAGACGAGTCAGGTGTGGTTCACAGTTCTCTTGGACATGCCCAGCATTCGGTAACCACTGTATCTCCTATAGCATTGAATCCAGACCCAAATTTCGTTCCCCCACTAGACCCAAAGGATCGATTCCTACTCGGTGATCCATCCTCAAGTTCTCTACCCTACACCAATGGCACGCCCGGGCCCACAGTAGGGCTTTCAACACCTCTCCCTGCCCACGTCCCCTGGTTACGTAAAACGGAGTATCTTAGTAGAGAGGGTGTCCAGCGTTCTCAATCTGTTCAGGAAATGTGCGCTTCAGTGATTTCTGTTTTCTTATTTGTGAAATTCATGACTGTATCGAAAAGCAAACATCTCCCACAAAACATCGACATTTCTCGGGCAGCTCAGCTCCGTGACATCGAAGCTTCTTTTGCAGCTTGCAACGAACCTTCCCAATTCTCCCTTTCCACACTCCGACACCCTAACAAGCCTGAAGTTACTGCGGTCGAATCGTATGAGATATTTCCTGATGCGGATATCTGGGCCAACGCATACGACCTGTTTAGATTCAGCGAGCGACCGGGAGACAGACCCATTGATGTACGCACTCACGCCCACAAACGACCACCGCTGTATAGATCCTGGTCTTATTTAATTTTCAGGTGGATGATCCCCGACTCGATTGTGCCATTTTACGGCCCATGGAATCAGATGGCGACCACTTCCTGGCGTACTACCTCACAGACGAAGATGGCCCAGCTTTAGCACTCAAAGCCAGCCGGTTCGAAGCTGGTCCTCTTGATTTGGAAGAACCAAAAGTAGGCGTACAACATCTTCCCATTCCATACGCTGACGCATACTTTGCTTTCAGATAACCACGTTCCGCCACGCCCGCGACTACGAAACTGTTAAGATCGAACAAGACGTGCCAAACGAATTCTTGTTGGTACTCGATGATGGGAATACGCTGCCGAAAACTGTTAGCGGCGGCATCGAGCGTACGAAAGCCGCTTACTATAAGAACATCGAACGCAAGATGACATTGAAAAAGAGGCGCGTTAATGTGAGTCGGTCTCTTGATTCCCTTGTCCATATAATAATTATGGCCATACTAGAACCAGGACGCGAAGTTGCAGCTAGTTCATATGTCACACGTACCCATGAGTAAAGAAGAGTTGGATGAACGCGAAGAGCTTATGGCAGAAGTTCTAGACCCGATGTACCTGAGAGGGGATGTGGATGCAGATGGCGAAGGGGAGATTGACGTGGATGCAGTCGGGCAGGCTACTGATGCCCACGCAGAAAGCACTGAGGGCTACGGTACCAGTTACGGAGAGGGGATTATGGCCGATATTTTTTAGGCTATACATATTTATGTGTGACTGTTGCAGTAGTTCCCCTCATTGTACATATGTATCAATGGCCGCCGACGCTGCCAAGCGATCGATACATGGATGCGATACCAATTAAATATAATGCAGAAGGACAGAACTGAGGAACGGACGACAAACAATCGGCGTAATGCGACATAATAATATGTGAAACATTAGTTTCCAGGTCCAAGACGAATCAAATAGAACTTGCAAGTCCCAGCCTGGCAAAAATGGTCCGTAAGAAGTCTCCGTATTATAGAAGGTTTATAGTCGTCAATAAAATACAACAGCACACCAACATACTATCCAGTTGAGAAGAGACATGCGACATCGACTTGGCACGGTTATAGGCAGTCGCCGTTGCGGTAGCGACGTACGCATCCCATGCTTCAACGGTCGCACTCGGGAAGAAATAGGTGGACGCCGTAGTAGCAGAACCATAATAAATACCCGGCTGACCGGTCATAATCTCGCCCCCCAAAGAGGAGACTTCGCCACCGACAACAGTAACACCTCCGGAGTTGGTTGAGTTGGTGTCGATCACCAGACCAGTCTGGTTGTTACCGAACACAAATTCTCGTACGAAAGTAAGCGCCTAACAAAAGATGAACGCTCCGCGGCCAAGGTGTGGATGAACGGAAACAGACCGAGATTGGGTTGTTATAACCGACGAGATGTCCCGCATGGTCGATCAGGACATAGGTCCAGCCACGCTCCTGATGGACTATGCCAGCAAACTCACCGGCATCATTGTACCACGGCGTTTGGGGTTTGCGAGAAAAACCTTGAATGCCACCGAACGTCGTGTTCTAGCCATGATGAAGTCAGTGATAACAGTGGCGATCGTAGAACCATCTGAAAATGCACCTGAATAGTTACTGTGATTGTAAATATTAGACGAAATCTCCGCATTCAAAGTAGATTGAGTAGCCTACCTTGCGAACCCAGATGAGGAACCAGTGAATCGTCGTTGCCAGAATAAATAACAATAGCGATCTGCTGCTGAGTGGCGTTCGAGGCGAGGTCAGATAAGAAAGCCATTGGCCTGTTAATTCCCATCAAATTGTGGTGACTTGAACATTTAAAGCATGGACTGACTCGACACTAGGATCTCCGTTGGAGTAATCTACAGAGTGCAAACGATCAGAAATATGGTAGCAAAGGCAAGAGGTTATACTCACTATTTCCAAACGGATAGTAGATACTCTCAACCCAATTCTTGCTGGTAGGAGCATGGATGGCTGCGACGGTTTGTGGATCTACGAGGGAGCAGGTTCTCCATTCGCCTACACAGTGTATTAAAAATGAACAAACCATTGAGGAACACCGAGCCATCCATTGGAGCTTCGGGATTCAAAGCATCGGGTACATTATATATCTATGAAGATTAATTGATGCTCTCTCTCGAAAAGTAGCAACCGGACCGACATACATCAAACATGCCACCGGTACTCTGGCTCAGAGCTGAGTTAGGTTTAGTCAGAGACGGGAAACAGTACAAAGGTGAGGACCTACACCAAGGGAAGGTGTAATTGATTGCATAATCCAACATCTCGTCGTATAAGTCACACCCGTACCACGAGTCAATCGTTCCATTTGCCCTGCCAGCAAGGTCTCTCTTCCATGTGTCTCGGGCTCTCAGCCTCTCACGCTTTGAAAGATGTCTATCCCGTTTTGCAAGCTCCACGGCAAAACGTTCTTGAACATCAAGCAATAACCCTTGCTTCGTAAGCTGAGACTTAAATCTACCCGATGGCGTAGCGCTCAGGGAAGGGTTGCTACCGGGTTCGAAAGTAAGGGTAGGGAAATGTCCATTTTGAGGATACTCGAGGGTAAGGTCGTAACCGCAAAGTGCCGTCCTAGGGACAACGGGAACGTCAAAAAAAGAAAGGCTCAAATACTTGGAATAGACATGGCTTACTGTTCCCTGAAATATTCGAGAACATCAGTGTCATATCCTATGATCTGTGGGTACGTCTCCAGGACGCTGACCTTGACAGACGTTAGCCGCAGTAGCACGGATGGAGAGATATAACGGCTACTTACGACGGGAAGGAGTTCAAAAGCTTCTCCTGATCCGATGGTACCATCACCGATGGCGATCTTTGCTAGTTTAACCGGGGGATTCTCCATCTCGAAGTAAGCCTTGGTGATATATGGCTAATGAACAGACCAATCAGTTGGCTTGGACAAAATGTTCAGGGCGATAGCTAACAATGTACATTCCCGCGTAACTTTCACCAGTAAGGTACAGGGGTCGATTGGCCAGCTGCGGGAAGACTTGGACAAAATTCTCCAAAAAGCCCATCTAGAAAACGTGAGAAAGAAGGTGGCAAGACATGTGGATGACCACCTACGAAGTCGCTGGCCATCTGATCTTCATCAAAAACTTTTGGGGAGAAGTTAGCCCAGACTATGGTGGATGCATGTATGATGTTACTCACTGTAACCCTCGGAATCACAAGTACTGAATCCCGTGCCCCTATTGCACAATGAAGGGATTCATAACGATCAAAACTCAAGGGAGGCACATACACTGGTTGGTCAATCCATACGTAATCTGCGACGTTTGTCCAAGCATATTGGGTCTGAAACGCTGAATAATCATTTTGAATGTGAATAGGACCATTCTGAAGCGTGGTCAGAAGGACATCAAAGTCAGTGGGGCGATAACGCACCTCGAACAACAGGCCAACGAGACTTGAGGATCCAGGGCTGCAAATGGAAAGTTAGTATGGAATTGTCTACCAGAAAATGGGCTACGTGCCCCCCATTTAACCAAATTCCCCATGGCTGATCGCTTTCGGCCGTGAAGGAACCATTGGAACTTTCGAACGCCCAGAAGAAGAGGGTATTGTTGGGGTGACCTTGCCTTTGGACGGGGATGTTGCCAGCCCAACTGCGGGCGAGAGTCCAGGTAACGTTTGGAAGGGGTTCCGTCACTTGGAAGTCTACGCAACCGCATTAGACAACGGGCTGCCGAGTAGGTATGTTGTCTGATAAAGCCATGGACTTACAGTTCTGCCACGCCGGACCATAATCGCCAGATGGCATGCCGGGGTAAACCTGAGGCCAGCTACTCGGCGGTGTCCCGGACTGCGCATTGGTGGCGAAAATGCATGCAAGCAAGATCAAGAGAACCGCACATGACTTGGAGGCCATGGCGCCAAAAAATGAGAGCATCAGACAGGAAGGGTGGAGGGGAAGGGTGCCGGCAATGTGGGTCACCTGAAGATTTTATAGAACACTTGACCATTTCCGCACGCCCTGTCGAACGACGGACTTACCGGGGCCACGGCGTATTGTTATTATGATTATCAGATCCTTATTGTTAGACTGCACCAGGTAGTAACCAGACCATGACGGGCTTGAGAAGCCTTGACCATGGAGGACAGCCACGTGGCACATGTTGGTGGACTAATTTTGTGCATGAATACCCAGATAGATCTACGTACGCGAAGCAGACAGATGCCGATGGCGACCAGGGCCGGGGGACCAGCGACGGGTTCCTTCAGTTCACTGTGCAATTCGACATATAATCTATCAGTCTAAATGTGCATCGTTGCAGGTTCCAGCTGTTTCAGGTTTAAGGATGACACTGATGATCTGTAAAATCTACCCCGACTCGGAAGTTCCGAGATGGCGTATATAATTGATACGGGTCACACCTCTGCTGAGTCGCTGCCAATCACTCGATCTGTAACGACGAGCCATGGCATCGACCGACTCTGAGATCTCAGCCACCTTGGACGTTGCGAAAGCAGCAAAATCCGCTTTTGAGGCCTCCCAGCTGCTTTCCGCTGATGTACGGAAACTGGCTTTGGGGAAGATCGCTGGAAGGCTGGAGTCTAACAAGGCCGCTATATTGGCCGCCAATGGCGAGGACATGCAGGTACGCCACCCATCCTACCAGCTTGATCTGACTCAAATGATCCTGCCTAACCCTCGCACGGACAGGCTGCTCAAGTCGAGGTAGATGCTGGCCGCATGTCAAACGCTTTATTGAAACGCCTCGACCTCTCCCGGGGCGACAAGTGGGACGCGATGGTAAAAGGTGTTCGGGACGTCGCAAACTTTCCTGACCCTACCGGTATAGTCACCTACGCCACAGAACTGGACGATGACCTTGAGCTCTACCGTGTCACTTGTCCGATTGGGGTTTTACTTATCATCTTCGAGGCACGTCCAGAGGTAGTCGTCAATATCGCCGCCCTTGCCATCAAATCAGGTGAGTATTGACTGTGTATCATTCATCCAGCACAGACGGGAACCATTTTCAAGGCAATGCTGCCATTCTGAAAGGCGGGAAAGAATCTACCAGAACGACGTTGTTGCTATCTAGAGTCATTTCAGAGGGTCTCGCGCAGGCCACACTACCCAGCACTTACATCCAGTCCATCCAGACAAGGGCAGAGGTTTCCGCTCTCCTGGCTCTCGATCAGTACATTGATTTAGTCATCCCGAGGGGAGGTAACAGTCTCGTCAGGAACATACAGAACAGCACACGGATCCCAGTCATGGGTCACGCTGATGGCCTCTGTCATGTTTACCTCGATGAGTCGGCAGACCCAGAAAAGGCTGTCCGAATCGTGCTGGACTCAAAGGTACACCGATGCCCTTTTCATCTGCCCACGGTTCCGATAGAATTGTCCCACTTCAGGTTGACTACCCATCCGCTTGTAATGCCGCCGAAACCCTCATCGTACACATGTCGCTTCTACATACCGTGTGGCCCAAGGTTGCAAAGGCGCTTCTTGATGCGGACGTCCACCTTCTTTGTGATTCACACACGCTTGCTACACTAGATACATCCCAATTTCCACAAGAAAAACTCGAAAGCCACGTATCTGTGGCGTCGGAATCATCCTATGATATCGAACATCTTGACCTCAAATTCTCTGTCATCGCCTTACCTTCCCTCCACTCTGCGATCCAGTTCATAAACGCTCATTCTTCACACCACACGGACTCGATTGTAACAGAATCCCAAGAGGCGGCGACAACCTTCTGCAGAGGTGTGGACTCTGCGGGAACGTTCATTAATGCAAGCACACGTTTTGCGGACGGTTTCAGGTACGGGTTTGGCACCGAGGTCGGTATTAGCACGGGGAGGATCCATGCGCGGGGACCCGTTGGGCTGGAAGGCCTGGTAATTTATAAGTACATGATGCGAAGTAAGGCAGACAAGGGACATGTCGTTGGTGAATTTGGCGTGGGGGAGGGGAAGAGAAGCTACAAGCATGCGCCCATCAAAACAACCATCGTTCCGTTTTAAAATGTACCATCTAGACTTCTATGCACTACAGGTCAAGATACAGTGGAATTCGTATCATGACACTTCGTCACCAAACTTCGCTTTTTTCAGAGGGGCATCCTTGTCGTTGTCGTCGGCTTTGCGCTTCGCAGTACCTTCTGTGTCCATTGGCCTTTTCTTCTTCTTCACCATGGAAGTCAAATCATGAACGACAGGCGGCTGGCCTGGTACGGCTATTGACCGTACGTTAAGCTCGTCGTCAAGCGCTTTTGCAGCAAGCGCCGGCGCTGTCTCCGCTAGCTCAGAGGGTGTCGTCTTCAACTCTTCCACCTGAAAACGATCATTAGTGTTCGTCGTACAATTTTATCCATAAAAATGTACCTTGGCAGCGAGATCTTCCCTGAGAGATTCCAAATCCCGCAGTTCTGCTTCCATTTGACTCCTTGTCAAACCCTGAACCAGTTCTCCAGGTACCAATACTATTGGATCTGCTCTTCCCTTTCCCTTCTTATCTTTTTCTTTCGACTGGACCGTAGGGAGTGGCACCAACCTTCCATCCAAGCCATCCCGGACCTCGCTGATACGAGTTGACACACTATTCAGTGCTTTCTCGGCATGCGCGATGGCGTCTGATAGTCGTCCTGAAGTAAGGTCGAGAACCATACTTAGCTTGTAATGTGCTTCAGCAATCTGTCGTGATGAAATGGGGAGCAAGTCGGTCTTGAGTGCAAGGCCAGCAGAGTAGTCCGTGATGGCTTGGTCAAACTTTTCTGAGGGAACATCAGCTATGGACGAGATCTTGCTCGTGGATGGTGCATCCATACGTACCCGTTTCTAGGGATACATCTCCGAGTGCAATATATGTATCTGCCAGTTTAAGCTTAATCTCGTCGTCCTGGTCTTTCCCCTTGTCGTATATTGATCGTGCCAACTCGAACACGTCCCACGCAGCGTTGAAGTCATCCTCGGGCTCCCCATCATCACCTTCCTCCTCGCTCTCCTCCTCTTCTTCTTTCCCAGCTTGCGTGAGTAAGTCCACAGTCCCGTCCTCTTCGTCACCATCGCCCGAAAACGACAAGAAAGGTCCTTTTCCATTGCTTTGTGCAGCTGTCCAGATGTTCTCAGCGGTATAGGTCAAAGGAGGGGACGATGAACTGCTTCCTTACGTCTCTCTTCTTCCGCTGCCCCTGGTTCAGGTTCCTTTCCCAGCACCGAAGCCTGCGATATTGCGTTCTCCAATAGTGCCTTTCCATACAAGAAATACAAATCTGCCGTTTCAGGCGCGTCCTCGTCATGTGTCTTTGTCCTGCATCCGCGGGTTGCGAACGTATATCAGCAACGCCAGTGGGAGAAGACACTGAATGACGTACTGCATCTCGAGGGCCGTGGCATACAACTCCACAGCCTGCTCATATTTTTTCAGCGCGAAGGCACGCCGCGCATGCTCAAGGGCCGCGTCAACGGTCGTAGAGGAGCCACCAGACGGATTCGAGTTAGTTTGATGCCGTTCGTTGCTATATACCCTGTAATTAATTTCAAACAGAGGAACCTGCGCGACGTAGGCTTACGATGACATTTCGGTTGAGTCCAAGGTGGATTCTGGCGTTGGCCAACTTCGGGTGACAGGCTGATTTGCTATTTGCTAAATAAACGCGACGCGACGTGCCGTCATGCAAAGACACGCAACTACACAGGAGCTAAATTCGAATTCCGGATCCTCGCTACTAGATTACAGAGAAAATGATGTAGTCTCGGAGATTTATAAACCTAGGATCAAAAAAAAAGGCAAGGAACGTTGGGTAACCACTATCAAAGCAATGTAAGGAACGATAATAACGAATGTGTCCGTGGTATGATAGACAAGGAAAGGAGCGTCATCAATGGTCATCGCGCAATGGTTAAGCTCAAATGAGAGACGGTCCGGCCTGCGCTTTCAAGGCATTCGGGTCGCTAGTACCAAACCCCGCCGAAAAGGCGTTGCTTCCTCCGAATCCTACACCCAGCGCAGAAGTACCGCTCAGGCTTCCATTCATTTGCGGTGTTGAAGCGGGAGGCAACGTAAGTGAATTGGTCATATTCGTGGGAGAAGTGGCGAACATCGTCGAGCGGAAGGGATTCGCGGCCCCTGGGGTCCCGGTGACTTGTGGCCTGAGGCCGACACCCACTGTAGACCCACCGTTATGAGGTGGGAAAGCGGAAAGCATACCGGTGGGTTGTGAAGTGAGACTCCCAGTAGCACCCCCAGTTGGATTGCTGGAAAAATTGGAGCTATTCGGCGCAAACGTGGTTGGCAAGGATGGCGTGGAAGTGTGTGTTGGTCCCGGTATTCCCGTGACGTCGGGTGTGGCGGCCGTCGATTGTGGGATTGGTGGAAGCGATTCCAGTAGGGCAGCACCAAAACTAGAGGTTGGCTTGAATGGTTTTAATCCAGCCATGCCAGTCATCTGCGGCTTCAGCAGCGCTGAGATTGAGGATGCTGAAGATGTGATTGTAGCACCTGTAGGCTGGGATGACAGTGGTGAAAACGAAGAGAACAAGGAATCTTGGAAGGTGGAACCCGTTGTCCCGGTCATGTGAGGATTCAACCCGACGCCGTTTAAATTACTGCTTGGGGGTCCAGAGCCATATTCCTGCTTCTTAGAAAATGCAAACGAAGACGCAACGCTCGAGATCGAGGACTCTGGAGCACTGGAACCCGCTCCGAAAGTGCCCGGGGTGCCTGTTGGTTGCGGCTGCTGAGCCATAAGTTGGCTGCCCTCCGCCGTAAAGTTCCTCATCCCCATCGACAATTCCATGAGAGTCGGTGGCTTCGGTACTGGGGGGGCAGGCGACACCGGGACACCAAAGGGATTCCGCGAGCCTGTTTGATGGCTTTTCACTGGCTGGGCAATGGGTGGAGATGCAAAGGCCGGTTGGGCGGCACCAAAAGTCGTGAGAGGTGTAGATGCGGGTCGCGCGGGGACGTCTGCCAAGTTACGAGAACTGGTTTGTCCTCCTGCCGTAGTGGTGAACGTTGGTTGTTGACCTTGTGTACTAGGTGGTGCGAAAGCCTGAGGCCCTTGGAATGGCATGTCAGAGCCCAGCTGACCAGGCGGTTGAGACGTTCGGAACGAAAGGCGATGTAAATCCGGTGTTGAATGCTGTTGCACCTGTGGCCTGGGGCAGAAGCATGCTTTGCCTGAAGGGATTGACGCCCGTTGCCTGTGGTTGTAAAAACCCTCCAGTCACTGCTGGTTGGAAGCCAGTTGGTTGTGGATTGTAAGAAAGTAGAAAATGGTCGGTGTTGAGGTGACTGTTGAAGCGACTGAGACGGCTGGAACGCCCGTTGACCAGGTTGAAATGGCTGGGAGACCACAAATCCCGTCGGCTGCATCTGGAATTGCGGAGGGAAGTTTGTTGGATGGGTGGGAAACGCCCCCGTCATCTGACGCTGAACGAACGGGTTGTGCGCAACTTGCTGGAATGAGTTGGTCATGTGGGCCATTGTACTTAAAATCGAGTCAGAAACCAAATTTGTCACTTAAGCAGACGCCAACCTGCTTATGGGAGGGCTTGCAGTAGGGTGCTCCTCTTCTATCGAATTGAAAAGGTCAAGCGTGGTCTTGTCTACGTTCCCCTTGCTACCTGACCCTGATGGCGCAGAGGAGATGGTGGTGGTGGAACTAGTAGAAGGGGTAGGCCTTGGCTTAGATGAAGAAGCTAGGCAAAACTAAGCACGACCATTCGGATAATGCAGTTCAAGCCTGTACCTTGTAGGTGGTGCAGGCGACGAAAAGGTACCGTTAGGAGGTTTTCCGTTCCTGTCAGCTGCTTCTTTGTTCGCCTTGTACTCGATTCTGTTCTGTTCAAAGTTAGGGTCATTCAGATACTCCTCCAGCGAGCTTGCCAGTGACACTGGAGCCTGTTGCTCGCCCGTTAAGCTGTGAGGTCGCATGCTAACTAGCCAGTGCTTACATGTTTCAGGTTGGGTATCGGAACATTGAGAAGATTTTGCAGCTTTTTCGCAACGCCCAAATATTCCACGACGCGCTCCGTCTGTTCACAAAATTGACGGTAGATAGAAAGAGCATCCTTTGCATCGTGCTTGGACATCTCGAAGTAATGCTCTAGATTGTGATCAGTGACGAAAGAAACCCCATTTGTTGGTGTCCATTCACCTAGAACATTGATAACACCCTCATTGCATGCTTGGAAGAGGATCAGAAGGTCCTTGACAAGCATGCGAAGCGCAGTGATGGTAAGTTCATCTTCCAGGTCGTCCAAGTAGAACTGGTGTGTATAAGAGACTGTCCATATTGTTCAACACGAAAGGTGCACCCACCCGACACTCGACCAACGAGTCGATCATTTTCTGAACAGTTTTCGTTTCCCTAAGCAGACCCTTTTCGACGGTCATCACACGCAACTTTCGACCCATGACTGTTTTACTACGCTGCGGACCTTTTGACTTGGTAGATGAGGTCTTCGGGGCGGTGGTATATGCCATGTCCTCTTCTATAGAATTGTTCACGCGCATGTCACGGTTCGTTTCTGATTGCACTCGTATCGCGTCATGTTTCAGCTCCCTAAATGCGCGGATGCGAGAGTCGAGGTAAAGTGCATAATGCTGCAAATTCTGCGGTGCATGATACCCTATGCCATCAATGACCGGATGAACGTATGTAAAACGCCATACAAACGGGGCTGACCTTCCCAGTTGTTACCTGCAGAAATATTGCGCAAACGGAGTACCTCCGAAGAGGAGAGGTGCGAGAGTACGTTGTCGGTAGCCCCATTGCGGATCATTGTGTGTAACACAATTAATGCCTTGAACACGACCTATGGGGCGTAATGAAGGGGAGGATCCTTGTACGGGGTGAGAATACGATACACACTATTGCATTTGGTTCCCGTAGGCGAGGTATCAGTGCCTTGCAGACATCGTAGACGGCACCATCCTCGGACCAGGTCGCGGCTATGATTCGATCTAGATACTGAGAGACGACGTCGAAGCTCTCCGACAGAAAACTTGAACACAGCACGTACTTTTGCCTTTGGCGGGGCAGCCTTTGGCTTGCAAGCCGACTTCACGACCTTGTCAAAGCTGGACATATCCGTTCGTTGACGGGGGAACCACACTAATAGTGACTGCAATCGAGTGCCCAACTATGTTCCCTGTTTCAAACTCAGCTCCACCCGGGAGACGAGCACTGGAACGCTGCACACCTTTACTGGCCACACTGCCCGACTTTCGTTTACCTGAGCAATCGGAGATAGCAGACCAGGACCTACTTGGACCTTGCTGTCAATGCACTAGAACTACCTGGCTCCCACTTGGCCGAATAGTAGCTTACTAAGGACGCAAATGGTAGTGGATTTGCTATGTACTTACATACATCCTTGTGCAAAACATATGCAAATGAAGCCTGCAGGCTTGCAGTGTGGCTTCACTAGCTTCAAATATCATAAACTTATTGCTATGGTCGAGAATCGCCCTATTGCCGTGAGGGAGGAGGACGAGGACAATTCGGACGAGGAGAACGAAGATTCTGATGCCACGTCCGATATCATTCGGAGGGTGCTAGTCATGCAGCAGGTTCAGAACTACGCAGTGGTCGCCGCTACACTCGGTATATACCAGGCTGCAGTCGCAACACTTCGAGGCGCTACCCAAGAACCTTACGACCCTTACGGTAACCCTACAACCCCTATTTATGTTACAAGACTGTCTCAATGATTCCAATTTCTCGCCAGAGGCTGAGAGTTCGGAAGACGAAAACGAGTGCAACTCCACCAGCGAAAGAGCAGAAGAGGAAAGACTCCTATCCACTACGCCAAACCCTGCTTCGAAGGCAACTTCTGGAACACGACCCGGTCCTCAGCAACCTCGCATCCCCATACTGGATTCATCAAAAGTCAAGAAGATTATGGACTGGCGTGCTCACGTGGCTTCCCAGTTAGCTTCCCAGTCGAGGGGCGTCCAAGTCGAGCTCACTGCGAACAAACGCAGAGGCGGTTATCTGGAGAGAGTCGATTTCTTACAGAGAGTCCAAGATAGGCGGCAAGATGTACTGGAAGACCCCAGACCGAACAAACGAAGGAAGAAATAGTCTATGGACTTTTGGCTGCATGCAATGCAGACAGATGGTATATGCTGTGACCCATCGACTTTCAAGGTTTGAGCGATCCCTCATACAGAGCGTGCTTAAGTATCCAATTTACTGACGAACAAGGCAAATTCCTTGAATACACCATCGCAGTACTTCTGCGATGCTTATTCTGGACGGGTGCGTGATCCACTTGCCCAGCACTTCACTGGCAAGGTTGTTGACATCGATTCTACAGTCAGAATGCACGTGACCGCGTTTCCTTCCGAAACATTTTAGCACCTGACTGAGATGGACACCGTCTCCTGTTCATACGTTCCACGTACTGTGCCATGGAAACTACCTTAACATCCCCCTTCCGAGACTGCATTATCCGTACAAATCTAAGGACGGGCACTTCACGGACACTTTGATTATGTAATACCAGCATTACGTCCTCTATACTACCCTTAGTCCCACGTTCCGCTTGCTCTAACCGCTTCCGCCCCAGTGGTGCCATGTCTATCTTCAGCACCATCTGGGGTGCATTCTTGCGTATGCCTACTAACATCTGCATGTCTCTCCACCGACGAGGATTCTCGTCTCGGCGTATCCTAGTCGCAATCGCATTCTCTTTCGCTCTATGTATCCTGTATTATACCCACTTACGCAACACTCAGAGCGACCCTCTCCCCGAGCTTATTCCGGAAGAAGACGTCGTTTTCTGGCCCACCGAACCACCAGAAATATGGGCTGAACGTGCTGTCCAAGTCAAGAATGCTTTCCTGCATGCCTATCATGGTTACGAGCGTTATGCCTTTCCCCATGACGAATTGACGCCGCTCTCGAACGCATCGACAAACAGGTACTGCTTCACCGTCATAACATGACTCGATAACCGATATCAGACTGGCCAGCTTCAACCAGTGGGGGGTGACCGCAGTGGACTCGCTCGACACCATGCTTCTCATGGGACTAAAAGACGAGTACGAGCGTGCGCTTCCGATGATTATGAACACCAATTTCTCACTCCCGGCGGTATGTCTTACGTTTCCAAAGCATCTTGCTTCCTGTTGCGAACTCTTGACAGAATACCGCGGTGCCCTTCTTCGAGACCGTGATCCGTTACCTGGGCGGATTGTTGTCTGCTTATGCCTTGTCCAACGACACACGACTACTCACCAAAGCGGATGAACTTGGGGCCAAGCTTTTACCTGCATTCAATACTGAGAGCGGTTTCCCAGTTTACGCTGTTAATACCTATGAGTAAGACCTCTCCACTTCAACCTCTCAGTGTAACTCAATGCTCCCAGGGGCGTGGAATCAGGTCCCCCTGTCGGCATGCTGGCTGAAATTGCATCATGGCAGTTGGAATATTCTTATCTTGGCAAAATTACCGGCAAGGAGGAATACGCCGAACGCGTAGGTGCCTTCCACACATTCCCGACGATGGAAATGAGCCTGATGGATCTGCTTACTTTTAGGCAACCATGATCACTGACCTTTTCTACAATGCTAACTTGACAATTCTCCGGAGGGATGTATCCCACTAAGTGGGATTTGACATCCGGAGAGCCTTATGACCGTATGGACTTCCCTCTAATTCTCTTCTCTAATTTACATGGTCAAGTTCGTACATTAGTCCACTTGTCCGTTGGTGCAGCAGCCGACAGCGCACATGAATATACTCTCAAGCAATATCTACTAACGGCACAAACCGACAAGGAAAATCTTGAAATGTGTAAGCCCCCCGAAAACTCGAGTCTTTGTCAATGGCAGTTGACGAGCTGCTTTAGACATCAGAATGACTACTCATGTCATTAACAATCTTATGTTTATTTCACCACAGCGCCACCTCGTATACGTGACCGATATGTCGACCTACAAGCTCGAGGACACCAGGGTTACCCATCACTTTGAACACTTGTCATGTTTCTTCCCGGGCTTATTAGCCCTTGGCGTAAAAATGCTTCCTCTCGACGACCTCGAATCTGTAGGGATTAACTTGGAAGAGCTTACCCGAGATCTTTTACCCAGGGACCGCGGGGGCTACGAGGCACTTTCCGAGTTCAACCTCACGGATCTACATTTGTGGGCCGCAGAAGCCATCGCCCAGACCTGCTACATTACCTACGCTGACCAGCCGACAGGGCTGGGTCCCGAAACAGTTTCCATGCGTGCTGGTGGAAAGTTCGGTATCACACGCTGGATGAGTGCTGTTCGTGCATGGGATAGGCAAGGTAGACGAGGACCTCCGCCTGGTGTCGGTGATAAGCTGCCCTGGTCTGAACCACCGGGTTTGGTTTCCACCAAAGAACGAGATCGGGCCACAGTCACGCGGGACTATGGTGTTAGAAACATTGCGTATTACCTGAGGCCTGAGGTGATCATACCTTACAAACTGCGCGTATTGACGAACTTACGCTCGTCTCTGCAGACTGTCGAATCGTTTTATATGTTGTGGCGGGTGACAGGGGATGTGAGGTGGCGATACCGTGGATGGCACGTTTTTCAGGCTATAGAACGAGAGGCCAAAACGTCATCGGGATATGCATGTGTGGACCGAGTTCACATGAAAGTGCCTGTACTGCTGGATTCCATGCCTAGGTCCGTGGCCAACTTTTTTGCTTTTGTGCAGGGTGCTGATATGTATCATGATGCGTAGCTACTTCTTGGCTGAGACGTACGTTTGTCTATTTGATGATTCAGTTCCTTTTTCTAACGGTTTCCATATAGTCTCAAGTATCTATATCTGCTATTCTTGGATGAGGATATCGTTCCATTGGATAGATGGGTCTTCAACACGGAAGCCCATCCGTTACCCGTATTTGCGTGGACACCGGAGGAATCGGTCGCCTATGAAATATAGAGGAGCACCTTCCTAGTGCAGTGTCATGAATGAACAGTGCACGATTGGATACGTAGACATGTTATATAACCAGCCTTGTACTTCTGTATCTACCCTGCATATAATTTTTCCTTACTGTGTGTTATTTTGCGTTGCGTGACGTCGACAAGACCGGCTAAGTTCTAACTGGAGGTGTGCCAAATACGGCCCCGACTTTTTGGGTCCACAAATGTTGCCTCTCAGCAGCTGCTGTAGACACGCGACTCGCTCGCTTCTAGCATTCTCGGATTCGAATGCTGCATGCGTAGGGCTCCCGGCACTCAGCACTCAAGTCAGAAGTTATGCAAAGGCGCGACCTGGAGCGGTCAAGCCAAGTTGTAAGCTTGCACAACAATCCTCGAACGCGACATTGCTGACGAGTGTACAGCACATGGCTTTTCGAAGGCCCAGAAGAAGGGAAAGGGTGGAGAACTTGAAGATACAGATCAAGCAGTAGCCACAAAACGGAAGAGGTACACGGTAAGTGTTACGACCAACCAGTTGTTTACGGTCATCCCAAAATCTCGGAAGGTGGTATGGACACTAATCGATGCTGCTGCAGGCCTTCCTTCCGATGCCAGTAGCTCAGTTGACACATCCACTGTTCGAGACGGACCGGCGGAATAGCCAACTCCAGCTGCAGAATTTCCATCCGGTGAGTTTGTAGTTCCTCAATCAGATTTTGTGGACTCGCTCACGCAAAATTTCAATCACAGGAAATCCTCACAGAGGCGGTCATATCACAAGCACTCGCATTCCCTCAAAATGACAAGGACCCCTCCCGAATATTTGGGCTGCCTCGAAATCTACTTGTTGAGGTTGGTACCTCGGGTTACTTCGTTCATTTGCAACAGTTCATTCCTTTTTTTTGTATGGTCATCCAGTATCGAATCCTTTCAAAACCGTGCTCAGTAATACGGGGTGTGACAATCGACGTCATCAATAGATTGGATTTAGCGAGTCAAGAAGGGCAGCACAAACCACAGGCTAGTGATTGGTGAGTTTCCGACGGAATTCATATGAATACTTGTATCCAAACCTATTTCCTTAGCCGGTTCACCTGGCTGCTGGAAAGAGCGTTCTCTTGCTGCAAGCACTACAATACTGTTATATGCGGGACTGGATCGTGTTATACTTCCCGAGAGGTGCGTACTCCACCGTCACAGGGGAAAAATAACTCGACGGTCGTCGCCAGCGATCAGTCTCGTCAACTCTACGACTTCCTACGCGTACGATCCCCGGACCCAGACATACGCTCAACCTGTCTTCGCATACCAAACCCTCCAGCGTCTCCTGACTGTCAATGGTCCACGACTAGAGCAATTGCATACGCAAGCGGGCGTGGAGGTGGAGCGTAGAGGAACCTGTCCCTGCAGGCACGACCCTTGCGGACCTCGTGAAAGTAGGGACGAAGGAACAGGTATTGGCTCCTACCGTGTTGACGGCAGTCCTATCAGAGCTTGGAAAGCAAACTGCGTACGTATCTGTCGAGTGCAGTATCACCCGGAGGTTTGCATGTTTCGTTATCTAGATTCCCCGTTTTGCTCGCCATCGATGACTTCCAAGCGATATACTGCAAGACGAAGTATCGCGATCCACACTACTCCCGGATTCAGCCGTACCACCTTTCCATGCCACGCTTATTGTTGGAATATGCCAGCGGACTAAAGCAATTCGTAAGTCAGTTCTGTAGCTGTCCAATGAGATGCTCAGTACATCTTTAGGCCCGAGGTGCTGTCGTAGGTGCCCTTTCAGGTACAGACACCACTTTCAAGCTTCCACTTGAACTTGCGGAAGTCCTCGGCCTACCCCCAACATCGCACTCCGGTCCATACGCCAAACGCGTCCCGGAATTGCAAAGCTATGCCAAGGGGCTCTCACGGGTGAGCGTTCCGGATGCACTCGCTGTGTCTGAAGCAACGGAGTTGTTCGATGTGTGGACCCGTGACCGTGCTATTCCGGCAGGTATGTTGACGCGTTCGCCTGTATACCGACGAGTGCTGAACTGGTATTTTATGCAATGCAGCACCAAATGACGAGTTGTTCCTGGCGAAGTACAGCGAGTCCGGTGGGAATGCAAGAGATTTTATCTGGAAAGGTTTGCTGTCCACCTTGACGTTGTAGAGGCATAGACAAATTACGAAGCTTGCATGCGTAACTACTAATCTATTGACAAAGATTGTGGGGACGAGACTTGGCTAGACACAGACCAGGTTCCGGCTCGGGATGAGGGCATCATTCCCTAGAAATAGATCCGGGTCCTCAACGTCGTCTGCCTCTACTACAGGCCGCCTGTAAAGTCACCGAGGAGCGATTTTTGTTACGTTACAGCAAATTCTTGAATGAACGAAGCTTTTTTTGTGGCCAATGGCATATTTGTGGTTGTGGGAGAAGTCTTCATGTACCAAGACCCGGCAAACACGGTAGTATCCGGTCACCGTTCAGTGCAACCCCTTGTGGAGGTTGCAAGTACAGTACTTACTACCTAACGAAGAGGTGACCTTCGTTGTCGTTGCATGTTCGTTGTGGATAGGTTCCTGGCCGGGTCTTTGAGTGCCAGTTATGTATGTATGTAGGGCCGCGAAAGTCTTGGCAATCGTCCGCGTTTTTCTGATCGGCTGAGTGAGAGTATGTATATAACTTATGAATACGAGAATTGGCCAAGCTGACACCTGCCACGCACACACCGGGTTTTCTCTGCTGCCCGAGGGTCTCCCCACCCAGACTTTGCAATCGCTTTGCCTCTCCCGGTTTACATCCTTGAGGCAGAGCGGCTGACACTCGGAGCCTTGGCCGCTCGATCGTTGCTTCGCGTCTTCCCCACTCGGTTCTGAAGGTTATTTAGACCTTGCAAGATGGCTATCTATTCCTTGTTGCCAACCCACCGCCAGCCAGAACGTATGCGATCGTGGTGTAGCTCTTTTCAGACGACCCACCTCACAGGCAGACACTACGCCCGCTGGATTGCTGGTGGGGTCACCTTCATAGGAGTCCTCTGGTTCATCGTGCTACCCTCTCTCTTCGGACGTGGCAAGTATATGGGACCTCCGTTCCATGACTTGGGTCCACCCCCGCCTCCGCCTGCCCAGCATCATCCTGTCCTTCCTGAATCCCCTCCTGAAGTCGAAATTGATTACCCTCCCCCGCATCCCCCACAAAGCGCCCCCAATTCCGCAAGGTCAGACGCTGTCAGAGACGCTTTTCTCCACGCATACAACGGTTACACGCGGTATGCTTGGGGGTTCGACGAACTGCGACCAAAATCTGGTGGAAAAGCTAACACGTAAGTTGCGCTGCTCAGGACTTACTGCTCCATCTCTAATCCCAACCCTCCTTTCCAGCTTCAACGGATGGTCCATCACATTGTTAGACGCATTGGACTCCTTATGGATCATGGATCTTCACGATCAGTTCTACGAGGCCATTCCTGCGGTGGCTAATATAACCTTCCTCACTGAGGTCTTGCTTTCCGATCAAGCACTTACATTCAGCTACTGAAAAACATCTGTCCAGGATAAATTTGCTCCATTTTTCGAGACTGTCATACGTGCGTTAGGAGGATTGCTCTCTGCCTATGCACTTTCCGGAGAGCCCATCCTTCTTACTCGCGCCGATGACCTCGGAAAAGCCCTTTTACCTGTCTTCAACACCAATTCTGGCTTGCCAATGTATGCCGTCAATACGGCTACGTCAGTCCAGCCCTCGCTTCCTTATCAGTTAGCGTTCGTTTACTTCCATTCTTTTCAGTGGTGCAACGAGGCCCGGCTGGAACGTCGACGCATTCTTTGCTGAAATGGCAAGTTGTCAGTTAGAGTACAAGTACCTTGCCCATCTCACTGGTCGGACGGACTACTTCACTCGAGTCCGTCACACTTTTTTTTTTGTTCAGTCAACGCGCATTCATTATCTCGACAGGTGGATCATGTCATCGACATCATGTACAAGCTGTCGCCGACTACCGATCTCTATCCAACGCAATGGTCCATCAAGCAGGGTAAGCCTGCTAATAGTGCGTGATCGATTGCCATGTCCTCTCTATCGATAACCATATGGCTCACAGACGTACTCTCCGTTGGTGCTGCCGCCGACAGTGGATACGAGTACCTTCTGAAGCAGTACCTCCTTACGGCCCGTTCAGAACCAAGAGTCAGAGAAATGTGTACGTCTAGTCTCGTCTCTGAAAGTTTTTCCTACGACAAGAGAGTCGTTCTTAGACCTCAAATCTGTTCGAGCGATAATCGAAAACTTGTTCTTCCTCTCTCCAAATAGGAAGCTTCTCTATGTCACGGACATGAACAGAGGAACCGTATCCCGCACCTTCGAACACCTTTCTTGCTTCCTTCCTGGATTGTTGGTACTTGGTACCAAAATGATCGACATGCCCCCAAGTGACCGCGAGTTGCACGAGTGGGCTGCACAGGGGTTGGCATACACGTGTTACGTATCGTACGCGGACCAACCATCCGGCTTAGGGCCAGATGAGATGGTGATGGACCCCTGGACTATCAATGACGGGTCCTCCGGACAATGGATCAGCCATGTGAAGGCTTGGATAGAGGAAGGGAAACCTGGCGGAGTCCCGCCCGGCCTTCATGAACCTGCCCCAGCCAAGGATGGAAGCGCTCAAGATTATCGTATCAAGAAAACTGATTACCTTCTGCGACCTGAGGTAGGCTACAAGGAACTGATGAATATGACAGAGCTCAATATGCATTGTCGCGCAGGTCGTCGAAAGTTTGTATTTGATGTGGCGAACAACGGGTGATGAGCGGTGGAGGGAACGTGGTTGGGAGATCTTCCAGTCTATCGAAAAGCATGCCTGGACCGTGTATGGGTATGCGAGTCTCCGTGGAGTAGATCGCGAAACCCCGGCGAAGCTTGACGAAATGCCAAGGTGAGCCCTCACTTGCCGAACCTGTTTGTAGTTCTGATTCGCCATTCACTACAGTTACTTCCTTGCTGAGACGTAAGTACTTAAACTTTCGCTCGTGACCCGCTGAGGTTGACGTTGTTTTTAGACTGAAATACCTTTATCTTCTTTTCGTGGAAGAAGATATCATTCCCCTCGATCGATGGGTGTTCAACACGGAAGCGCACCCTCTCCCAGTTTTCGAGTGGTCGCAGTGGGAGAAAGTGCAGTACAAGATACCCTTGTAGAACTCTCTTCTGTACTTGGATTCATTTTCATTCGTGGTTGTTATATGGAGATTTTACCCGGGTCATCAAAATCACGCTCTTTCTTGCTTACTCATTTCCTTCTCTGCACACAGTATCGTATGTATTGTTTTAGAGCTCCTTGGTTGAGCCAATCTACGATGTACCACCAGAGTGTCAAGACCGTGGACGAGTGTATGGGGCAGCAGTTTCAATCTACTCGGTGGACCTGACAACAAGCCTCCTGCCGCCTGCATTCACATAAGTTTTTTATTTTCACGTTTCTATTTAATCCACACAACTAAGTCAACTCCATGTCCGCGTCTTCCGGGGCGCCGTCCGAGTTTTCAGCTTTGGGGCGCTTAGTACCGGGTGGTGCTTCAGAATCTGCACTCTCCGCTTGATCCTGTAGCAATCGTTGCAGTGCAAGTTTATGCTTAAGCCGTCCAAGCGTCCTCTTTGGCAAGCTCCTCTCGACACTGGCTGATGTACCGCTGCCTTCGAGAAGTTCGGACTGTCCGCGCTCTTGAATTTCAGGCTCGCCATCAACATGCTTAGGTAGAGATACGAGGTCCGAGTATAGATCTAAGGCTTTGAGTTCTGTCGGAGTTGCTGTGAAGAACTCAACAGGTAGCTCCCTATGAATCAGGACATACAGACCTGGTATCACGCATGCTGAATTGAGTGACTGGAGGAGCGGGGGTGCGTTATCAACTTCAAGGAACTGATAGATGCAAGTCAGATAAACTTCACAGCAGCCAAGGTTGGACACGTCAAACCTCGCCAGAATGCCATCTTACGACCCGAACCAATTTCCCTAGACTTTCAGGATTTTCCTTACCCCCGTAGTCTGCATCCAATAAGATCCAGATCAAGCCGTAACCAGCTACGGTGAAGTTGATAATTGGTCTTCCGCAATCAAATCGACAAATCGCTGCATCATCAGTAACGTCGACTGATGAAAATGCAAACAATGCTGTCGCGCTGTAAGATGATATAGGTCAGACCTGAGGCTGTCAGACAAGAAGAAAAAAAAAAAAGAAGGCGATACCCGACGACGCTGAATACTATATGGCTTCCGCCTCGGGAAACGAAAGAATCAATTTTGTGTACAACGAATACTGTTTCTGTCTCGGCGAGATCCCGGTTCGACATCGACACGTCCGCGGATGAACCGGCGATTGGGTCCTCGCTGTCACCGCGTTGGATATCCTGCTTCTGTTTCGTTTTCTTTTTCCGCCGACCGCTTCTCTTGTTAATTTCCGCGTCGTCATCACCGCCATTCTGTGATTTAGGCCTCCGCTTTGGAGCCTTCGCCATCATAAAAGGTTCAACGTCACCAAAGATGTTGACGTTGCGCTCTAAACGGCCTGTCATCCAATCCCATATTTTCAGGTCCGGGTCGCCCCCGCCAGAGATTAGACTAGTCGGCGCAGATGGGGGAATGTGAATAGCAGAGACATATCTTTCCGAAAGACATTAGCTCTTTTCTGCGACGGTCAAACACGAATCATACCTTTCGTGACCTAGGCAATAGGACTCGATGACGAATCCTTCCGGATACCAACTCACTCTTATGTGTTCGTCCCTGTCGGACGTTATTATGAAGTCCTGATCAGGAGTGAGCAGACAACCCGTAAGGACAGAGACATGTCCAAGGACAAGGACTCCGCCAGAGGGATTTTCAGGTAAGGCAGATGCATCGTCGGCGGACTTTGTGGACGTGACACTCGGATCGTGGCGTAGAGTGTACCTTGCGGGCGTTCCGTGTAAGATCACTGGACCACCACACATTACACTCACCGAAACACATCGCCGAATTTATCAGCGACGAGAACATCATCGCCCTTCGTGAACTCTATCCCCGTCGCTTTTTTGGGTAATTCTCTGCAAAAAAAAAAAAAAAAAGTCCAGCGATATACATCCCAGGGATCCGTCGGGGCCGTACCGTGTGCTCATCAAAGCCAGGGGCCCTAAATCCCATACTTTCAAGTGCTTGTCGTCCCCAGCAGTCGCAAGGTATTTATCGTCATGACTTATCGCTGCGCAACGGATCGGACCTGACTTGATCACGGCATCCTTGTCCTGCGCGCTGAAGTTCGTTGTGGAGTGGAGGATGTCACCGGTACTGTGTTACCAAGAGGTAAGGACTACAACAGAGTCACGCGTTCATGGCGGTACCTCGTTTCAAGTACTTGAATATGGGCTCCGGTGATGACCACAGAGCGAACCGGACCAATGAAGAGCCTGGAATGAGGATATCGAGACATGTTTTGAAGCCATGTACCCAGTCACAACCCAGTTGCCTTATCTAGACTCCAGAGCGATAGGGGTCATGAATCATGACCGCAGAAAAGCTACGATCCACCGAGTATGGCCCCCTCATTTGTTTACGGTGGGTATTTCTTTATTTTTTCATCAGGAGGAGCACGTGGTAACTGTAACAATAAGATCCTAGTTTATCAGGCTTCTTGCAATGACACCAGCGGGTCTGAGTCCATTAATGTTTCAATTGATAGCTTTGTCTTTGTCATACTGGTCTTGTAATAATAATTCATCGTGTGGGTTCCAATTGTACAGTTCATCGGCAAATGCCGACTGTGGCTGACTACCAAACTCAAATTATACTGACACAGGCGGCGCAACTCGTCAACGACAACCCCTCCAAGCAAACAAGATGGTCAGCATTTTCTGCCCTTACTTACTCGAGTTGAACCCTTTTGACGGAATCTGACAGAGCAAACGCACACGCAAGGTTGGTGTGACCGGAAAGTACGGCACTGTGCGTATAAGTCATCCTGGGATCGTTTGAAAGAAGTGCATGTTGAAACTACCGGTTTATTGCATATATAGCGTTACGGTGCCTCCCTGCGTAAGCAGGTGAAAAAAGTGTGTCTGTATTTACTGCAGTTCCTTCGTGATCTGACCTTGTACTGCGCAGATGGAAGTAACGCAGCATGCTCGTTATACCTGCACGTTCTGTGGAAAGGCAAGTAGTGATAATCTATTCTCGTTCGTTTCGTCTCACGCGTTCATCGGTGTCTCTTCTGACCTCGTAGGACTCCGTTAAACGTCAAGCGGTCGGTATCTGGAGCTGTCGTTCGTGTAAAAAGACTATCGCAGGAGGGGCGTGGACAGTTGCTACGACAGCGGCTGCTACAGTACGGAGGTGAGCGCCCTAGATGATGTGGCTTCTGCAGATACTCAGCTATGATGCCAGCACCGTTCGTCGTCTGCGGGAGTTGACTGAGGCATAAGTGTAATACATGCCGTATATTCTTTCACATGCTCTTATCATGTTCTTACACATGTTCCGGCAACGCTATGCCTCGCATTTGTATGCAATTAAGATGAATACTTTGTGCTATATAACCGAACCAGACTTCGGGCCTGAACGAAGGCACCCGAAATGCTCAGCGTGATAGCACGCACTTGGGATACCCAAAATTATACATGTATTCAACGAAACGAAATAATATGCACAAAATATAATAGATCACTACAACGGTGTGGGGCCCGAGCCCTCTTTTTCACTCTCTTCGTCTTCTGTGTCATCTTCCTCGTCTGTATCATTGTCATTGTTGTCGTCGTCGTCATCGTCATCATCTTCACTCTCATTGAAGACGAGAGATACGAAGTCGTCACCAAGTTGGGCATCCTTGACGGAGACATGCTGCGAACTCGGTGTATTGTCAGGACCAGAGAGAGAACTAGAAGTGACGGCGGATGTTGCGGCAGAATCAGCCAGGGGCTTCAAACCCGGGGCTGATGGTGCGGGCGTTGTCGGTGTCGCCGCCGATGTCGAATGCACTTTGCGACTGCGGTTCGCACGTATGACATGAGGAAGCTTACATCCCTTCGTTGAACAAGTGCCCTTTTCTGCGAAATCTGGACACTCTCTAACGTGTTGCATTTTACAGTCGAGGCCCTTCGCGCAAAACCCTAGGACAGCAAAGTCACGGCAGACACCATGCCGCTGGCCCACGCGAATGTGAGGAAAAGGACACTTTTCCCGAGTGCACCGTCCATTGTTTGCGAAATGGACACAAAGCGGTGTGCGTTCCGGAATCGGGTCGTGGGAAAGGCTGCAGCTCTCAGCAGTGTTGGGACAGTTGCCATGTAAAAAGTTCCAACAGATGGCGATCTTGTCTGGGTCGTGCCGATACATACAAGTAAGGCCACGGCTGCATGCACCTATGAGCAACGTGGTCAGTCGTATTCATGGGCGAAGGATCAGTGTGCTGCCAGAGTAAGGAAGTATGACTCACCTGTAGTGGTGAAGCGAGGGCATGGTTTGTCAACGTATTTCAATCGTTTCGCAGCTCGACGTCCCCTATAACGGACCATTAGAGTTGAATTCTGTAATAATGCTTGATGGTGGACAGACTGAGTGGGAGGCCGAGTATTATCGAGAGTCAAGTTTCGATTCCTCAGTCGGTGACTCCTAGAGGATACCTTTGATTTGTAAATCCGACCTGCTGGGATGCGATGTCCGTTTGTCGTCCTGAGAAACTCTTGCTGAGGTATGGGCCTAAGGGGGACTTTGATGGGTGCTGTTGTCGGTTTTGGTGCTAGAATGAAGGTGCGTGATTTGATGGTTGGGTCCCCGCCCATCGCATGCGACCTGCAACACAAATACTTACCATCCTTTCGTACGAGAGAACGAGAGGAAGATTCGAATGCGACACCACCGATGACGATATCCCGGGTTGAGGAAGGTTGCGTGGTCTTCGTTGCGGGGGCTGGAACGTGGTTGGATGCTATATTCTGATAAGATCGAGGTTTGTAAGAAGGAGGAGGCCTGTAGGTTGGATTAACATATTTATTGCTTCTGCGATAACTTGCGGGGCCGGGGGCAGGTCCATAAGCTTGCTGGACAGACTTGTGATGGTTGATCGCGCCTTGATAGATAATGGGTTAGAGAATGTTACATGTAAATCCAAGCGAGACAAACCTGTTAAGCGGGCTATTTCTGCCTTGAGGACTGCGTCACTTGTGGTGGTCATTGTGGTTGGAGTTCAAGAGCGGATTGCGACAACCTTGGTCACAACACGAGGACGGGTACAAACATGTGCAAACAAGTGTGCCTATTACGTAAGTACTTGTACAAAGCCGTGCTCCTCCCGGCCTGCAAAATTATACCGTAAAACTCGAAGTCGAAATATAACAACACAATTCCTTCCAGTCTAACCAAAACGCCTCAATGAAATGCGACACTTATACCGTGATCTGCGAACTGTCCAGCCCAAGAGCATGCAAAAACAAATTGACATTAGCCAGTTTCGTCGACCGCTCTTCCTCGTCCGTAATCCATCCCTTGTGGACACTCGCAACATTCTCCAGGACTTTGTCACGCAGCCCAGCAACTAATGTGGATTGTTGATCTGGAGAAGCGTGGAGGGCCACTGCTGCCAGGAACTGCCACACAGGCTGATCGAGAAGATCGGCTTGCCGCATAACAGTTGGCCCCGCCGTTGTTGCCGCCGGCTGGAGTGCGAAACGCGTAGATGGGAATAGCATGGGGAAATACGGGGCGAGGAGCTGGAAAAAATGGTCGAACACCAACTGCCTGAACTCTTCATGAATGATACAATAACCGTCAGGATCACCGCAAACACGCACCATTGTTGAGCCTCTTCAGGTGTTGGAAGATCCGTCGGCTCGGCAATAGTGCTCATTCCTTGCTTGATGATCTCTACACGACTCAAAAACAGCGTGAGCATCGCAATACCGGGCTATCAAACCGGTAATCGTGTAAGCTCATGCTAGTCAACGAGATTTTGGCGTGATACTCACCCGAGTCTGAGCAACCTGGATGATGTCACTCCGATCTAGGAGTAATCCTAGTAATCCCGTAACGAGTCGTAACTCTGCCCGAGCGACAACCGGTAAGATGCTCTGTAGTACGCTTCCGAGGAATGCAGCTGTCTGTCGCTCCACCTCTTGCCGTTCTGGTGAGTCTTCAAGGGTATCAAGAATATGTGCCTGCGCGACCACATCTAATTGAGAAAAACAAGCCACAAGTAGTGTCAAAAGCGTTGGCATTCGGTGGGTGGCAATATGTCGACTGAGCCGTGGGAGTAGTTTTTTGCCCTTGATGGGTGTGAGGAGGGAAATGAACGGGTGTGGGTCACTGTGGGTCCTGTCAACATTGTCCAAGCTCAAAACTAATTTCCTTTTTACCTGGTCTCAAGAGGAATCAAGACCTTCAGCGCGACCCATATCTGTTCCACCAGATCATTATATGAGTTGGACCTGGGTGAGCATCAGTCAAATTCGACGGGCTTGCCAGCGGAGTAAGGCGTACCATGCGGTAACAGCCATTACGTCTTCCTCTGGTGGTTGATCGCGTCGCAGTTGCTCGACGTTCAATACCAGGTCATAAAGTGCTTCTAGTGCGACGAGGACTTGCCGATGCGTAAGCGGATCTTTCCTCACCACGCCATCAGCCTGAATCCACCGAACACCACGACGGCGACAACGGCCAACCCAAACAATTATCGATACGGAGCAGCGAAAGAGAAGCGTTAGCACAACAGGAAGTGGCGCGACAAAAGTAACCCACGCCGGCCGCATCTCCCAAAGCCTCGCGCCCCATTTTTGCAGCCTCACGTGCAGCACCATTACTATCTCCCAAAGGGTGCCGGGTGTCTAGTTGGACATCATCCTTGGAAATGTGTGGGTGTGTACCAGATACGGTGGATGTCGCGGTACCCGCATCAACCTGAAGGAGTTGTCGAGGTGCAGCCTTGTAACTCCGTCCGGCGGTTTTGCCAAGAGCTCCCTGAAGACTTTGAAGGGCTAAAGGCACATACTAGTTTCAGAAGAGAAGAAGGTAAGAAAAGACAGACGCACAGTGCAAACCCTTCTCTTTTTCGCGGAGCCTGGCATTGCTGACAATCCGCTCCACCTGTGCTTCCATTTTTTGCATCGCACTTTGGCGCCTTCCGGGCACTTTTTGCCCAAGTCCGAGGCCGACACCACCGCCCGACCCAAACTTGAGAACGCGCTCGTCTCCAGACTGCAAACCCATGCGAGAACGAAGGATGGCACCGTAAACCTGTGCGTAGAAGTCATCCGCATACGGGTCCTGCGTAACAAGTTGCGAGACCTGTATTCTGGTGATGAAGTCCTTATCAGATTGCGTCATCAAATCGTTGTAACGTGACTGCAAATGCAAGATCAGCAGATACTGCGAAGCCAGATAAAATGAACAGACCATGTGCGCAATTTTGGCCGCCTTGCGGCGCCGTTTCTCCTCCATTCGCTCCGTCTCCATAATTTTACGCATGGCCTCTGCTCGTAGGGCTTCTTGTTCCGCCTGGCTTATGCCCTGCACGTCCCTCATAAACTCCGCTTGAGCCATTTCTGAAAGCAATCTCTGCTGTAGTTGGATATTTTGTGGTAAAAATTGGGCGTTGTGTTGGTTCATCAAGGGCGTTTCTGCAGGATTCCCACCTACGTAAGTGGCAGGCGAGTGTCCCCTGCGCTGCTGCAACGCTTGTAAGTCCGCGTAACTAGCTTGTCGGCGGGCTTGAACGGAGGGTTGGCGCTGAATGTGGGATATTGACTGAGCGCGTAGCTGCCTTTCGATCTCTTCCATTCTTAGTCGTTCTTGTAGCTCTTTCAAGCGCTCCTGCTGTTGTCTTTCCTGTTCTTGTTGTAGCAGCAAGATCTGTTGTTGGTGTTGATGATGGAAACGAGGGGACTGTGTGCGGGGTAACTGGGCGTTGGCGTGGTGTACCATACGTGGAGGGGGCGTAGGCTGCTGCTGGAACGGGTGCTGATGCTGACTGAGACGTAGTTGTAGCTCATGCTGTTGTTGCTGTTGAAGTTGTTGCGTGAGTAACCTCTCCTGCTGCTCCTGTTCGGCAAGGCGCAACTCCCGCTCTCGTTGCAGTTGCATTTGTTGTCGTAATTCGAGCTCCTGGCGCTGACGGGCTTGCTGCGCAGCGAGCCGCATTTCAGCCTCTATCTCTTGCAGAGTTCGTGCACCGGTCTGCGTGACACCACGAGAGATCGGACGAGGTACTGAAATCGGTGTCTGCGATCGGGGGTGGATCTGCTGATCGTGTAGCCGATGGTCTGCAAGCGCATGCGAAGGCAGAGTGGTCTTGTTCAATGCAGACGGCGCTCGCTGGTGATCCGTGGGACGTGAAGTCCCATTTGCGCGAGGACCGGGAAGCATCGAAAACGGTGACTGGTCATCCCAGATTGAAACACCAGCTGGAGAAGCGACTACGTCGATGTCATATAGATGAGTGTGACTAAGGAGAACAAACGAGTTACATACCGCGCCCAGCCAGCCTCGATGCAAATTGGCTAGAGTCCTGCAGGGGTGTCTGCTGCCTCGGGAGTTCCTGGGTAACGATCTGCTCCTCATCCCTGCCTCCGATGACATCTGGCAAAGTCTGTCTTGTGAAATCAAAGTCTTTGCCTGCCAACCATGTCGCACTCAGAAGAGATGAGAACACAACATGCTTCAGTACTCACCAACTTCACCTATGCCACCAAATGTCTCATCGTTCAGTTCATCGCCCCCTTCGAGCAGGGCATCACCAAGACCATCGTAACTGTCGTCCCCCCAGGTGTAGACCGCAAGGTCCTCAGACTCTTGCAGGCCACCTTCCAAAAACTTCTTCTTTTCTTCCTCTAAACTGCTGGTTTCGAATCCAAAGAAAGACATAAGAAAGCCTTGCCTTGACAAGCCAAAGGTCTTCCGGGAACTTCGAAAACGAAGAAATCGGAGAGATATGCGGTCTCAGTCACAAATACGACCATACACACTCCGTTAACCCTATTACTTTGCTTGACATACTACACTACTCTATTACAACACTGCCCGTAAACAAGCAATCTAACCTAACCCTGTCCCTGCATTGTCTGCTTCCCCATACACAATCGTCCTCTCATATGGCATCTCCATCGACCCGATCTTCAAATCCGTTGAAAATCCCAGAAAAATGGGCAGATCCTTTGTTAAGGTTGCCTCGGTATAGTACGTCATGTTTAGGCGGGCTGGGATGGCGGAAAGAGATACAGACAACTCGTAGTTCGTGTTCAGTCCATTTCCCGGGCATTGCTCTATAAGTGACCATCGAACAGTTGGGCACGAGCCTTGGCTCTGAATTTCCGACACTACTGCAATCTGAGCAACACGTACAATGTTCAGTCTCGGGATACGTATATAAGGGAGTAACGTACCGGTCCATAGGGGCTATTTTGGTGTATCGTACCAGCAGGTCTGCACGGCGGGACAGTATCCAGGATGCTCAGCGGAAATGACGTGCCATCAGTGCATTCTCCTGAAAACATCACTGTGAAGGAAGCAGACTTGAAGCGAGCATCCTCAAAGGGATCTGGGATAAAACTAAACTTGAAATGCAGCGTCCCTGGAGAACCGTCTAGGGTGTTCAGGAACATGAGAGCAACGAACGACTCCCCATCGTTCGCTCGGCCGATTTCCAGACCAGGATCCGTCTCCCTTGGCACATATTCACAGTGCGGCTCCTGGTCACGAAACTGTATACGGTTATGAGGCCAACGGAAAATGCCTTTGCGTTTTGGTTTGATCTCGAATTCTCCTGTGCAAGGTTTTCTAGATATTCCACCGTCGTAGTCTCTCGGAGGGTGGGGTGGTACATAAATATGAATGTCCTTAGACATAAGTGTCAAGTTAACAACGAATAAGCTCTCAATTTAGGGTGTCACCTCGCTTGCTGAACCTGCACTTCTATCCGATATTACCGACGAGGAATCGGAGTCGTTTGTGATGGTGACTGGTATTCTTGCAGAATTCTTCGTAAGCTACGTCTAGGCGGATAGCGGGCTATACCCACTCTCTGAGAAGAACGCGGCCCGTCAACCATTCCTGCATATCTGTTGTGTAAGAACACTGACTCGACACTCTTTGGTGCGTTACCTTCAATTCGTCCTTCGTGACCTGGCCTTTCTTCTCTGAAACTTGCTTCCCGTCATAGAAAATGACAAAGTGCGGCGTCTAATAACCCACGTCAAGTTGCGGTTGCGAGTGGTTATCCAGAGGACGGACGCACCTTGGTGGTCCGAACTAACTTCGCAATGTCCTTGACGTAACCCAAAAGATCGGACCGGGGAGTTTGCCGAATAGCAAGTAGTATCATACCGGATGCTCTGTGATGTTCACCCTACAGAAATGCCATTGTGCAGACGCGAATTGGGCGACAACACTTTTAAATATCGGTGTCGTCCGGATACAAAGGTAGCATAACGGAGAATAGGAGTATAAGACAACATTCGCGTTGGAAGTAATCTATTAACATTTATTTTCAGCATATCTTTGTGACCGAGAGGACTCACCATGCTGGAGAGCTCGTCAGGACTGGAAATGTACTGGATCGTGGCCATTCTGGGACTACAACGAGTGTGAGCTGAGGAGCAGTTGTATCCGTTTCGATACGACACTAGAATTCTGAATGGGTGCTTTCTTAAATCGACTCGTCTCATCACAGCGGTCCGAGCGCCCGTCTGCCAAGCTCGTCATCGAGATTTGAAGGGGTTCCACGGTGAAATCCAACTCATGTAGTGCATGTGACTTTCTACTATCAGACGCCTCCAGATTGGCAGAACCTGTGATCACCGCCATCCATCACATCAGACTTGACCACTTCGCTGTTTCAGATATCTATTTACGGAGGAATTGAGCGCGACGATGGAAAAGAAAGGTGTATTAACATGATCATACTCCCGGTCATATCGCTGAGGTTTCATTGCGATGGAGGCGAGGGGACCGATATGATGAACCTGGCGAGGAAACTGATATGATGGACCTGACCCACGACTCATGTGCTGAACTTCAATTGGGCATGTTGAGAGCGAGCATGTGGCGACGGGCGTCCACTTGGCTGAGGCCCCTATGTGGTCTAAAATTATCTCTCCGGGAGGACGGGCTGAAGCTTGCCGTTCCGTCGATGTCGGGGTACGTCTGACATATTGGCAAGCTTCAGGAACCCATGTACTGGAAGGTTCCAAGTCAGTCACTTATTGAGCGCCAGGCTTCCACGCGCAATCGTCCCAGCGTCCATGTTGGGAAACATTCTTATAACTGAGACGTTGTTACTGGGAGGTTAGCAACGTAAACCCATCTGACCGTCACCGGGCTTCTTCCCGCTTTCAAAAAGACCAATATCGATGGTGCAACCTATAGAGATCACAACATTGGAAGAATATGAAGAAGTAGTTCGTCGCTCTGTTCTGCCTCTGCTTGAGTTCATACTAAGCGGGTGACTTTTAGATGACCCGCGATAGCGTCGTGCTCTGCCTGTATACCCTAAGATGTCCAGCATGTACAGTGATGGAACCGATATATAACAGTGTCGCGACCTCCCTAAAATTTCCTTCGTTATCCTTCGTGAGAATCCAACTTTACCAACACCCAGTAGGTCCATCCGTCTTCATATTCTTCTACCTGTTGACAGTCGGCCCAGGCATTGGATGATCCGATTGTGTTGCTAACTGGTGATTTAATAGCGAGGGGTCTAACACAGGAACAATTTGTGAGGCAACCTATCGCAATAACTTAAGCATCGTCTGACAACGTTCTTAGGATTTTGGCATCCCTCTGCTTTTGATCTTGCGGAAAGGACACGTCTTCGTCTTGAATGAAGGGCCAATGCTCAAGGAAGAGTTTGAGGTACGCCATGCCCACCATATCGCTTAGAGGAGGCTGACGTATCACATCTGACAGAGATGGCTCTTGGATTATCTCGAGGCAGGCCAGTAAGTCCGTGACCAAAGGCGAGAAACTCATACTGATGAAATGACGTTCTCAGGATTGCAGGTACTGTGATGGACATGTCTGCGGAAGCCCACGGAGCGAGTGTGCGTGGTGGAAGAAGACATAGTTCAGAAGGGCTCAACGATTTGCTTTCAGGTCACGAGATTGGAGGAAATCACCCAAAAATCTCGCCTTGATGAAGTGGTAGGTGACCCCTCACGGCTCCAAAAGATCTGCGTCGACCCGTCCACGAGATCCACCAATTTGAATACGTGGTGGTGCATAGTTACTCACCGCGGCTTCCGCACTCCCGAGCCACGTTGGAAGTCGTGCTACGGGCACATTGTTCAGAGGCGTTCCCAAATGTGCGATTTTATCAGGTGAACTACGAGAGATATGAGGTGAATATTGTTTACGAGCAGCTGGTTTGCATCCTTTTTCTCACTGTGCACTCACAGAACATCTTCGACACACAAGGAGCCGAAAAGGTATGCGCACTGTTCTCTCGACTTAATGAAGTTAGTGCTTGCTCAATTGTGTCTTAGGCACATGGGATTCGAGTCTACCGATCTGGATATCTTATCGCCCATAACACGGTTGCTATGCAGTGGCCTCAGTTAAGAGTGCGCTGCAACCCTTGTAAAAGCATTCCCATCTGACAATAATGCTAGGTGTGGTTATCGAGTCAGATGCATTTGTTAAATTCGTGAGCAGGACTTGAATATGTCCGGAGCTCATGCTGACCTTTGTTTCTGGCCAGGACTGCTGAGGTTCCAGCAACACCCGTGAAAGCTGAGTGTTAAATTACACCGAACAATGATTCCCTGTCTCCGACCTCTCTTCAACAGCAACTCTCAATGCTCGGGAACATTATGGCTGACTCAACCGAGTAAACTTCATTCTATTTGGGTGTATGCACAGTAGTTAATCAGGTTTGTCTAGAACTTTGGTTGCCGATGGTCCAATTGGGCCCGAACGAACACGGCGTTATAGCTTGTAAGTTTAGCGCTCGATCCATTTTCCTGGTTGATACTTTTCTTTGGAATTAGTTCACATTTGGAAAAGCTCCCACTCGTGCTCGACCCGGTAAGCAGACCATCGTGCTGGTCGCGCAGTGATTCTAAGCGACCACCAGCTCTCCAAACCGAATAAGCTCAGAAAGCTTGGAAAATTAGATGCTTCCTTCCACTTGCGGCATCTGCGTCCGGTTGCGTGTTCGGGACTTTATGCACGTCGGAACAAAGAGAAGTGGCCTCTTCCAGGAACGAAGAAGAAATTTTTTGATCCTGAAGAAGAATGTGTGTGGCTCGCGACAAAGGATCAAAGCGAAATCATTATAGCTGAGGGAAACATTGGTGATTCTGCTCTCTCGATCTCGGCAGCAGCCACAGTCGGTGAAGGGGCGGATAAGCTATCATTCAATGTTCGTTTCTTTGCCCCAAAAGGGCGGTGGACAACCGCGCTCATTAAGTTTTCATTCTTTGACGAGGATGGCCAGCCCCTCAAAATCGGCAGCTTGTTCCCCGACGACCACAACGACCATCCTATCCCGGTTGATAAGGTGATTCAGTCTTCCAGCGGCGCAAATTTGGCAGTTGGCGGAGTCCACCCAGTGTCAGCATCAATCGGCTTCCAGCGTGCAACGACCGTTACGCACACATTCACGGAGATGATGGGAACACGCATCCGGGGGCATGGAGTGTGCAAAAATGTTGCAACGTGGTCCTTCAAAGAGGCTACAGGTGCTAGCGGGGCGGAAGGGTTTGGCTGACTATACTTTGAAAGTAACACTCTCTGAACCGCAAGTCTTCGTCAAAGTGGAGTGCCATGGAGAGGCAACACTCGCCGGAGGTCACGGTGTTATCGATGATCGCATACAAATAGGGACGGCTGAAAATCTCTGGACGAGATTCGTGTACTGCAGCAGTAAAGAGTTCCTGCAGGCGACGCCTAAACCGAAGGAATGATACCGGTACAGTCTCTGTAGTCACGGTTTTGTTGGTAGTGATGTATATGTGCTCGTTTAATGTCAATATTGTTACCACTTGTTATCCAGCACTGTGCATTGCCGCTTCAACTTGATGCGTGCCGTGCATCGTCTTCTTGCTGATCCCCTTAGTGCGCGTCCAGGTTGACGTACTTACAGCGACCCGTGTACTTCATGTATCGTATTCTTTCCCTACACTATACTCCTTCCAAAATGACATGTTTCATTTGCAAGCAAGGTGTATGCCGCCAGCCCGCATTCTCCGAGTCTAATCCAAGTACTTACTTAAGTGGTATGTACGCTCACGGTCTCGCATACTCGTGTACATCTTCCAAGAAATCCAGCATCGTACTCGCACTCCAGGCCTGAGTATTGCATGAGTCTCGGCAGAATGCACCATTTTCGTTCGTTAACTCCGGAAGACCCGCCCAAGGGTCAGTTTGGATGTGGCTTCGTGGCTCAAACAACGCACGATGCAACCGGTGAAGTGTCCTCATAGGGTCCTAGTAGATCATCGTCAGAGGGCGGCTTCTACTGCGAATAGATCGACTCACATCCTTTCCCTCACCAACTCGAGTATCGAAATATAGATACGCGCGCAGGAAATATCCAAGTGGCCACCCCCATTCAGGCCCCTAGAGGCGATGAGCATGGGGCAGTTCATGTGTAGGACCAGACTCACGTTATGGTAGTTCAAACCTTTGGCTACCGATGGATCATCGGAGTCATTTGAGTTATCGTAGTTCGGCCTGTACTGTCTGTCAGAGGGGTCCAGCGTCTTCATACCTAACGGCCCTCGGAGGACTGTGTCAGCAAGGCGTAGTGCTTCAAGTGCGTGGTTTTCGTCGAACATTTCTGGCGCGACGGCCATCGCGATCGGGAAATTGGGTCTGAACTGGTAGTCAGACCATTCCCGCCCTTGTCCAGACCCGTACACGTCCTTATAAATGCCTCGCCGATTCACCACATTCGTGTTAATGATATACTTGGCGTCCTCAGATGGGTCTGCGTTATCTTGTCAACACGGGTAACGCACACCCGAGGGGAGATTTACCAAGTGGGACATAGTAATGCTTTTCAAACGACTTCTGGAGGAGATCATTCCACTGTCCATATGTCACAAACCTCTCTTCACCGTCGACTGAATGGTAACTTGCATAAGCACACACCGTGATCATTCATTAGCCTTGGAACTCACCGGATGAAAATACTCCGCGATAGGGAAATCTGCCTTTCCTGCTAAGCTCATCCAGCCACCGAACCGTGCTCTTGACCAATCCTGTTATCTCAATTGGAGCACCGTCTCGAGGCGTCCCTGGTACGCCTTTCGTCCCCGCCCGAACGGACTCCCCCATCTTATCCATCCAAGTCCCGCAATTATCAGCATTTCCTCCGAAGACCAATCCTGTCTCCCAATCGACATAGATACCGATGTTAAACCCGTTGTCTTTCATTTGTTGGTCAAGGTTGGGACCAGCATTATACTCGCGGAAAGAGATGCCCGAAGCGTGTCGCTGGAGGATTTCTTGAATGATTTCCGCAAGCGTACTAGTGCAAGAGTATGCCAGGGGATCGTCCCAGGCAACCCAGGTGTCGTCCACAGGAAACCGTCGCGGAACGAATTCTGACAGAATCGAAAGACCATTCGGCGCCATTTTGACATAATCTTGGATATTTTGCAGCATCCACCATGGGGAATCACGTGAATTATACCTGTTAGAGATATGAGATATAGCGCCCGCAACTTCGACAGTGGACAAACCGAGGATTCCTTCCCGAGTCCAATAAGTTCGGGATTAGCCCGTGCTTAAGCGTAGACGCAAATGCCAAAATATGGTTCTTTGCGCCTTCAAAGCTTCCCGTTGCCAGGAACAAGCCTCTAAGTGAGATGAATACATCCCTGCCCCAGCACCTAGCCCACCCAACACTGAAATGGGGTAAACCCGCTGCCAGGGAGGGTGTAGATTTCACTGGATCTAGCGACGCGGATTTCACTATGCCGTGCATCTGCACCGCACACATGGCTAGGCTATGGGTGAAGTCATGCCCGTCGGAGACAAATTCTGAGCACTGTTCGATGACAGCACGGCGAGCGACTTTGTATGCTTCCGTCATGACGATAGCGAAGAGCTTCGGACGCAGATATGCAGGAGCGTTATTCTTAACACGCTCGAACCTCTCTAGGAACCATTGAACAGGGGCCGCAAGGTTAGGGAAACTGTCTATTTGGCTAGGAGGTGAGGGCATAAGCACCAGATACAGAGCAGAAAAATATTAGACTCACTATGCCAGCCGTGAGACGACATAATCAAGGGCCCAAGTGCCACGTCTGAGGTTATCACAAAGAGGATGCCCTAGATCGTTATGCCTTGTGATATGTCTCAAGGGGTGCATCCACCCTTCTAACCCACAATATGTTAGTGACCCTGCACCAGGGACGTCATAAACACCGAATTTTCCGCCGGTAGCATCCCTCTCTTCTGCATCTGCGCGATGCAGAACGACATTCAATTCCGCTAGGTCAAGGCCGCCAAAGGCGGACTCGGCACCCGACTTGCAAAACTTGTCCAGCTCGAGGTCAACTCGCTCCAATTGTGTCTCAAATATCATGATACTTCCCGGAGGGAAGTACTCCGGGGGACCAAACGAGCAGTGAGGTTCAGAAACAAGGTTCTTCTGTTCGACAGGAACTTCTGGCAACTCGATCAGTGTAGCAGGAAGACCCCTGAGCAATCCTGGGTCTTCGGGTGTTTCATACGAAAGAATGTCGATGGCGAAACCACAGATAAATTTTGCACGGGTTTGAGCTAGTTCCGAGGGTTTAACTACACAAGCCAGAGGTCGATTAGTAGCAGAAAATCTGATACCACTGCGCAACCTACACGGTCCGCGCACCTTCTCGCGTTGTTCGAAAGCCGTGTGCGCAACGAGTACGTATGCGTGCTGAGTGACGGGATGCATTCTTGTCATCACGATATACTAAAGACGAGATTATGAACATGACCACACATTTGAAAAACCACCACTTACATTAGAGTCTCGATACACATTTCCTTCCGTGTATCCTCCTATCATCATCTCCCTGTGCAGCGAATTAAGTACCCTTTTCGCTCTAGAGATACCAGAGTTCTTAGAAAGGCCGGTTATTTCGTACGTTCGTGTTTCTTGAACCAGTTTTAATAGCTTCGGGTAGAGATCGTCGAAGCCCTTGACGGAACCAACGGCGCAGTAACCAAACGTGACGATTCCCGCCACGGCGAGTGCATGTTCCGCGGTCCGCTTGTCCAAATACGATTCATTATCGTGTGTTAAGTCGTACAATAGGGCGTGAGGGGTAGAGCCATTCAATGGACTGACAATGCATGGTCGAGTTGGTCCCTTGCCGAATGGAGGTGCTAGCTCTTCCGTACTTGTCATACATGCTTCGTCCATGGATCCTAATCACGAAAATATGAGCTTGCCTGTATGTCTATGAAAGTCAGCAGGCATACCAACTGGTTTTCCCAGCCCAAATCGATGCATGACCCGCGAAAACTCCTGGGCATCCCATGCGTTCCCGGCCTCCCTAATGAGACTGTTTACGCCCAGCTTGCGCACAAACAGAAGATCCATTTCCTCGCTGCCCGTGAATAGTTCGGCACACACGTAGAGGTTCGGGTTCACCTTGCGGGCCGTGTCCAACATCGCAGTACCGACGTTCAGAGGTGTCGAGTGGCAGTTGTCAATACGGAAGCCATCGAAAGTGCGCGCTAAATAAGTGACATAGGACGTCATATGCTCCCATAGCCAGGGGCTATCTGAAGGACTGGATCCATAACGAAGCTTTACACAGTCACCCCATACTATTACCTCCCTGCGCAGATACGCTTTAGAGGGTGGGAGAGCAAAATTGACCAGCGGATCCGCATTCCACAGCCAACCGTTGTGGGCAAGGGAATACTTCGCTGGATCGGAATGGCAGTGTGGCGCGACACGAGTGAAGTACAATTCAACGAGGGGCGAGCTTTAAAACCCAAGCTAATCAGCACACATATACGGATACAATGCCACAGTCTACGTACTATTTGGAGATCTCTCCAAGCTTAGGGCCATCGTCGTCGAGACGTGTATATTTCAATCTGTTCCTGATGTTGTCTAGTGCAACCCGGGTGTCCTCCTTCCACTCGGCATAGAGTGGCACGTTGAGTACATCCACCACACGTGTCCAAGCTAGCCCCAGTGCGTTGACGTCATTTGCGAGCGTCGGAAGGGCCGCCTTCATGAATCCAGCTGAAATGCCACCATCTACGCAAGCAACGAACCGCGAGGCCAATGTTCCTTCCCCTTGGATCAAGGATGCTGATCGTAAGATATTTGCAAGTTCGACAACAGATCTTCCAGCTACGTCTTCTCCAGTCCAAGGAACGGTCGTGTTCGATAAGAAAGCATCCGTGAGTGCGGCTTTCTCTGCCTCGACGTTAAGCACATAGTACTGCCACAGTTGTTTGGTTTCCACATAGCCGGAAAGGGCATTCAGGAGTGTATCGATGTCCTTCTGGCACGACACGTGTGTAGGCAAATCATTCTCGGAAAGTGATGATGAGAACTCCAGGATTGCCGTATCCAATTCAAGCGCAGGAGTAAGATGAGGAGTATTCGAAGGGCTGTATCCTACACGAGCATAGTAAATGTTGTCGATAAAATATCAAACACGTTGAACTCACCGGCCTCAGGATGTTCGGCAAGCCAGGGACTGTCATTAGCTGTATGATTGAGCACGACATCTGTCAGATTGAGCAAACCATATTCTTCTTTGGCGACACGGAGTATTTCCTCCATGTGCGCACTCGCTGTTTGAGAGTCAACAGGGGTATCGAATACAGACAGATCGTATTTCTTCTGGTCTCTGATCGAGAACGGGCTGTTGCTTTCACCACGTTCTTGCAGTGGTGTCCAATGTAGCATGGTATATCCGCGGTCGCTAGCTTCCTCGAAATGTGCTTTCCATTGTGAAATTGGTCCCATCCACTTCGAGACTACTGTCAGTATTGACAGGGCATCCAGTGGAAGGTTCACGACTTCGGAGAGTAATTTAGCACCTCCCTCCGAGGGCAGCAAAGGCTTCGAGTCCGATGAAAGAATAGACGTTCGTGCGCGAACTCGTAAAATTGGGTCTATGTTGAAATAACCTTCACGTCCTTTGATGCGCTCTCCAGGAGCATCGCCATCGTATTCAACCCAATAAACAAAGGCACCCGCATGGGATATAGGTAGATCTACTCGGATGGGTTTCGAAAGGTCAGTCGGCAAGCTATGGCGGATAAGCACGACATAACATTATATCGGAGCATGGTTACCTTCGCTCCGTGAACCTATCCCTTTCGAAAGCGCCACCGTCGAGGGGAAAGTTGGTCTTGAAGACACCATTCTTTGACGCCGGCGTCCCTGCATCCAGAGATACACGAAGGATATACGGGATATACGCGGGAGGGAGACGGATGTACTTGTAAAGAATGAGGAAAAGGCACGATGAGACAATAAAGATGTGCCGATGGACATACAGATCCTTCCTTGCTGGGCCCGCCGTTGGCACCTAACTTGAATTCGTACACACGAATAGGCGCCTCGCCCTCAGCCCTTTCGCTCAGGAAGAATTCCTTCCCTTCATCTGCGGGAGTTCGCGGAGTAGGTGGTGCAGCGATATCACTTGCGCACGGAGATGTACTGTTTGCCGGGACACACTGCACGGTGAGATCCGGCTTGAGAGAAGCGGGTGCTGGATTCGCTGGGTTCACCATCGCACTAACGAGAAGACGAGGAGTGTTTTTAATTCCCGGTGACTCGTGTTTGGGCCTTTTTATATTCAGGTCCAAAGTGCTCAGGCTGTCCTGCCCGATTGTCACTTGCCTCTCCACTCCGATGTGGAAAGACACGTGGGAGCAAGTGGAAATCACCCAGATTTGGAAAAGCCCCTGAGCAGGGAGTGGAACCAGACTGAAACTAGAGGAATGCACACGTGGATGCTTTGGACTATACGAAATCCATCTAATTGGCTTCGGTGTCCGTGTATATTGTTTCTGCAATGCGGAAACATCAGTCACTCATTACACGAAGCTGAGTATTCCGATGAAATTAGTGCCCAAGATTGCAGCTGCCGCACAGCCACTGACACTGACACTCAACCGAGGCCGACAACGGAGTTGAGTTGTGCACAGTCATCTCCATTGAACACCGTTCCGGAAGTGGTGCCAGGCGTAGATACTATAATGCTGACATATAACCTGAAGTTTTAGCCTCCCGCAAATTGGAGAAAGAGATGTCCCCATTTTTGCATGTAGAGGGCCGAGGGACGAGAAGATGCCCCAAGGAACGGACACCAATTACCTGGTAGTATTTAGTAATTTTCTACCTGTGTCGACGATACGAAGCTTTGCTATCAGCGGAATTTTCTGAGAGGATCTGTCTTTCTTTTACTTCTACCTCCACCTTTACGTCCTCCACGGCCTGATGCTAATCTCTTTTTGAACGGGACAAACTCAGTCTGCGTTTTGGAGGTATCACCTTCAGTGTCCGTGATGGGAGCAACACGAGGGAGAAGGTATTTCGGCACGTGTTTCATATGTGACTGTATCCGCATGGGATGCAACGGCTTATCATGCCGTAAGTACTCGAGATCGAGTGGGTTATCTTCAAAGTGCGCCTGGGACGGGGTGAGAGTCGTCTATGAGCTATGCACTGTGGACATACCTTCAGTTTCTCAGAGTTGAGTAGCTCTGTTTTCAGCTCCTTTATCCTTGCTTCCTTAATCGCGTTCTTCGTCACGGACCGCAGTGCGTCATCCATACGATACCTAAAGGCTTCCACTTGATCCATGTTGAACTTATACTCCTGTATTTGTCTCCCTTTCGCCTTTTCACCCTTTTCGATCCGTTCCCATATTCGTTCATCCTCACGCGTGCTCTCAACCCCACCTACCACTTTGTGCTTTCCCCACTCTGATTGTGGTACAATGAAAGAAAGGGCCATTCCAGAGTGGCCCGCGCGTGCCGTGCGTCCGACGCGGTGCGTATAGGCACGATATGACGTCGGAAGATCGAAATTTAGCACACAAGCGACATCCACAAAGTCAATTCCGCGGGTAACCCCGTACTCCTTATCACTAGCACGTATTTTGGACTTGCGCTTCTTGGAAGAGTTGGATACAGGAAGAGGAGAACCTCGCCGCTTCTTTGAGGAACTTGCTGTGGCAGGCGCTCCAGGTTCCCCTGGTGAAGAGCCTAGGGTGATATGTGGAAATAATATCAAAAGCATGCAAGAAAAAAACGTACAATCAGCTGGCTGATTACCATCGCCTTGCACTTCATCATCCTCAACGTTTTCATCTTCAGTGTCGTATTCCGGCTGCCCACCGCTTTCATCCGAGGCAATAATGTAGTCATATACCCCCTTGTTGAATTCTTGGACCGTATGATACCTTGCCCACTCATTTAGTAGACGATGCGCAACTCAAATGCTTCCGCATACCTAGAATTGAGCGGTAATTCGGAGTTCAACACGCAGCTTTTAATGGAGAACTGTTCTAGGAAAAGTTTGAGGCGATAGCAGCGATCGACGTCGTTAACGAACAAGATACATTTGCCTTTGATGAGACGGAGCTTGAGTATGACATACACAAGCAAGAATTTGTCAACCTCAGAGCAGCTGAGGTGGTCGATGCAAAATGTGAGTGAAAACTACATATAGTCACTTGTAGGGCCCATACCGGACTGAATACTGGGTTAGAGCAGAAACATCATCTTGATCATCTTCTAGTTTGAGGATAGCCTAGCAGACAATCTGCATTAGACTGGCGAGGCAACGCAATGCGACAAAATAAGCTCACCGGACTACGTAATGTCAAGCCTTTCAAAGTCTCGACATCGTCCGTCATGGTTGCACTCATAAGGAAAGACTGATAGACCTTGGGAAGATACGTTCCACCAAATATCTGCCGAATATCCTCGTCGTGTCCATAAGACAAAATAAGGTCGGCTTCATCAATGACGAGGGTCTCGAGTGATGACAGGTCAATGGCCTGAGGGGCATAAGGACAAAGGTGTCATAAACGTATGCAAGCGCACCTTGGACTGAAGGAGCCCAAGTATACGAGACGGTGTTGCGATTAATATGTCAGGTTTGTCCGCCAAGAGCGTACTTGAGGTGAGCCACGTCAGATATGACAACAAAACTAGTCTACAGAAAGGCGTACTGCTGCAGATGCGTTACGAAACCACTGGCAGCGTTCAAGAGCGTAATCTCTTTGTCGCAATACTTGGTGACACTGCGCAGACACGTGAGGACCTGTTCGGATAGTTCACGTGTGGGAACAAGGATCAAGGCACGGGTGGTATGATAAGTTGGATCGACTTCCGACGAGTTCTACCGTGCGTTGAGGGTGAATGAAATTGATTAGTAGGAAATACCATACATCTTTCGCGGTAAGAATCTTTTGCACGACGGGGATACAGTATGCTGCAGTTTTTCCACTTCCAGTCTTGGCCCTCACGAGCATGTCACGGTTTTCGAGTGCAATAGGAATAGCCTTCCATTGCACGAGAGTGGGTCGAGAAAAACCAATATCGGCGAGAGCACGCAAGATACGTGCATCAAGAAGATGAGCAAAGGCAGAAAACGAAGACGAGTTGTGAATGAGACGGGAATCGGCCATGGCTGGGTCTTGTGCTCGACCAAACAGATTGACTCTAGAGAATCCGTGTGAGAAATGACCCGAATTAGAAAGCCCCTGAGAAGGCACGTCCTAAGGTACTGGCATCGATGTCTTTTGGCGCCAGTGGGGGCTGGTGACTATCAGTTAAGCTTGATGATAGAGGCAGGTGACAGAAATCATTTTGAAAACCATGACGCCGCTTCACTACCACGGTCGTGTGTCCTCACTTTGTACAATGTGTGAACGTCACGTTAACATTGCACCAGTGCTTCCATATGATCAGACACTGGAAAGACAAATGGCCAGTATTGATCCGCCCCACCCCACCAGCGCGAAAGCCTTCGTGAATAAAGCCCATAGCCCATGACCTCCTCTCATAAATCCGACCCGCGCCTTCCTGACGATTCTTTGTCATTACCGGTCTCAACTCTGAACCCTTCGCTATGACTCTACCAACCTTCCAACCTGGCTACACTATTATAATGGTTGGATTACCACTAAATCAGACGCGTACACCTCCCTCTTCAACCGTCGCTTGGCAATCAATCAAGGTCATCGCGGGTCACTTCGAGTTCCTTCCTAATGGCCCGTATCACTAGTTTTTCGTTATTGACAACCTTTTGTCCGCCCTTTCCCTATCTCGGGGCTTGATTTTTCCCCTGCAAATATTTGAGTTTGATTTCCTGTGCATGTCTAAACGCAATGCCGCTGCCGCTGTGTCCAATCTTCGATGAGACCTTAATCATTTCACTCCAGTCTTGCAAATCATGACCTGGACTAGGATGCTCCGACGACACGATGACCTGTTGGCAAACTGCGTCTGGGACCTGAGTTCAATACCTTTTCATAGTGCAGGATCCGTGGGAATTGGTAGAATTGGAAAGCCCCTGGATGGAGGGTGAATGGATAGTCCTGTCAAATTGACTACAACACTATAGGATCTAGGCAGAGAGCATGAACTCAGCGGTATTGATCGTGATCGTCACGTGAAACCTACCAGCTAGACTCCATGCGCTCCGTTCAACCAATACAACTATTTGTTGGCCTCTGTATCATGGGGAACATTATCTGCTTTTTCCGAGGTACTTGCATGATCTACTACCATATCTTTTGGCGCTAGCGGATACTGATGGCTGTCAGCTACCCGGTGATAGAAGCAAGAAACAGAAACCATTTCGACGACTATGACACCCAGCAAAAACCAGAAAGCTGCTGCACGACCGTGGTACCCCGTCGCACCACCGTTTCTGGCCTCGATGGCGCTTTCAATCGAGGTAACAGCAGAGAGGCCGACGGCCGAGCCAATTTGCAGTGCTCCGTTGAACATCGCTCCCACAGTACCAGACATAGATACCGGAGCGGTCTGAAAGATCGAGAGGCTGCGGAGCGTAGCGTGAGACCTCTTACAGATCGGAGGCGTGTACCCTCACTTTGTATGTATGAACGTTAGCATCGCACCAGCGCTCCCAAGGAGCAACGCCGGAAAGACGAATGGCCAGTATTGATCCGCCTCACCCCCCGCCAGAGCGAGTACCGTGGTAGCAACTGCCAGCATAGACAGTCCCAGTAAGGTTATCCATTTGGGATTGATAACCCTAGCCAAACCACCGGAAAAGCTGGTTGTGAATGCTATCATGCCGACAGGAAGCCTGTCTCAGGGTCATATGTACCTTTGGTATTTAGGGTGTACTAAATCTTACGCACATGTGGACGGCTGCAGCGATCGCAGACCAATGAAAGACGTCTTGCCACAATTTCATGAAGATGGTAAAGACCACAGTCCACCAAAGGAACGGCAGCAAGGCCAGTCCCATGAGAACCGGAAAATTCTTGTAGTGCCAAGTGCAAGAGGGTCTGTTTAGAGGAAACTATGAAACAGGCCACCAAGGTAAAACAGAACAACAGACATAGCAGGCCCTCTCTGTGGGGAGAAGCCCTTCCCAGCAGAAGAACTGCAACTGTTAAGAGAACGGAGACTACAGAATGAAACCAAGACAACAGGAGAATCCCACCCCTGAGTGGGACCTGATGTGACCGCAAAAATGAATAGTATGATGGCAGCTGGGGAGCAGGTTCAGTTTGCGGGTCTCAAGTAAGTTGGATGCCGGTATACCTGTTAAGATGGATACTCCAATGATGTCAAGTGTTCTCCACTTTGCAATGGAACGGTCATGGCTCTCCACAAACTTCGTATTGCGTGGCATGACAAACATACAGATGATCCCGGCAGGCACAGCAATGATGCCGACGAACCAGAAGGTCAAACGGTAAGAAGCCCACTGCGCGAACATCGCGCCGACAAGGAAGCCAAGAACTAGATGCGGAGAACTGCGTGAGTGCAGCCACGCGTCGTGATTCGAAGGATATACCATCTGCCACTGCACCACAGCCACCGAATATTCCAATTGCGCGAGCCTGTTCAACAGGGTGGGGGAAAACGTTTGCAAGAAGAGTTAGAGCTGATGGAATGGTCATAGCGCTGGCTTGAACGCGCAAGTCAGACACCTCATACACTCATTTTTGATACGTACCAATGCCACTCAGCCCTCTCAACACGATTAAGATGACCTTGCTGTTGGCGAAACCGGCACCGAGCGAAATTAGCCCCAAAGCAAAAATTCCACCAGCGAAAGTGAATTCTAGTATTCAATCAGAGAGGTTATAATTTTTGTCGCTCTATCCAGCTTACTGGGATTATACACGTCACTGACGCGCCCGCTCTTCACGGGGAAATTAGATTTACTTTCACGAGAGATATACCAAGTAGACGTACGACCAAAAGAGTTGAGGCAAAGGTGAGCTGGTAAGCACTGACGATCCATACCGACTGACTTGTCGTTACATGCAACGACTGTTCTAGAGCTGGCATGGCAGCGAAAACGGTCGACATGTTAAAGGCATCCAAAAACTGGGCAAGGCAAAATAATGACAATAGTAGTAGCCGCCTCGTAAGAGGGAGTTGGTCAGGCGACTGATTTTCCACTGTATGCCCAAGCGAAGCCGACATATCAAGGTGCACTGGACCAGTAGTGGGACAGATGGTTTTGTAGTCTCCCTAGAGTGGAGAACAGGAACCAATAGCGGACGGTCTTTTTATATTGACGCTGGCAAGGATGAAAAAGTCTGAGCTACCGCCCCATCGGAGATATATGGAGACGTTCGCCAACCCACCCGCATCGAAGGAGAAGGCGGCCTGGAAAATATAATATCGCGGGTTTCCGAGGTCTGTAGGAGGGTAGGACCCTTACAGGAATGTTGGGGAGGAAAGGCGACCTACGAGAATTTTTCCGCAGAAAGACCTCGCTTCGATGACATCGAGAAAACGCCACGTCTACGGGAAGTCCCCTCCGACGACGACGACGACATAGTGATCCCTACCTCGTTGATTAAACAGAAACGTGTCTGGTTTACACGCTGGGGGGGATATCCGGTTGAATGACCTTCCTTACCATGGCCGAGCAGCTGCGAGACTCCAAGGAATGAGAGAATCCCTTCCAAAAGGGAATGCGAGATCCTGCGAATACTCTGGCTAATAAGTGGCACTCAATGACATCTTCTGCATGGTCGGAGCGGACACAAAAGTTTCGGAGGAACTGTCAGGGTTGCCCAGGAAAGAAAGATCTCGTGCCACGCAAGGAGTGTATGCTCCTCGGCACCATGGAAGGCACGGGAACAACTCCATCAATATGATATTCGGACGAACTTCCTTTTGAGTCACTGCATCGGTGGGCCAATCTTGAGAGAGCTCTTCAAACGCGGAGGTAGTTTTTAATGGTGATCCAGTCGACCTTTCAACTGCATGTCGTTACGAATCCGTCCTGTGAATACAACTAACGCCGATGAGAAACAGTAACCATGCGCTTCCACAAATAGGGCTCAATACAACAGGAGTATGGCAAGCAATAAAACAATACTGTAAGCCGAGTCCAAACGTTGAGTGAAGGGTCGCTAGTTGGGGAAGCATGGGCCTATCCTTCGGTTACGCCTGATAGAAGTCGTCCGCTTTTTTGCCGTCCGAGAGTAGTGGGCAAGAACCCATTCTCGCTCAGCTTCCATCTGCTCAACAGTGCCCTTGACGTATCTCGTATGCTATGGACCAGTTCAGCTCATAACTCGACTAAAGGTGATTGGTGATGAAGGTGCAACTCACGTTTCATTTCAAAGCGAGGACCAACTTCTGCGAGTTCCACGCCTCCGGCGACCTTGACGAAAACATGATGTCTACAATTATACTGATTAGTAACCAGATTTTTCAGATCCACCTGGAGCACACTCCCTTACCGGAACGAGATGAAATCGTCTTCGTTCGCAAATGTCATAACGCGTTTGCTATCCTCTTTCGGCACAGGAAATAAATATTTTAGGACATCCCGTATGCGTACACCCAGTTTCGAGGTGAACTGTTCAAATATCAAGTGCGGATATTGCTCAGAGACGGTGGATGACTTGTACGAATCAACGTCGTGTCGAAGAGCCACGTTGTGTAATGTAAAATACACAGTAGGTCCATGGGGGAAATGAGACACGATCATAGCATCTGAAAATGTATATGCGATCAGCCTGTCTTAAGAGGTTTACACGCTCACCAGGGATACCGCGATGTTCGTGCAGAATAATGAGGTCAGTCACGTCGTTGGCACGACATGCATCCACTAGTTCTTTGACGACATAATTTCCCCGGTTGATCCTATGAGAATTTGGAAACACGAGACGCATTTCCTTGATGGGCCATTTGTATACCATTCAATAGAAGTAGGTCAACTGGCAGTACCTTTGCAAATTGAAGAAGCTTTGAACTAGGATCCCTTGATGTTGTTATTACAAGCTTAGGATCATACATCCCCGCACGGGAGTATTCATTGTCGATATGGGTCGACGGCTCTGCTCACAAGGTCGCGTCAGCTTCGCTGCCGAGGACGTCTGCCACGAGCATACCTTGCTGGGCTTCATCGAACGCAAGATCCTTTCCGAGTGTCTTGGCATTGTTTTTCAGTTCTGTAGGAAGCTGCTTTCCGGACGCAAGGGCGTCTTTTATTTGGCGTTTCCGCTCGTATGTCTGCCGTTCCTGCGCTTCGAGAGATTTGGCATAAATATATTGTCTGCGTTCACGCGCTTGCCTCCTAATCTTTGGAAAACGATAGGATCAGTCAGATATGCAACAAATGGGTAGCTGTACCATCTTATACAGCCCAATGCTGTTTCAGTGCCTCGTCCACTAAATATGTGGTTTTGGGTGCAGTGACCAAAACAGGGAGTAAGTAATTGGGCAATAATAAATGTAACCCTAACCCTAAACTTACACCATCAACTCACGATGGACGGGAGGACCGTGCGTCGTGTATCTCTCCCCCTTCACTCAAGAACCGCGCTTGTGTCTAGTATTTAAATGCGATAGATCCCCGTATACGAGTCCGTCCTCTGGAATACAACAAACCGACATCGGTGAGAAATCACATCAACCATGCGCTCTCCAAACGACATGCGGCTCAAATACAAAACGGAAAAGAAAGAAAGAAAAGAAAAAAATACTGCAAGTAAAGCAATAGGAGTGGTATTGTAAGTCGGGTGTCCGAATGTTGGGTCCTGCAGATATCTTGGACGTGCGAAAGCTTTTGAGCATAACTAATGTGGGGATATGGGGGGCAAAAAGAAAGAAGAAAGAACCACGAAGGACCGAAGGCGTGCCACGACTTGGATGGATAATAGTCAATGAAAGTGCAACCACCCACTCACTTGGAGAAGCCTACCTCACAGGCCGCTCATCGTCGTCTTTGCTGTTGCCAGACTGCTAGTGGTACGTCTTCCTCCTCACCACGTAGCGCTTGCGACGATTCAATGCTCGTTGGCGGTTGCCCATTCGTTACGGAAGGAACCACGCGAGCGCTCGCGGCCTTCCTAGGCCTTACATCCGGAGATAAAGGCCGAGAAGTGACGACCGTAGCAGACACGGAGCGGCCTGGTCCTTTGGCTCCCTGTGGCCGACCAGGGGCAGTAGCGACAGGAGTATATCTGTTATGGTTCTGCGATGGCGGCGAACGAGAACGCTGCTGAGGCGGTGGTGCTACTCCGCCGTCGGGATGAACAAGGCCATTGTGGGGTAATTGAGAGGACGGCGTATTTGGCATCGGTGACGACCCAGGATTGACCGGTGACCACGACGGGTCAAGCGCCATAGGCTGCACACCACCCTGTGGTACATACTGGGGGTCGCCGTCACCATAACCATATCCGGTATATGCATAGGCTGAGGGATCAGGTTGAACCATGGGTTGAGAATGATTCGGCGGACTCGGCTGCCGATGCACACGAGTTCCCCCACCGCCAGATGCACCGCATACATAACCTGGCGCGTTATACTCTTGCTCCATGACTCGATGTTGCATTTCGTACTGCGGTCCTTTCACAGGCATTTCTGCGGTTCGCCGCCCACCTGGCTGTCCTGGAGCTGGCTTCGTCAACGCACCTCGCCGAGAATCCTTCTTTTGTTGCTGCGGCTGCACTTCCTTGGTCCTTTCCTGCTCCTGCCTCTCCTCTAAGCGTTCTCTTTCAATACGCTGCCCCTCCTCCGCCTCACACCGCTCCTGTTCCGCCTGCTCCTTCTCCGATGACGACTGCACGGGGGTTGCTGCTGACTGGACCTGGGGACCCTGAGTTGGCGCTGGATTCTGTGTCTTATTGATCACCCCCAGGTACCAGAACATCAGGTTGCTTATCAAAACTTGCTCATATAGCGGCCTTCTAGGATTCGCCAACTTGATATGGCTGAGCCGATAGATAGCACGCTCCACGTGGATAGGGTATCTGGCATAGCCCATGGGACCAGGCTGCGGCGATGGCGAGGGTGGGTGGGACTTGGAGGACTTGGACGCACCAAGAAGTGCTGCCGCCGCATCCCGTCCCGACCCGCTGTACCCAGGGCCCGCATGCCCCTCGTCTTGCTTTCTCTTCCCGAATAATGATCCGAAAAAGCCACTCTCCTTTTCTCGTTGTGAATCCTTCTCACGTTCCCTGTCCTTGCCCGATTTCTTTGCACTCTTGTCACTTCCCCATTTTTTGAAAATACCCTTCTTATCCTTTTCCTTCTTAGGAGCTGCACTGGACTTGGTTGAGGAAAATGACTCGACCGAAGGCGTAGTTACTAGCGTTTCCTCCGTCGACGGGGCAAGAGTGGCAGTATCCGGTGAACCCGCACGGGCAATTTCGTCCGCAGTGGTCGCAACAGCAAGGCGCTGTGGCTGCGGGTGCTGTAATTCTGGCACCGGCGTGGGCAAAGAAACAATTGGCTGGACGGGAACCTCCTGGATTTCTGAGGGTGGATGCGGTTCTTGACCTTCCGTAGACAGAGATAGAGAGAGGGGAGGTGGTGGCGAGACGATGGACGAGGCGAACTGGTTCAGATCGAGGTCTGCTTCCTCGCGAACGTAAGCGTCATATATAGATGCCTCCTCGCTGAACGAATCGGGTCTCTTAGAGGCCTGCACATCGTTAGCGATGACATGTTCTACGGAGAACGCACGAGGTCGCGTCAACTGTTCCGAACTATCGCCCAGGTCGTTAGAGGTGTGGTCATTGGAAGAGAGGTCGCTGGACGTGCGTGGTTCCGTTGCGGTAGCAGCTCTATGTCGCCTACCGGGTCCGAAGCGATGAGGTGCTCCTTCGCCTGGTTGACCGGATTTGCGAATTTTTGTCCGAGCTGCTCTGCGCAGTATCTGAGGGCGGGGAGGGATGACGATGGGAGCATCGGCTTCATCAGGGATGTCTGCGATGTTATCAATTTTGTCGATGGCTGAGAGAGGCGTCCGCTTGAGCAAGCATTATCACGACGCCACTGCACTCTTCGCACTGACCTGAAGGTGTTATGTTGAGACTGAGCGAACGCCTGATGACTGCCCTGAACCTTGACGGATCATCGCTTTTTGACGCCTCTTCTGCCAGTTCTTCTAGTCGTTGAAGGTCGCTGATAGTAAGCTGAGGGCCAGTGTGCATGAGGGTGGAACGTCTCCGCTGGATAGGAACGATGGTTTCCTCTTCCACATCGTCGTTCTCAGATGGCTTATACTGTCTACTGAGCATCGAGCGTCTTCTCTCGAGGCTGGAGGAAGCGTGTCCAAAAGAGTTGGCACGACTGACAGTGGTGGAGCCCTCCGGTGGAGGCGTGCGGGCATGTTCCTTGAGGAAGTTGCGGAACTCTGCAGGAGCAATTTCTGGGTGAAGACGGGCGGGGACCCAGAAGAGATGAGAAGGATCGTCAGAGGCAACTATCCGTTCTTCTGAGCTACCACTGTCCTCATGAGAGCCACTACTTGAGTCGCCATCGACGAGGTGTTGGGTTACTTCAGCAGACCAGTAGGTTGAGGTGGGCGACGTCGGGGAGGACGGGTTGGGAAGATCAGGATCGAGGATAAGAGCGCCTGGGCCGCCCTGCGCTGTCGACCTGCGCCGGATGTCTCGCAAGGGCCTCTACCTCCCGCTGGATCTCGAGCTGGGAAGGCTGCATGACCTTGACCTACCAACGAGGACACAAAAGTAAGGAAAAACGTGCAGGGAACGTTCTTCAGGGCGAGCCGGCCGACGACACGCCGTGGCTGTCAATCAGCGGTGGAAGGGAAGAAGTACAAGCACGACAACTCCCGTTGCGATTGACACTGTATATGGATCAACACTAGCACAGACTACGAGTGTGGCGGTGGGCACGCTTCAAGCACAGAGCACGTCCCACTCGAGTACATCTACATCTATATAATGGTCTACTGAAGCGGGCGATGTTGTGGAACGACGTCTCAGCGGGTATCAGGGCCACCCAGCCCTGCTGCCTCACGCCGCAGTTCTTGGATAACGGCCTAATAGTCCTGTGAGTTAGATATGTACGTTCATGAAACACCAGAGGGGACACGGACTGCCAGTGCTTCGGGGTTAACCCCGCCTTCGATCATCCCGACACAGGTAGCAAGCGTTTCCTTGTCCAGCTGAGTGTTCAACAGCTGGGAGATGTCAAAGAGGGCTGTCGTGTCCCACCAGTAAGTTACCCTGACAGCCCACGAGAGCGATTGTGGAGAGACCCACTGTCGAGTGTCTGCTGCGCTGCTGTTATTCGGTCTGCATCTTTGGACGACATCGTCTTCGGACTCGATATGGACATCCTCCGATCTCAGACACTCCACCGCCATGGCACCATCCAAGTCCACAAAGAAAGCCAAAGTATTCCACCCAGACTCACGGAAGGCAGCTCAGCTAGCTCGTACCCAACTTCGAAAAAATAAGCTGTCCGATGCGAGGTCTGAGAAAAAGAAAAAATTGGCTGCTGAAGGTTCCGTGTCTCCCCCACCGACTCTCCAGAGCTCCCACTCAGTACCTGTTTAGCCGATGTGTGTAGGATTTTTCTACCACGCTTTACCCCCAGAAGGCGTGCTGTCTCTCCAAGAGCTGCACTCCCTAGTTCGCGATGTATGGTTGACACGACACGACCATGAGCTGGAAGAGGAGAGATCTGCCCGGCGCAAGGGCCGCCCAAAAAGCACGAAAGAGGTGAAATTGGAAGAGATCAAGCTTCGTGAATCAGAGGAATACAGGACAGGGTTTGGTATGTAGTCACCCATTACGACGCTGTCTGGACTGTCTAACGAGTGTACAGAAGTGTTAGACCTTACCCACAGTGCTAATGTCGAACTGTTCCGCAAGTGGGACCAAACGGAAGCTGCCTACGTGCAAATGCTGCGATTTATCCGCATCACAAGCACAGACCCTGCCGTCGCAATCCTAGTCCAAGCCAGGGAAGCACCCCTCCCTACGGCAGACGAACCCCAATCCATCCGCCAAAAGGAACGTCACGGACATCGACGATGACTATGGATGAGTCCTTATCATGACATGCACTACGTATACGATCACATACATTGCCAATGTCCGGTGTTTACATGACACGAGGTCTGATAATATATCCCTCTCTACACCATCACAGGTCTTTTCGCTTCCGCTGCCGCCCTCTGCTCTTGCTCGTTCGCAGTCCTGAACACGTCCAATTCCCACACTCTTCGTAATCTATGATAGATCGTCTGGAAACTAGAAGAGGCGCCTTTTTCAGTGGATGAACCGAAGCGCTACCTGGTAGCCAGCTAAAGCTTGAGGCGTGGTCGGCTGGTGCACTTCTACCTTGAAGGCGACGAATTTGACAACAGGGAGGGTACCCCTGGGATCTTCGACTCCAGTCGAATTTGCACTTGAGCACTCCGGCTTCTTCGGCGTGCGTTAAGGTGATTCGGATGCCAAGGCCGACAAGCAATTTGCGACATTCCTCTCGGGTCGTAAACGTATTTTGGACTGACAACAGTTCGTAGCTCGCCGGCTTGAAGCTAAACGCGTTACTCAGCCACCACCCTCCTGACGTGGACGCAAGTGTGGTCGAAGAGTCAGAGGAAGCTGAAGAAAAAAAGGATGTGCGAAGGCTTTTTCTTCGTGACAACATTTTCGGGGATGGTTCGATGATCTTCACGCGCAGAGAAGACCGTCTCGACACGGCGTCATCGCTTTTGTGGGACTTGTGAAAGATCATCGGGAATTTTTTCTTGTCCGACTTCGGGAGTGACCTGCGCTGGAATTCTTTCCCTTGTTGCACACCCTCGTCACCAGGTATGTCACATTTGGAGCATGGGCTGAAGGGTTCACTTCGATCGTTGTGTTCGTGTTTAGCATACCGGCCTTCCGCTGTCGTACATCGGCAAAACTCGTGGGTCACTTGCAGGGGAGGAGCCCTCATACCTGTACGGATTGCCATCGCGTTCAACCGTTCGACAAGTTGATGGAAAAACTCGTGCATCGCGTCGTCGCTCCTCGGAGCCTGCGTTGGTCGAGGTGGTGGGGGCGAATAAAACAGACGTGGCGAGAAAGGCTGGGTCTTATTGCAAAGGAGACACCCAGCTCGGCTGAGCGTTGTGTGTTCTGCACGGGGAGGTGGCACCGATGGCGAGAAGTCTCCCTCCCTCGTGTGGGAAGCGCATTTCGTACAGCGGGGTAGCCCTTCCGATTTTCTTCTCTCCTTTCGTTTATCTCGCGCCTGCGCGAAAAAATCTTCCTCTTGTTCGTCATAATTTTCAAGCCGCCTATATCGGTTCTCGGTGAGAAGGTGATATACGCCCTTTTGCCAATTCGGTTCGTTGTTTCTGAGACTTTCGATGATGTCCCTGTCAGGGGTGCCGTGCCAGAGCGTCCTTAGGTTGGCCAGAATACTCTGATCGATATCGACTTCTCTTGGGACAGGGCGAGCCATGAAATTGAGATCTGGAACGCGTTGGTCGAGAACCTTCCGTTCCTGCGACAGAAAGAACGGATGCTGAAGTATTTCCGCCATGGTGATTCGCTGCTCTGGATCGTTCACAAGCATTCTCGATATAAGGTTCTTTGCCATCGAGTCGATACGTAGTGGCACGTCGTACTTGCCGGACTTGACTTTCTCCAGGAGAGTGGTGAGGTCCTCGTCGTCAAAAGGAAGGTGACCCGCTAGCAGAGCGAACAAGATGACACCGCAGGACCAGATATCTGAAGCACGCCCATCGTATTCTTTCCCCATGATGACCTCTGGGGCGGCGTAGTGTGGGCTTCCGCAGGAAGTTCGTAAGAGGCCGTTGTTTGAGCCGGCCTGCCATGCTGCCATACCGAAGTCTGCAATCTTGATGTTCTTGTCCCGGTCCATAAGTAGATTTTCAGGTTTTAGGATCCCGATGTGCGATGTTGAGACGATGGCAGTAGTCGACTGCGAAGATGATTTGCTTGGAAGTACCCCAGAGCTTCCGCGGTAGACAGGGGCCCTTTGTTGCAGAGGTAATCGAAGAGTTCGCCGCCCTCGACGTACTCCAGAATCAGGTACAAGTCGGAATTGGTTTCCCAGACGTCGTAGAGGCTGCAGGATGTTAGGGTGGTCGATTAACTTCATGATGACGATCTCACGCTCGATATTGAAGAAAGCGTTCCCAGAGCCGGGTCTACTGACAGAGTTCAGAATAGTACTCTTCGATACAATCTTTACTGCTGCTAGCTGGTGCGTCTTCACGTGGCGGGCGATTCGTACTCTGCCTGAGAGCGCTTCAGCGGTTAGCCACCTAGGACGATGACCAGCCATATACCTGAGCTTCCCTTGCCGATGGTCCTGCCGATCTTCCACAAGCCAATCATTTTTGGATCTCCATCGCCGTGGTCCTGCCGCAGCGGTCTTGCGTAGTCGTTGTACATGAGTGAGAAAGAGAGAGAGCGAGAGGAAGAGGAAGAGGAAGAGGAAGAGGAAGAGATGGGCAGCGGCGGGCATATATAGCCCCTGTCATCCGCCGTGCCAAACAGATACAAATACCACGCGCTAAACTAAGATCACGTGCATTGACTATCTCCCAGTCATTCTCGAGTTCAGCCTTCCACGGTCCAATTACTGAACATCCCATTGTAATGCAACCAACTCCAGCGCCATCCGCGCGATCAGGTTCCCCTGTTCCAAGCGGGTTATCCCAGGCAGAAGAGAACATCGGATATGCTGCGCCACCTCAAAATAGAGGGAGTGCCCCTTTCTCAGTCTTAACGGGTCTGTTCGAAAGATTGTCGACTGAGCGTAAGCCGGAACGTCGCAGACGCATGTTAAGCGTCTGGTTCAATGTATGTCTGTCACGCGGAACAGATCAAGCAGACTGATGGAATGTCGTTTAGCGGTGGAGAGAGGAAATTGGCTATGATTTGTACCCTGTTTTGCGTCTTATTCTCCCGCAGGTACGTTGTGGGATATGACGGCTTCCTCCTTTCAGACGGTAAATGTGATCCGCACGTAGAAAGATCGGGAACGCGCCGTCTATGGCTTGAAGGAAAAGAATATTGCCAAGATCTATATCAAGCTTATCCCACTTGGAATGCGAGACCCCGACTCCATCCGGCTTCTCAATTGGAAGAAACCCGCTGGGACTAATGTCCGTTGCTCTTTCCCCCCCTTTTTTCTTTAGGAGAGCTGTCTGATTCTCCGTGCAGCAAGCCGCTGGTGATTTCCCTACGGTTCTTTTCGACGTCGTGAACAAGCGCTCGTCGGTCGTCGAAGGGTCACTTACAATTGATGATCTGAACGGAATTCTTGATGATTTAGCCAATGCCACGGGAAAACAGTACGCGCCACATGCCATGCCCTTCTAGAACTAATCCCCCGGTCAGGGATGCGCAAGCCAAACTCCTGCAGCGTGTCTACAACCAGTACAACGGCTGAAGAGCAGAGATGGATCGTGCGGATTATTTTGAAGGGTTTGTTTCTCTCTCAACAAAAGTGAGAAGGGTGCCAATCTCTCGCAGATATGATCATATCTGTCAAGGAAACGACCGTGTTTTCCGTATTTCATCCCGACGCTGAAGATTTCTTCAACACCTGCTCGGACTTGAAGAAAGTTGCTTGGGAGCTTTCAGATCCCACACGCAGATTAAACCCAGAGGTATGATCATCGACACAATATACTATGATGTCCAACCGCGTCCCAGGATAAATCCATTCAGCTGTTTCGCGCTTTTGCACCGATGCTGTGCAAGCGGCCGACCCGCAATATTGAGGAGTCTGTCAAAGAAATGCAAGGCCGACCCTTTATCATTGAAGAGAAACTGGATGGAGAACGTATGCAACTGCATCGACGTGGAAATGAGTATTTCTACTGTTCGAGGTTGGTCCTTGCTTTTGAACGGACCGATTGGTCTAACGGGTTTTTAGGAAAGGGAAAGACTATACGTATCTCTATGGAAAACACGTGGGGCAGGGTAGCTTAACCCCATATATTGACGCTGCATTTGACGAGCGCATCGACGAGTGCGTATCTATATTTGGAATCGTCGTGAAATTATCACCGTTCATACAGCATTATTCTTGATGGAGAAATGTTAGTATGGGATCCAACCTCGGAACGGCTCCTGCCATTTGGATACCTTGAAAACTGCTGCACTTGGTAGGTTCCGTGACAGACTGTTCTTATCAGATCTCACGTAATGCTAGACAAGTCAAAACAAGGAGTTGAACCCAAGACCCTGCTGTAGGTGATGTTTTTTGGTCTCCTGGCACACTCTTACGGGCGTTTCTTCGTCAGTCAAGGTTTTTGACTTGTTGTACCTTAATGGCATGTCTCTTCACAAGAAGTCACTCAAGTTTCGCAAGCGTAATCTACGTGCATGCATCAAGGAGATTCCCGGGCGCATAGGAGTTCACCACTGAATTCGAGGGCAAGACCGCAAAGGATGTTAGGCAGAGAATGGATGAGATTCATGGCAGCCAGAGGGGAAGGTCTCATCCTGAAGCATCCAGACTCCGAGTACACTCTGAACGGACGTAACAAAGATTGGATCAAGGTCAAACCAGAATACATGGTATGAAAAGATATTCGCTACATCCGGTCTCTGACATGCTGTAGGACAATTTGGGTGAAACTGTTGATGTGCTCGTCGTCGGTACGTATGGTCTCCGAAGCATCATTACTCCGGCATTGTTGATACTTTTTACAGGAGGGAACTACGGTTCCGGAAAGCGTTCCGGTGGTGTCGCCACTCTTTTGTGTGCAGTCCTTGATGATCGCAACATTTCAGATGGTGATGAGCCAAAGTGCGTGGTGTGGCTTACTCCCGACCGTCCCTCGTTCTCATTAGCCGTAGATACAGCACATTCGTTCGCGTTGGATCGGGTCTGTCTTTCGCTGACTATGTTTGGGTACGACAAAAACCTTGGAAAGAATGGGATCCGAAACACCCTCCGGACTTTCTGCAAACAACGAAGCGTGGGCACGAGGATAAGTGTGATCTATACATCGAACCTGCTGAGTACGTCGGGACGCTCTTCCATCGTCTCATCATCACTTGTCTGATACCCCACAGTTCGTTTATACTTGAAGTCAAGGCAGCAGAGATTACGACTTCAGGTGAGAGGTATAGTCACACCTCATCCTCGTGCTTACCTTCTCTTTCAGACGAGTATCACCTTGGAGTCACAATGCGGTTTCCTCGAGCACTCCGCATTCGAGACGATCTTTCCATTGCAGATTGCATGTATGCATCAGGTAAGGCATGTACAGCTCTATTCACCCCACTGGTTCCTGATGTTTTTCAGCTGTCCTGGAGAGCATGCGCGCAGAACGCAAGAGAAAAATGGAGGCCGAAACGAGGTGAGCTTTCCCTGCATTGAGTGAACGCCATCCTCAGTCTACTTAGTGTGGAGGATCGAAGAAAGAAGAGGAGAACTACAGCGAAGAAGGTACTTGCACGACACCCGATCAATGATTCTACGAAGCTAATTCTATGTAGCCGATGGTCGTATCCCATTTTCAAGGACCAGACCTCAAGTCTGTCGACGTTGAATCGAACCTTTTTGAAAACATGAAATTCAGTAAGGAACGCTGACCATTTATTCTGAGTACATATCTGAACTTCCTTACGTAGTGGTCTCTGCGGATCCAAAATCAAGAACGGGTGACGAAGAGCGGAAGGAATTGATGAAGATGTATGATTCTCGTCTTCATGACTAAATCTGCTGCTCATGAGAAGCAGCATACACGCAAACGGGGGGACATGCGTCCAGGTAATAACACCCCAGCAACCTGCAATGGCCGTCTATGGTGGCGCTACTACGCGTGCGTTCTTCAGGTTGTGTCTTGGTTTCCAATCTCACGACATTTCCAACGCTAGCGTATGACATCAAGTTGCTGATGAGAAGGGGGACCGTTGATATCATTCGACCGCGATGGATTTTAGACTGTATAGCCCGCGGGGAGCTTTTGCCACTCAGGAAGAAGTAATCTTTTTATTTGCTCTACCCTCATCCTTCTGATTGATGTTATGTGTGTCTAGGTATTTCTTCCACGCATCAAATGACCGACAATACTCTGCAGAGTATGACCAGCCAGAGAGTGACGAAGATTATGAAATGGTAGACGGTACCCAAGAACAAGATGCAGATCTGAAGGTCCCCGCAATTTCAGAGGGTTCACAAGCGAAACGAAAACCGGTCAAAGATGTAGCACCAGCCTTAGCGGATTGGCTCAGTGTTGATGCTAAACCCGCAACTGAAGAAAGCAGTGAGACAGAGTCTGAGACAGATGCTGACTCCGTCAGCGATGATGTTAAGGGTGGAGATGATGAATGGTCTGCGCTTGAGGCGGGCGACGGGGATATCTTGGACGAGACTTTGGATGAAACGCAGCAACATCCTCAAGTGAGCTATTCTATATCTACGTCGCGAGTGCACTAATCTGGTCACAGGTGCATAAGGCCGAGGAGGCAGATCTCCACGTAGAGGATCGCGATTCCCTACGAAACAATGATGTCAGAGATGCTACCATGGGCGATGATGACGCAAGAGAATACGATCTTACGTTTATCTTCAGACACTTGTGTGTTTAGTCTTGCCTGACACCCTGAGCCGACATAACCGGTTCACTAGGTGCTTTTATCTCGATACTCCTGAAAATGCTCGTAGGCACGGCATGACGGTGAACACGAAGCACGAGAAAGAGATATCGGAGAAGTGAGGGTGTCTCTCATGTACGTACGCTGCAGTGGCTTTAACTTTCCCCCAATAGCTTGAGCAAAGTCTCCCGCGACATCGAAGCCAATGGAGGGAGGATCGTTGATTTGGGTGATCCAAAACTAACCCACGTTGTATTGGACAAACGGGACCTTTCCCGAAGACTTCGTTTGATCCAGGAAACGGCCAAGTAAGAACAATGTTGTTAGTGCGATACCGCTGATTCAGCTGAACTGTACTCGCAGACCAAAACGCCGCCGCTTAGTTGTATCCGAGTATATCACGGTTTGCTTAGAGGAAGAAACCTTGCTTGACGAAGAAGGTGAGGAAATATATGTCTTGTACATGATTTTCCGGTACTTAACGCGATCGGTCCATGCGTCTCAGAATTTGCTCCCTGAGCCTGATAAGCCGATTGTGTTAGTTGACAGCCCTTGATTTTTTTATCATTCCGGGATCCTACCTAATCTGTGTCGGGCACCCGCGGACCACGAGAAGGAAGGATAGGATAGCCGAAGAAAAAACGGGCTGCAACGGTCACAGCCATATGGAATTTGCCGCTAGCTCGTAGCATAGCATGTACAAACTACGTTGCATCCATAATCATTGACATATGCTGTGTAGTGACTCAGCAGAGTAGGTATCTGTTAAAATGATGGACGACATACATTCCGTGTCCATCGCCCCACCACCCCTGTCCCAACCACGCATCATCGCCAAAGCTGCAGCATCAGCGAAGCCTGTGAAGAGTGACATACTGATGTAGTACCACAGGGTGAGGCTACCCCTGAGACTGCCGTCTCGCAAAAGAAGGCGAGGGAGACGGAGCGCAGAGATGACGCGCGCACACCCACAAACCATAATTTCGGCTACGGACGTTTGGGGTTAACAAGGCACCTGAGCCCTCCGCACCTTATTGGGTACCGGCTGCGAGGTATCCCTCGAAGAAGGGATCAGGCTGTCATCAGCCAGTGCCACCTGTCAGCCAGGAAACCACCACATGTGGCAGATAACCTAGCTCGTCATAATTCTTCTGCTAAGGCGTGCATAGTCATACCAATCTCAGAGGTGAGCCAACCCCTCTTCCCTCACCACCCTGTCGCAGGTTCCCACCCTCCTCGGTCAAGCAGCAGAACCGAGGGCGATAACACATCAAGGATCCTCCACCACCTCAGTCAGCCCCTCAAAGACTGCACTGCTACCACATTCACCCTAGTGTGCATATGTCCAGCGCACGTCCTACTTCATAGTCTCGCGTGCCTACCTATCCTGCGTGAATCTGCGTCGCACGTGTGAGCACCTTCAATTGCCTATATATTATGTTACATAACTGCAGTCTGCCGCAACACGAGCCTTAGTGAATTCAAACCCAAATCTACCAGAGTCATGGTATCCGGACTAAGGCCCTGATCAGGGCGTGGTCGATGTCACACCTTGTCACATTCCATCCGCCACCCACATTACCACCATGTCGGACGATGAAATGAACATTGGTGAGGGTAAGCAACCAGTCTGTGTTCGTTCTATTTACGACGGCAATCAACAAATTGTGAGCAGACGAAAAGACAGGGGGTTTCATAGGCCAGGTACGTCGGTTGGGGTGTATACGCATGCATTTCTGACACGTAACACTTTCAGTAACTCAAGGTGAAAATGATGCCGGGGCCACTGGTGGAGAGGCCACCTGTGACCGAGTAGAATGCTCGCACTACACGCTGTGCGTGGTCTTTTTTAGAGTTGGTTAAAATGCTTATGTAAGTCATCCATGCTTTTCAGGGCCGTTGATCGGCGCTGGCGCTGAAATATAGTTCTTTGGTTCTGTGCGACTCACTTGTGAAAAGCTGCGACCCCAGAATTGATTCTCCCCGCGTCATCGTACTCGTACTGCACGAACAGAAGTATTGGATATCTGCTACGCATAGAACATCTGACAAGGTACACAATTCGTCCTGTTGTCCCCTGCCCGGAACGACCGTCCCACCAGTTTACCCTCCCGACTCAACTTCAACATCAACTTCATGGGTATGTCCGGCTTCGTTTCTGTGAGCAGAAATTCGATCGTGGTGGAGATGACACTCGCGGACGTGGCGGGTGTAGCCATGCCTCGTAACTTGGCGTCCACAGCCTTGCCATCCACAGTCCAATTTGACCTTGCGCCCCAGGTTTCTTATATTGTGTGCATCTTTGAAATGGCCAGGCATATCAGCACAATTGATCAACTTCAAACATTGTTTGCCCTTTACATCCGTGTGACGGCAATGGATAAACGGACAATTAGCATACTTGATCTGCGTGTTTCGGGGAAGTTCAGGTCCTCTCGCTCTGCACGGCACAGATGACACATACAAATTGGCCATCCGCTGTGTGGATCTCCGTGATAGTATCGTCTAACGCAAAGGGCGTGCTGCATTGCCACAGAAGTTGGAGAAACCTTCTGAGAAATGACAAATGAAACATACCTGATTGGATCGCTGTGATGATCCAAAGTTGAATCCTTTGTGAAAGGCATCCCGACTGTCATTGGAGCACGTCCTATCGTTGGGAAACTCGAGATTCTGGCACTGCTGTGTCTTTCAAGCAGTTGCCTTGCCGATATACGCGGCTAATGAGACAGACATACAGGCAGCCTATGTACTTCAGGGACCATCTGCTGCTCAGCAGGCGGAAGAGTCGCAATCACGTGATAGGTTTGCGCGTTTATGGCGGGGATGCATTCATTGTGGTGCCGCGGCCAGTCCTAAACAGCATCGGGACACAGTACATAAGTCAAAGTTGCGGCGCACTGACTATCTGGAGATGTTCCTGGGTGCAATACCACGCGCCTTGACAGCGGCTGCACCACATGGACGTGGGTCTGCAGCAAAGCGTGCAGGGATAATTAATGACAAGGGCAGGGTTCATAATGAGACGCGATGCAACGTAGTATGACGAGTTCGAGGACGTGCCCTGGTATTCTGCAGTTCATGGCGTCGCAAACATCTGCTTTAAATACGTTCAGCCAAGGACATTGATTGAGCTGAATTGAGCTAGACTATCTCCGAATACGACCTATGGGAACGGCATTCTGGAGGGCGATATAGGGTCAGGTATATCTTGAGAGCATATAGCGCTTGGACCTTGACTCAGAGGGGCTCCAAGCGTGGTGGCCTGTGGAGTAACGGAAGTTCTTACCTCGCGCATGATGAGAATCGCGGGAGAGGGGTATAATGAATCCAGAAAAAATCACTATGTAGATTCTCGAGGAACGTCGACACCTTAGTTGTGTCCGTGTCAAGTACTTCTGGTTTTGTTTCCTGCCTCTTGTAATGGGTATCTGATGTTTGCTGACCGGTTCAACTATGGCCAATCGCTACTGTCTGTTTTAGGTTTAGTCAGGAACATCAAATTCTGGCTCAGCAACTTCAAAACTTTTTTGTACTCGAACGAACCCAGCGTACCGGAGCATATTTTATGATCCGCATGGGCATGGGAGTGTGTAGCTGCATTACGGCAGTTGCACGCGAATTCATGGTTAGGGCACTTGTTGGCCAATGAGAGGTTTCGCGCAAGTACGGAAGAGCTGTGTCGCTTACTAAGCTCTTTTTCAGAGCGGTGACACTCCGGATGGTGCAGGAGGCCTTCAGGTATGTCTTGTCTGTCCCAGACCTCATGCCTCTGTGACAATACGCTCATTTACCCATTCCTATATTGCGCCGGTGTGTGTGACTTGCCCTTGACAGCATGGGCTTCGAATCGGTGGGTTAGGTCTGGCAACAACTTGACAGCCTTGCACCTCTTGTGCTGCGGTAAGCTTTGGTGCATTGTTCCGATATCATCCGCGGTACTCTGATAAGCCTCATGTGATCTCCAAACGACCATATCCCGGGTCTTGCGATGGCTTTTCCCTTGCGCCCTTTGCATTGATAAACTGATATGCATACTGATTGTCACCTCGTGCGCTCGTCCCTTGTTGTGATGGCGTCGGGCGCCTGGAGGGCCTTTAGTTAATGTGGTAGCCTGGCAGCCTTATAGACTCATCTGGTTACTAGACTAACCTTTAGTTTGGCAACATCGCTGTTCTATAGTTTAAATAAGGCTAACTCGGCAGATTTGATGACACCGTGATGAGAGTGCCTGGTTAAATGTGGCGAACGCCGTGTTCCATGGATTACCAATGCCATACATGTCTGCAACATCTGTCGCAGCAACTCAATAATTATAAAAACGGCAAGTACCCCAAGGTCAGTTGCACGCTTGAGGTTCAAGGGGGGTAGTTACACAGGGCCGGTTCAACAATCACCCGTCTCCCGTCCAAGGTTCACTGGGTTCCACTGAAGGTTTAATTGTACAGGCAACGGAAAGACGATAGATGCTACCTTTGCTAGGACAAAACGACGGAGTGAATGCATAGAGGGTGACGGAGTGAATGTGATACATTGTCTAACGAGAGAAAAAAAAAAGAACACAATAGGCGACCTTCTACATGGGCCAATGCCACCAGAGAGCATATAACAACAGACACACGTACGAGGAAGAGCGTAACGAAGAGAGATCGTGAAGAACGGAGTAATGGAGGTAATCTCGTCGGGTATACGTATTATACGCACCAGGCTACTAAAACCATCTTGGGAATTTTCCAGGGCTGGGTACGCTGGGACTCTCATATAGAAGGCCCCTGCGACCATCAAACAGACCAACTGGGCTATCTTGCGCGCCCTTTGCACCGAGCCTCGCAAACTCCTCGTCAAGCAGTGCAGACGGGTCATGTGGATCAAATATGGAGCGTGATCCTGGCGTACGGAACGGCGACTCCGAAGAGGGGGTTGGCGCGGGGAACACCAGTTTCTTCGGGGTAACTGGGGGAAACAGGGTTGTCAAACCGTCACGGTTACCACGCTTTCGCGATGGTGTACGAATATAATCACTGTCAAACACGGCAGGATTGATTCCGTCGTCTTGGCGAAACACTGGCGGTGGTGGTGGGTCAAGATGTGATTTGTAATGTGCAAGGGAAGCAGAGGGAGACATATGAAGCCCCTTATGAGAGAGCGGAGTGCGCACGGGGGAGAGTTGCGTGGTAACACCTGGACCACGATTTCGGGGGGTACTTGGACAGGGGGGAGGAGTGGATGGACGAGGGTCAGCATTCGACACTGGGGCTGGGGGAGGAGCGGACCGCTTGGCAAGCCTTTTAGATCTCGTGCGGCGGTCAAGAGTGGGGGACTCTGGCATAGGGAGAACGGGAAGGGATTTCTGCAAGAAAAGAAGTGAGTTCACAGCAATTGTGATAAGAAAGTAATTACCTTCAACTGCGTCTTGTTGGTTGTTGTACTCTGCTTCTGCTCTTTATTTGATCGATGTTTGTTAGCAACGGCAGGATCCGGCTCCAGAGGCGGTGTCGATTCTTTATTCACTTCTACAGTGATATCTGGCTGGGAATGGTCTTCCGAAGGTATTGGAGGACTCGAAGAACTGCAATTAGGGATGAGATCAGGCAAGGAGGACGATTGTGGGATGGGAGACGATTGAGGAATATCCGAGCTCCTGACCGTTGGAAGCGATGGAGAGGAAACAGTGCCAGCCATGACACGGACGTAATTGGATGAAGGGGGAAGCGGGGGAAATATGACTTCGGCCGGTAGCTGCGCACAGTTATCATAATACGGCTGATGCTGTGTTGGCATAAGAGCTGGGAAGAGAGGGAGGAATTGAGGAAGGGAGGCAAAGGGTGGGTGGGGATGCGTTTGTGGCGAGGAAGCCGGAGGGACCGCAGGTGAGCTCGAATCGAAGGTTGTCCCGCCCTTCTTTTGTCTTTTGGCTCTCCTAGATGATGCCGAACTCTCAGCATGACGCTTCTTCGGTGGCGCCTTCTTAGCCGCCTCTCTGAGCTCTGCACAAAACTCCTTTCTGAAGTTGCCGTTGGCGAAGCATTCGAGATCACAATCCCAGATCGCCCATTGCGTGCGTCCTAAAGTACGCTCTCGGGTGACCTTGCGGAAACATACTGTAGTGCTGAGAACGTGTCTGATAGAATTCATCCAAGTCGTTTCGTTACGATTGAAATAAGGATAGACGATCGTGATCCAGTCGTAAATTTCTTGCAGTGTTAGACGATGGTCTGGGGTGGAGAGAATTGCCTGGCCGATGAGCGCGGCATAGGAAAGATCGGGTTTCGCGGTTGAATAGGGACCTGGTGGCAGTGTGTAAGGTAGGTTGTCGTATTCATCTTCGTCAGGAAGGGGACCCATTGGCCCGGGGGAAGAAACAAGGTTGATGACCCGCTTCGCAGAAGGGGTAGCAAAGGGCGAGGACTGTGGTGGTGAAGAGGACGGCAAGGGCGATTTGTAATAACTGTTGCGTCGGGGGGTCACAAGATTTACGCCGAACTGTTCAGAAGCAGAGACTTGGACACGATTTGATACGCTTGGAGCGCGTGAACGTGTAGGAGTTGGGGAGAGAGGATCAGGGGAAAGGGTATCCTGCTGGAAGGATACTTGGCACATGGAAGCAGAAAAGAAGAATATGACGGACCTTTTTGGGTCGCAAGGAGGGGGGTTCGACGGGTATCATAGTCTCTATAATATTTTCTATGCTGTGGGGTTATAGGCGGGGCAGGGAGTGCGTCTTGTAGTGGCTCCTGACGGGTCATGAGACAAGCCATCAAAAGCTCGTCCATATTGACAATTCGCGCGATCTGGCATGGCACGCACCTGGGACGCAGAACTAGATGAGGGTCCAGGTTGATCGGCATAGGAGACACGTCGTGAATCGCGTGATTGCATGAACGCGTCGAGACTGAAACCGGCGCTTGCAGGGGGCGGCGAGGGTGCGGAGCGCTCCTTTTCCTTCTTACCTCGTTTCTCGCGTTTTGCCTGGCGGTTCTTGCGTTCCAATATCATCTCCATGCTGTCCATGTGGCGCAGTGGCATGGCGGGCTCAATTGGCTCCGACTTGACGGGCGTGGACGGGGGCGGTGTCTGGGAGACGGTGGACGTGCTGGGACGCGAAAGCGAGCGAGAATGCGAACGCGCCCTCGAACGCGCAACCATGGGTGCGATTGCGTTCTGCATGTCTGGAGACGCAGCACTCAAGGCGTGGAGAGAATTCACGTCCTCTGTGGTGAGAAACTGACGCATCTGGCCGCTGTGTCGCAGTAAATCGTCTCTGGTGAGTCCCATTGACTGCAGCACCTGGGAAATCGGGGAGACAGGTTTCGCGCGAGGGTCTGCCATCGAGCAGGAGATACAAAAATGCGAGGGTACTATGCAGGACAAAATTTACAAGGGTGCTCGCGAGACGATACACAAGCGAGTGAGATCACCGCCCATATTTAGACATGCAGCGGAGTTACAAATCATATCGCCCCCACACGACACCCACCAGAGTCCATACCGTCGTGAATCCAATCGAAAGTTCGGACCTGCTTGAGCCAGACTGTTTCACTCGGGATCGGGACTTGCGATGGGGAGGGGGTGCAGTGATTTATCAGTGCAGAGCTTGTATGAGGGGAGGGTCACATGTCACGCGTCACGCGTCACACTGCTACACTGGTGTCACGGGTGCTGAGTCGAGTCGAATACTCCGAGTCCTTAGCACAGCGATGCCCCACTACAATCTCAAGTGTAAGCTCCCGTGGATGCGCAGTCTGCCAGTCGTACTGACGTGACAGACAGCACTGATCAAGGGCATACGGTCATGCAAAGTAAACCAGTCTCACACGCAGCCTTCCCGTGACCCCTCCTGACAACTTCCCAAGACGATTGCAGATGAACGCGCCCTTATCCAACAGGAATCGGCAGCCATTCGTGCTTCATTCAGAGAGGAGGACTCATACGCTCGATACAACAATGTCGCAAAGCTTCTCTACATATACATGCTTGGATCTCCAGCCCACTTTGGCCAAATTGAATGTCTCAAGTTGGTCGCCAGCCCTCGCTTTGCAGATAAGCGCCTCGGATACCTCGGCATCATGCTCCTACTGGACGAGAGCCAAGAGGTGCTCACCCTCGTAACAAACTCGTTGAAAAAGTATGCATCTTGTCGTGGATCTCGCCTAACTGATCCTTCAGCTGTCCCGCATCTAGTGACCTGAACCATTCTAACATGTATGTTGTCGGACTCGGACTATGTACATTTGCGAATATTGCATCGGAGGAAATGTCCCGGGATCTAGCAAACGAGATAGAGAAACTCCTGGGGTCGAGCAACACTTACATCCGCAAGAAGGTATGCACCCTATGTCCGACGGATCCGGACCTGACCATCTCTGGATCCAGGCTGCTTTATGTGCCCTGCGCATCATTAAGAAGGTCCCTGACCTCATCGACCATTTCGTTTCAAAGGGTAAGAGTTTGCTGACGGATCGGAACCATGGTGTCCTCCTTGCTGCCATTACCCTTGTCTCGGAAATGTGTCAAATGGATGAAAATTGTCTGAACGAGTTCAGAAACGTCCGTGTCATCCAGCCGGTTCACTGTCATATATTCATCCTCTATTATCCAGGCTGTACCCCTGCTCGTTCGCAACTTGAAGTCCCTCATTACAACTGGGTATAGCCCTGAGCATGACGTATCCGGTATCACGGACCCGTTTTTGCAAGTCAAAATTCTACGACTTCTCCGTCTTCTTGGAATGGGCGATGCAAGGGCAAGTGAGACCATGAATGATATCCTTGCTCAAGTAAGTTAACAAGATGTCTCTCATCCGATTGTATAATCTCACGCTTTTAGGTTGCAACCAACACGGACTCGACCAAGAATGTCGGAAACTCTATCTTGTACGAGACCGTCCTTACTGTCCTCGACATAGAAGCGGACAGCGGTCTTCGTGTCATGGCCATCAACATACTCGGAAAATTTCTCAGTAATCGTGACAACAACATTCGGTGAGTCATAGCCTATCCTACTTGGATATTTCTGTGTGAACGCACCGAGTCGTCAGCTATGTCGCACTTAATACCCTGAACAAGGTTGTCTCCGTCGATACTAACGCCGTCCAACGTCACCGAAATATCATTCTGGACTGTCTCCGGGACGGTGATATATCAATTAGGCGTCGCGCTCTCGAGCTTTCATATGCCTTGATCAACGAGCAAAACGTGCGCGTCCTTGTGCGCGAGTTACTTGCCTTCCTCGAGGTTGCCGATGACGAGTTCAAAACGGGTATGACCACTCAAATATCGCTTGCAGCTGAACGTTTTGCTCCGAATAAACGATGGCATATTGATACTGTGCTGCGATCGTTGAAACTCGCTGGAAATTTCGTTCGGGAAGAAATCCTCTCGTCATTCATCCGCCTTGTCGCACATACCCCCGAACTGCAAGCCTACACAGCTTCGAAGCTTTATACTGCCCTGAAAGCCGATATATCGCAAGAGTCTCTCACGCTTGCGGCTGTATGGATCATCGGTGAATATAGCGAAGTTCTACTGGAAGGTGGTATCGTGGATGAGGAACAGCCCAAACAAGTAGGTTGCTCCCCCCCTCTTCTTCCAGGATGGATCTGATGACACTTATTTGACACGCAGGTAAGCGACAAGGATATACTAGATCTTCTGCTTTCGACACTCGACTCTCCCTACGCCAACTACTTGACTCGCCAATTTGTTCTCACCAGCATCACCAAGATCGCTTCACGGCCGACTATGAGTCCAGCGGAGCAAGAGCATGCCGCTGAGGATCCTTGCCAAGTATACTACAAACCCGGAGCTTGAACTACAGCAACGCGCAGTAGGAGTTCGCGAGCTTGTTCACACTCGGAGACCTCAAGGTTGGAGTGTTGGAGCGGATGCCTCTTCCCGAGCCAAAGGCGACCGTCATGGGTGTCGGTGCGTTCAATTGCTTAGATGTTGCTGAACTTGGTGGTTCATGATCACACAGTCAGCGAGAACAAGCCTGTCGGCTCCACGAGGGCAACGAAAGATGTACGCTTGGCCATCCTATTATTATATTTGACTGACTATAGCTTCTTAGGCTGACCTGCTTGGAGACGATTTGGTGTCTCCGTCTCCTCAGGTCAATGGTCAGCCTGTACAAAACAACCAAGATCTACTCGCAGAGATATTTGGCAGCAGTGCCACACCAACCACAACCAGTTCTCCACAGCCACCATCCTAGCCATAAGACCGCTGTACAAGACATTCTTGGTCTTTTCGACTCACCGAAACCCTCGACGCCAAGTTCTGCGGCGGTCCCATCGAGCACCCCACAGTCCGCTTTCTCGCTTCTGCAAACTCAAGTACAACCGGTATCTTCACCACAGCCGGTATCGGTACAATCGTCTGGAGCACCACGGCTCACATCATACCCGGCATATGAGAAGAACGAACTGAAAATTACACTTACCCCACAAACGTCAGCAGCTCGACCTGGGATTGTAAACATAATGGCAAGATTCCAGGTTACGGGATCAAACACCGCCACTGGAGTCAACTTCCAGGCTGCCGTCCCGAAGGTAAGCTTGCAATCTTTTTTTTTTTTAACCGGACCCTCCGCTCGACACCTCTGACACCTATGGAAAATAGTCGCAACAGTTGCAGATGCTACCAATGTCGAATTCGGATATCCGACCCAGTGCGACTGAAACACAGCAGATGCGTGTGATCGCCCCCCCTGGTGTAAGTGTCGCACCTATCCGCTTTTCATATGTGTTTCTTGCTCAAACATGCTACGCAAGGCAAACATCCGACTACGACTACGTGTCTCGTACACGCTTGCTGGTCAAGCGATCCAGGACCAGGTGGATTTCTCGGGTTTCCCTCCTGAACTTACTGGCACAGCGTGATTGTTTTGTTTTTTTTACGATCGATGTACAGTATACGGATATCTTACATAAGCTTGACTTACACACAAAACGCTTTTCAGAGATTTCTTCCTTGGCATGCATGCCCCTAACCAGTAAGGTACTGTCCTTCCTCAACACGTCAGTGTATTCCAGAAATTTGCCCGTGACGGTGATAGAGGACTGCTAAAGAGCAGGAGGTCGGCACAGCGGCCGATGTGTTTGGGGATGATGGGGAACAAGCTTCAACTAGGTGGATTACGTTCGATCGCTCCCGGTCATTGACCACCACCTAGTATGAAGTTGTGAACAGCAGAGCAGGCAAGTTGTTATCTACAAAATGCACTCACTACTTGTTTTACAGCCCAAAGGGCACCATTGCAGCATCGGCTGCGGGCAACCTCAAGAAATCTCGGGGGTGGGTCAGAAGCAGGGGCATGATGGTCTGCTCTGGATTAAGAATTTTCACATCTACTGCAAGAGTTGAATATTTACTTCTCATGAAGAAGCCGACACATTTGGTGAAGCAACGTTCAAGGCCACTCGCAAGACCTCTGCCCTAGTCGACGAAGCAAGTGCTGATTCTGTTCCAAGTTGTGAGCATTCCTTACCCATACCAGTCCTGGCGATGTACTATTGGAAGGGTCGTGGGTTCTCGACCGCCCGGCGCCCTCTCCTGAAGAAGAGGTGTGACACATGAGCAGTGTTCTTGTTTTTATCATCCTCGAGTCCATCGTTGTCGGCCATTGCCACAGTCACCACAGGCATATAATGTACCAGTGGTAATCTCATCCTCATCAAAGATTGCCGATGTCGTCGTTGGTGGTTAGCACCAACACATTTTCACCCCTTTCGTTACCCTCATCGTTGTCGAATCAAGGTGTGCATTGGTGGGAATGTCATGGCAGCCACAATAATCAGTTGCGCGCAGAGCTCTCTCTTCCACTAAGAAAGTGAGTGCTGATGACCCACCGACGACCGTCCTGACTCGCCATTCTCACATCCGCTGATGCTCTGATCCCAGTGTTAAATGTTAATATGTGGCGCTGACGCAAATTATAGTGAGTGATGCCTAAATATGACAGCCGTTAGAGTGGCCCTTTTGATTCATGCTCTACGCACCAGACATGAGCCCGATCGAGTCGTCCAAACCCAGTGTCTGGGCAGAAGACATCTTCCTATCCTGGCTGCTCATTCGTCCATTCCCACACTCTGCAGTATGTATCATCCACAAAGAAAGCATAGAACTCTATCCTACATCGGCAGGAGCCCTACACTCCAGCTAAGCTGGATCTTGAAGCAGGTCGCCGCTGTTCCCGGTAGCGTGAACAATGCTACCCTAGAATCCTGGCTTTACGGTCCTTAGAACACAATTCTACAACACTTCTTTCCTCCTGACGAGGATTTTATGGTTGTGCCTCTGTTTGGACGACCCACATACGGTCAATCGTTCGGCTTTACTGCCATCTTCATCGTCGAATTGACCAACACCCGAACCCCTATGTCATTTCTTTCGCCCAAATCAAACCGCAGGGGTGATCTCAACCTCGTCAGCACGCTAGGAGTATGGCTTACGTTTTGCCATTACGATGCTAGGATCGACGGTCTCGACCCCACAGCCATCCCTCGTGACCCCGATCGCATAAATGATGCTGCACCAGCAGCACTTTGGAGTACGGGACCTGTTGTCGGACGAAGGGTACGAACAGCTAGGTATAGCTGGCCGCGAAGATTAAGAACGTGGCATGAGCTACTTGGAGTTTGATGTAATGGCCACAGTGTGTATTTGCCCTGATTCATCCGCGCTGTAGGATTGATGTCGGTGATCGAGTGTTGACCTATAGTTCATACGTCTTGCGGGAGAAAACCCTCCGCCAGTGAGACAATAATTCGTCCATATCGTTCTTATCATCATTACGCTTAACCTGTATCGAATCTATGCGCACGGGCTTGCCACTGATAAGAAATAGTTTGTTCCTTTATCTCCATTGCTCGCTGAGTGTGCTACAGGATAAGCAGGAGAAGGAACAGAGGAGATAACGATGGTAGTATCCTGTTTGTGCCCTATAGGGAACGGGACATCAAGAGCCATGAAAAGACGTCGAGACCTCCCGTGGTTTTTGGAAGGGTACTCTGGATAAGTGTAAAAATGAATCGGCGATTAGTGTTGGCCAAGTCTTCTCGTGATCTCGTTGATTCCGATGGTGAACACCCCTCCGATCCCCTGACCTAACATCTTCGCGGTGGTCAACCCGTCCGACACACCCTTCATACCATTTGCAAGAAGGTCCCATCGGGAGCGTTCCAGATCCCCCGCACCAGCGTCCATCATAAGCGCAGCCTTCACCGAATCGAGTTCGTTGATTACTTCCAATCCTACGGAGCGTGCCCATACAACCGGCTCCCAGGTCGATGAGTAGAGCTTGTGAAGTTTGTCCACTGCTGACATAACTTTATGGTTGGCAAAGTAGCGCTCCGCCGCGTACGGACGGAGTGATGTGAACGACCCTGATACCACATCCACTGTAAACCAGGAATTGGTGTGCAAGAAAGAGTCACATACCTATGTCCCCACCGCGGACGACGCTCTGCACGATGCACTGCACGAGTGATCTAATATCTCCAAGACCGAGATTGAGACCTTGTCCCGCTAGGGGATGGATAGTATGTGCTGCATCACCAACCAGCACCGTTCGGCTGCCTACGCCCTCCCCGAGGTACGACTCGGCATGGTTGAACTTGAGCGGGAAACTTGCTATCGTTCCTGGTTGGATTGAGGTCACAATTGGCGGAACTGCCATAGCATCGTTGGGAGGCACGCCAGCGGACAACATCGATGATACCGAAGTATATGCAGAGTATCCAGGTATACCATGCGACTTTTCTCTAAATGCGATTTCGCTGCATATATCTTCACCGGAGATGCTTGCCCCTGTGCTATGGGCATCTAGGATAAGTTTATGTAGATACCGAACAGATACCTCAGGTAAGCGAAAAGCAGCATTAATCATATGAGCTAGTGCTGCGGGCTCCGCATGGCATAGAGCCTCCGCGAGAGCGGGTTTCGTCGACCAAACGAGAGAAGATACTGTGGGAGACAATGGCAGAAAAGCAATAGGTCCTGTGGGAAGGAATCTCTGATACGCGGTACGGTTGGGCCCTTGGAATGCGCCCCGGGGGGGATGATAGAGGGTAGCAACGATGGCCCGGACATCATACGACCACCCATACGAAGGAATGCCGGCATAAGCACGGACGGGTGAGTTGAATCCGTCGGCACCTACCTTAACCAAACGAGTCTAACATGCGTCGTTGGAGACGACGGGGACGACTCACAAGTAATCTAGCCCTAAGGATGGTTCCGTCGGACAGGTGAACAAGAGGCCACCCATGACCGCCGTCTCTGTCCTCCCGTTGGATGGACTCGACTCTTGTCTTCTGCAAAAGCTCGGTACCCTCGATACTCTCGAGATGGCGAAGTAGGGCGCGTTGGAGATTCAGATTTTCGGTGAGCCGGGCCATCTCACTCGATTCCGCAGCATCGGAAGCAGGCAAATCTGCCGCGTCGAATGTGATTCGTGCGTCCGAGAGACCATCCCAAACCTACACTGCTTCGTCAAGTCAGATTCGCGCCCACAAAGTCCATGCAGTACCTGCATCTCCTGTACGGGACATGTACGAGATTGATCGACATGTTCCCAGACTCCAATGTCTGTGGCAGTATGAGTAAGAGATCGTCGTTAAGAAAAGCAGCTTTCCTGACCCTCCAAGAAAGCTCGGGACGAGTTCGTGATTGAGCTAACACGGTTTGAATACGAATCTGGAGGAAGTGCCCAGTCGCGCGTCTTGGACAGATCTCCAGCCTCCACGAGAGCAACCTTGAGAGACTCGCGCACAAGTCTGTAAGAACCTGATATACACGTCAGTTTTGCTCACGAGTGGAAACGTGCAAGGCCTTACGCACCCAACCCGCTCGCTAATGCCAAACCGACTGGTCCGCCGCCAACAATAACTACGTCGAAGTCCTGGATGGCCTTAGAAGAAAATGCCCTACCGCATGACTGCTGCCTGTATGACAATACTCGTGTCGATACTGACCTGCGAATAGCACCAAAGGCCATTGCGGCGGGATAGACTTGTAGTAGCGCCGAAGTATATTGGTATTAGCTCGAGCCAGCTTAGCTAAGCAACTAACCGAGAACCGGTTCACATCAGACAAGTAGCTGGGACCAAGCCAGGCCCATTGGGTATCAGCGACAGCCATGGCTACGCCTCATATATCAGCGGCGCAGGCGATCGGCGAATATCTCCAATCGCCAGACGATCTTGCCAAGGTAGTTGCATATCGCAAGAAGCTGGAAAAGGAGAAAGCTTCTATCGATGCTAGATTGAAGAGTGGTGTCAAGGAACAACTTGATGCTACTCGCGAAGGTCTCAAAAAGCTGCTCAGCACTCGGAATAACGTCCAGGCTATCAAGGAGGAAATGCAGACAGTCGACAGGCTCTGTGCGGACCCACAGAACGAAGTAGCAACGTTCGACCAGATCAGCAGGGTAAGCATATCGCAGGCTTTTCGAATGTCATTGCATGCCGAGCTCTTAATAGGTTTCCATCGTTCATCGGAATTTTGAACAAACTGAGGAGATGGTCAATAATCTTCTCGAGATGAATTCCAAGCTTGACGTGCTTGAGGAGATACTCGCAGCTGACAGCGAAAACCTTATTGGTCCCGCTCCGAACTTGCTCCCCATGCACTTTCAAATCAACCGTCTTGAGGCGTTCCGAAACCAGACCATGCATCAAGCGAAACAAGCTTCTGTGGCATCTCGTCAAAAACTAATTCGCATATTCGAGCGTCTCTCGAAGCTTATAGAAGATTTTGAGTTTTATGTACTCGAGCTCGCACGCAATATCCTTCCCCTCGTTCGCGCAGGTTTCCCCGAGGTAGTCGTCAAGCTTATCAAAATCGCAGAACTCGAAGGAAGAGAAGACGAGAAGGTGTGCACGCTTCTCTCCCTAATTTGTTACCCTACATTGCATGCCTAGGCCATAGCTATCCGCCTAGTCAAAAAGGCTGCTAAGATGGACGCAGCGTCGAAGTTCAAATCCATGCAGGCCAATGCGCGTGTCTTGAAACACTACCGCTCCAAGATCATGAAAGCCATCTCGGAATCCATTAGATCTAACTTCGACGATGCCTTCGAAAGTAATGAACGCGATCCAAATGCATTTCTGGACAACCTCGGATGGATATACCAGGACCTCATTCGCATCGAGAGCGACGTCGTCCCGTGCTTTCCTCCCGGTTATGATATCTACGCGTTTTACATCCGGGAGTACCATAAGAATCTGGATGCAGTATTTAAGCGTCTCGTCGCCTCAGAACCGGAGGCTAGCATCCTTCTTCACCTCCACGCTTGGCTCAAGGAATACAAGAAGAGCATGAAGGAACTGAGCGTCCCACCCGAGCTGATAGATCCACCGTTACTCAATGGCGAGGAGCAGGACTTGATCGAGGATTACCTCAAGCTCATTGTGAAGAAGTTAGACGAGTGGTCTGCTAACCTGATGAAGACGGAAATTCAAGAGTTCACTACGCGAGCTAACCCGCCGGAAGTAGATAGCGACGGCCTATACGGCATGCAAGGCGCCGTCATACTTTTCCAGATGGTCAATCAGCAGATCGACGCGGCAACCGAGAGCGGTCAGGGTGCAATCCTTGCTCGAGTCGTTGAGGAAGTTAATCGTGTTGTGCGTGGCATACAAGACCAATGGAGCAAAGTTGTTGACTCGGAATTCAAAAAGCAAGTGGAGAAGCCGGAAGAAGTTATAGGGGGTCTCGCAGAGTACTGCTTGGCGCTTGCGAACGACCAAGTCAAATCCGCTGACAATACCGAGGCTCTTCTAGGGAGATTAGAGCCACTGGTCTCCGAAAAATATCGAGTTCCTATCAATGACAAGCTTAACGACGCCATGGATGGGAATCTTGACGTCGCGAAGAAGTGCACCCAGACTTTCATCGACATCATTTTCAATGACCTCAAACCAGCGACGAAACAACTCTTCCAGCCATCCTGGTATGATGGCGCTATAGAACAAATCGTCGTTACGATGAAGGACTACATGTCTGACCAGCCATTTATCAAACCCGCTCTTTTTGAACTCCTCGTCGAGTATCTCATCGATGCCTTTCTAGTGACATATCTTACTGCTCTGGCAAACTGTTCAAAGCTGCGCATGCCCGATGCTACGGAGCGTATAAAGGAGGATATAAGCGTCGTATTTGCCTTCTTTGGCGACTACAAGTCGGATAAGGAACTAGAAGGATACTTCGAAGTTGTCGAGATGATCCTTGCTATGCTGGAAGCCTCCAAGAGCATGGCATTCCTCTCCTATTGGTCGTTTGCAAAGGTCCATGGGCCATGTATTCCCTTTGTCGAAGGACTTATGAAGGCCCGGGGAGACCTTGACCGCTCTGGGGTTAGCGAAGTCATGGACAGTATCAAACGCAAAGTCAAGGACGAAGGATTGACTGATCGTGCGTACTTGCTGTCGTTCATCCAGCACATTTTTTATCATGTCAATATTATCCAGCGCCCCAACCGACGATTATGAAGAAGATTACGGTCCAAAGTGCACTTTCGCGATTTTTACGAACTCAGTGATTCCGTCGTTCTTGCTTCCCGACCAATTTTGTTGTACAACTATACAAGCGGTGGTGAGGAGAAATTTGTTGCAGCATAATGGGAATGTCCGTCGAGCAGAGCATCATACCATCATCTCCGCTCGCCAGGATCGAGAGGACGCAGAGATTCGACACCGTTGCCAGCCTTCGATCAGGCGGAAACTGATCCCGACAGGCCTGCATAGCGATAGCAGCCGTAATCTCAGCTAATTATATTCATCTTGACTCTGAAGTCCTTTGATCCATACCTCCTACTCTAGCTTATAGGATTCAATCTAAGTACCTCACTGTGCAATGTACAAGTTTTCTATCGTTGGCGGTCGTACTGGGTCGACGGTTTTTGTGGTGGCTATATGAATGGGCTTCTGAGCGAACAGTGAGAACACCACCAGTAGGTTTCATGTATGTATTCTCCCGATCCTCGTTACCAAAACCCAGAACAGCTCGGGATATAGAAATCCTCGTATGAATGATAACCACCAGCTCGTTCACCGGTCCATTATAATAAAATGGGAAAGTCACGATTACCGACGGCGATGTTAAACGCCTGTGTCAGGCACCTGCCAAATACCCTCGACAGAACCAGGCTTCAAAAAGACGCTGCGTTGAGTCCATCGATAATCCTGGCGGATCTTCCTGTACTGGAATGCCCACAACCTCAACAAGACACGTCGGTAGACCGGTGTCATTTAATCTACCAGGACCAATTCACGAAGAGGTAAAGAGGTAGAGTCACCGACTTTGGAAGAGATTGACGACACAAATCACTTCACTAACGTACCTGACCCTCCGACCCTAGCTGTGAGTTGATCGCGATGCCTTGTACGGGTGCCTGGACCCAGCAGAATTGGTAAAAGAGGCTCGCCAACTTTGGGAGGACGGAGGTCTGTTCGTTAGCAGTGCCACTTCGCATTTGTGCGTGTACTACTCGAATGAGGCACACTTATATCCAGCCCCGTAAAGCCAAAAACCGACGGCCCATTGCCTTCTGTGACTCCGTAGGTTCCAGCCTAATCTCTCTCCCCTGGCCAGGGAATATCCAACTCACCCTATCACAGGAGCTCTCGAGACTGCCAAAGTTGTACTTGGCGATGACTACTTGACGGGCCATAGCACGTGACCTTGGAAATCCCATCTTGAAGGGAATTGTAGCCGTGCTGCGCAAGAGGTTCCCAGACCTGGAGAAGGCGTGGCGTGATAACCATATCCTCTAGACTCGGCTTCATGCGGAAATTCGCATCGTGCTTTATCTCAGCAACTCGCTCATTCGTTCCAGTCGTCGGGAATGGCAGCCTATTGGATATAGCAAACGGAGTTGCCTGTGCTGCACCCTGTAGATCGAAGCATCCAGTGAGACTTAAAGCGCGATGTGGCTGACGAGTCGCAGCCATGGAAAAGCATATGCTACCTGGGCTCTCCACCTGGTTGCTCGTATGCGCGTGCTCGTCAGCAGGATGGGAAGAGTACTGTCGATAAAATGGTCCTGCAGTTAGTTGAGGCGCGCCTCACTGGCACTCTCGACCCAACGACAGTGAATGCCACGTTGAAAGTAACGCCTTGCATGGTATATCAGGTCATTAACGCCGTTATAATACTGGGAAAGTTTAGCGAAGTGGCGGGTCAGCCTTTGCGCCTGCCGACAAAGATGTGCACGACTGGTGAATTCGCCTTCGCAAAGCCAATGAAAGAGACGGGATTTCTGGAGGGTGAAAACGATCACGCTGATCAGGAAGTAGCGATCTACTGAGGGACCGGTATCCTTTTCATGCCTTCGTCCACTAAGTACCATTATAGTACTCCTTACATACCCATTCTATCTTCTATAGCATGTCATTTATTCTGGTATAAGCCCCCGACGTTTCAGCGGTACATCAGTCCGTCTTGGCTTTCTCTGGACCAAGATTTGATCTATCAGGCAATGCCGCAGCAACTTGGTCTATCTTCCTAAATTGCCAAGGAAACCTCGATGGGTAAAGGAATGGGCGAAGGTCAAACCCTGAAGCCATGTAAGTGGTCATAAACAAAGGACTAGCGACAAATCTCTTACTGTTGTCGTCAGGACTGTATGATTCCTAAAATTTAGAAATAAACGAGGATCCACAAAGGATTACATCTCTTGTTGGCTGTTCCACTTACTGCATGATACGCCGGGGTCAAAGTGGTCATTTTGTGCCTGTTCCGAGCATGCTCAAAGAAGAAGTGCTTCACTTTGCCCGCAATCTAAACAAGTGATTGGCCATAAAACGTATCCACTCAGCTTTCAAGGCAGGTTCACCAACCTCAACTGGAGATAGGATCGCGCCCCATTCGTGTACCAGTTTGGTAAACATACTGTAGGGGCCGCACTTCTCTACTTTGCGAAGCCGGCCGAATACGGAAAGCTCATCATACGTCATCCCCATATCCACCTACGATCACACCCCATTAGACGGTCCCGTTGAAAACTGTACTACAATTACCACTCACTTCGTCTGCTTGAACGTATGTTTCCGATATTGGCTCCAACTCTGCCGTTGGAATCGCATCGAGGAAGCTGTAATGCGAAGCTTGTCAACGTCAATCATGGGAAGAAGCTTCGTTTACCTTCTTAGGATAGGCAAATCAAAGGCATCCTCGGCGTAAGCTATGAACTTCTTCAAGTCGGTCTTACTGATCCCACCGATTGGGTTGATGTCAGCTGGAAACAAGCAATTCATCGAAAATGAAATCAGGCATCGACAGTGCGAGTTCACCCACCAGAAGAGCAGTCGTATTTAGTCAAATAACCACGGAGACTAAAAACCGACTTCATAAGGGCATGACATCTTAGTGAACAGAGAACTAACCTCTCGTCGACATTTGCGCTCCCAAGAACAAGTAAGCCGCCCTGCCCTCCTCGAACCCAAGGCAGAAGCTGAGCAAACAGATACGATATCACCATACGGAGTCTAGCCTGAAACCCTCATGCAGTGCAGTATGCGAGTCGGTAGCACCAGACACTTACCTGAATGTTCTGCAGAGCCAAGTTCTCAGCTCCCGTGCCCCCATGGGCCTTGAAGCGTGGTTTCGCACCGGTAACAAATGCAAACAGGTCCACGACAGAGGTAACGACAGAATCCATATTGAGGTCGACGTGATAACTAAAGCTTCGGTTATTGGCCAGTGGGTTACGCGATCCAAGTCGCTTACCTGCCAATCGCAAGTGCGAGGTCTTTGGCTCTTTTCCTCGTCTCTGCGCTCGAGTTCTCCGTTCCCATGTAGCATGTGTGGAAAATCCGGCCGCAGAACTCCTGAGGATCTGATGGTATGTAGCCAGAGTCCTCGGGCTCTCCGACTATGCGTCTAGCATCTGCAATGACTTGTTTCTCTACGGGCCAACGGTGTTACCACTAGAGCGGGGAAGAGCTCGAACCCATACCTGCTCTGCGAGCGGCGTCAGCGACTAGACGGCACATAGAATACACTATGACCGCCGTTGCGCAGCTGTCAACGCCTCCGCTCAGTGGGACAAAGTACCCTTGAGTTCGGGAGCGACGGAGGTAGTCCCACAGCCAACAAGCCGGTCCGAGTCTGCCATTTCGCTAAATTTCAAGCGCGAAACAAGGTAGTGTGAAGAACTGACGCGATCTCTTCCTCAGGTTTGTGGAATCTCGCCTCATGAAGACCCTGCCTCAAACCAGGTGTTCGTTCACCACCTAGTTCGCCGAATTTACCTCCAGATAAAGCAAACGGGACTTCGATCCGATGGTATCCTTCCGTGGTGGCAGCTTGTAGTGCTCTGCTTCGTGACGTTCTGTGAGAACGCACATCCTCTATGTCAATAGTTGCTGTGACGACCTCGACATCATTCAAGGAAAACTGGGATCCCTGCGCGACGATGTGACCGTTCATTGCAATCATTGCACATCCGTCATAATACAGTCTGTCCCCGTCACACCCTTGCTGATTGGCATAGAGGTACACACCGCCGAGCTATATCGAGCGTGCCGTGACGAACCCAGTTAGTTTTTGAAGCTTTCCAATGGGGTTTGAAAGGTACGCCGTACCTTCAAAGTAGCCTCTTTGATAAGTTCAACACGAGTATACAGCTTGCGCAGCTCGTGGTGACTTCCGCTGGAATTGGTAAAGATCTCAACGCCATCAAGCCCCATCAAGATATGCGGGCTATAGACTGGCTAGTTAGGACGATCAAACAGGAGGTAAAAACGAACCTAGACGGTGTGAATAGCTCTTCGCAGAGTTCTACACCTATGCACGTATCGACTGTGCTAATCACGCAGTCTCCAAACGGAACCTTCGTCTATCCGGCGCCATAAATACCAAGTTGCAAGGCATCATACAAGAAAACGGTAGCCTTGGATACACGGAAAACGCACCTGCTTTGTGACAGCTTGAACGATCCTCGGTAGAAAATGATCCTCCCACTGGCGATGCTTCATCCAAGGGGTGAAGTACCTCATCTCGCGGTAGTTACCATCGTTAGCAAGCCACATCTTAGGACGGATGAGGAGGATTTGCTTGTTGTGGACGATAATGCGACAGTTGTAGATTACGTTCTTGTGTACGACCGGCCTGATGGAGGGGACAATGATGCGCCGCCGACTATGAATCATCGATATTGCCTACATTCCGAGATCACAAAGGATATTCATTGTGTCTTCACCCGCAAGAATTTTGGCGAGAACTTCCCAGGAGTGTAGGACAGTGTCACCTGTATGGAGTGTCATCTAGCGTGAGGCTCCATCGGGATAACTCGTAGACGAACCCTCAAGGAAATGATCGTAGCATCCATACCCGCTGCGGTGACTCGATTCAGAGAAGCGCCAAACAGACCAAGGGTAAACATACGGGATCTCTAGTTCGGGACCCACTCTCATCGCCGCTCCCCGCTGCTTCGCTATCGCAATACTTTCGATAATACGTTCGTAGTTTCCCTATGGATTACAATAGGTAGATATCACAGGTTACGCTTGGGAAGGGTTCTCCTCACCTGGAAATCCAAAGCCCACTGGTTCAGGGAACTGCGCGGAATTGTGAGTCGACCATTGTGTCATTCTCACAAATCAAACGCCTACCATCTGACAAGAAATCAGTCGGGTATGTGCTTTTACAAATATATACGTACGTTGCCAGTGTGATAAGGTGTCCCATGTTGAGTGTAGTGCAACTGCCTGTGAGTTGCCTACAAGAGTTGCAGTGATCCATTGCTCCCCTGTGGTACTACTAGCACAGCCACATCTCCACATCCAGAGAGGCTAGTATTTGTTGAAGACGACTTGTAGTTGACATGCACCGGTTGGGAGGAGTTGGTCTTGCAGCGTTTGACCGCCAAAGAGAATCGCAGCGCTCGTTCGCAGAGCTATCTACAGAATTATCCAAGACCCAGATCGACCATCTCCACACCCAACTGACTCAGTTCCGCTCTGCACTCACACACTTTGCTTCGACGCACAGAGACTCCATACGCAAGGATCCAACATTCCGACATGCTTTCCAACAGATGTGCTCGTCCATCGGTGTGGATCCACTCGCTGGCCCGAGAAAGGGTGGATGGTGGGCAGAGATGCTCGGTATGGGAGATTGGCAACATGAACTGGGAGTACAGATCGTCGACGTGTGCGTGTCCACGCGAGAACGAAATGGTGGGGTCATAGAGTTGGGCGAACTTGTCAGAATGGTGAGCAAGCTACGGGGAGTCGAGAGCGGCGTCGTCACTGAGGAAGATGTCGTCCGGAGTATTAAGACCCTCCAGCCGCTGGGAGCGGGTTACGAAGTGATTGACGTTGGGAACGGCAAGAAAATAGTTCGCAGTGTCGTGAAGGAGCTAGACGAAGACCAGGCCACCGTCCTTGCAGAAGCGCAGGCGGAGGGAGGGAGGATCGTCGAAGAGATCTTGGTGACACGGAGAGGCTGGACTCGCGAACGTGCAAGGACTGCACTGGAAAATATGCTTCTGCGCGATGGACTGTGTTGGCTCGACGCTCAGGACGAACAGCACGGAAAAGCGTATTGGGTCCCTTCTGCGATGAGTTGGGACGAATGACGGCGTTCAGCTTTTGACGCTGCTTATATTCGAGCAAGTCTCCAGGATCACAACAGGTAAAGGTAGTTCCAACTTGATCTAAGCTAGCGTGCCCTTAACTCCCATCGTTCGCAGTGGCTACCGTGCCTCATCGCAACCAATTCTCGCTTCGCCACACCTCTTACTTAATGGTGTATTGCGTTCCCCCTTCCTCTTCCCACTCGCGTACTCTGCTGCGGCATCCGTCCACTCGATGTTTGCATTTGCCTATTTTCGACCAGGTAGACAGGGTACCTGCCTCCGTTATCAACTCCTTTTGAGTGAGCCAGAATATCTACCTACAGGTGTTCTACATTTGCTGGGGTCGAGTTGAAATAGCTCACTCCGAAATTGATGAGGCAAACGTCGAATTTAATGATATCGTCGTATCCCGAGTCTCACACTCCAGAGGGGCACATGGTTGCATCAAGGTACGTGGCAGACTGGTGGGTGCGGGTGCATCCATAGTTGAGTGATATGTTGACCTGTAAACCTTCGGAGGTGACGACTCGGGTGTTGGTATTTAAACTTTTGCGAAACCGAATGTCTGCCGCCTTGTGCGTGTCATCCGCGAAGACAGTTCCATCTTGTGGTATCAGATCCCGTAATTTTCTGGGACGCTTTCCTTATTCCAATGTGGATACGGCAGAGCGGGGAGAAAAAATATCCTAGTATTCGACAGCAACACCTGTCGCATACTTGAATATATTTCCCCGTATCCACTATACCACTTGTGGGGACAGTACACATCTCCCAACGTCTACGGTATTTCGTCCCCGGCGTGCGTCCTTCACTCACCTGCCCAACTTCGCTGTGCGGACAGAGAGGCTCTGGCTGAAGGGTTCAAGTTTCTAAAGAAAACGGTTGCGGTGGCAAAGCGCGAACATGAAGCCACTTTGATGCCGAAGGTAACCACCCCGTCTATCCTGGAGTGAAGACTGAGCATGGTGAAGAAGCTGAAGCGAACACCCTTTACATGGAATGGGAGAGCCCAGGCCAGTGCACTTCGGCATATGTTTCCGTTTCACGAGAAAAGTTCCCAAATGTATGTGCTCGGACTTGAAGCGTTCTGGACAATATCCTGACACCTTCCACATATCAGCATACCAGCCCTCCGTCACACGAATGTGAGCGCGGTTCCTTCATTACCATACGAAAATACCCATGAAGAAGGCACAGTCGCCTTAGGTAAAAAGCCTGTCACTATATTCGCATTTCGGGGTTCTTCGGCTCATGCACTCTACCCTACGGAGGCGTTGCAGCCAAAAGTTTTTTTTTTTTTTTTTCCCTATCTTCGTCTGGGACCTACATAATTCATAATGATCACCATGGCGTATCCATTATTCCGCGTACGTGCACTTCTTTTACTTGTCCGATCAACCGTCGTTGCTATTCGATAGCCATCATTCCACCCCTCTGAGTTCTGACGTACGTTATCTTTCGCTTGGTTGGACATAATCTTCTATCGCCCAATATACACAGCCAGAAGCATCTTGTAGTACTTGTACAATGCTCATACACGTGCGCGCAACCCGCGGAGGATACAGATGGGCAGATAGCAGCCTGTCTCGAAGTCTTGAGTTTTCGTCAGACTGTCCAGAAACTTTGGCATGCACTACAGTTCATTGAGCTATGATGTATTGGTGATCCACGTGAGACGCCCAGAGTCCTTGGAGAGCTATTGCTGGCACCCAGTGTTGTCGGCAACGCAGGCAAAACGCAGGTGTATAACGTCTTGTGGTGCGCGAGCCGGTTGTCGATGTTCAACTTGGTGGCTGCAAGCGAATCCCGTAGTCCACGATGTCATCATCGAGCAGCAACAAAACCCAGCGCTGGCCCAGTGAAGCTCACAGGGGACAAAATGGCTTCTGCGATAGCTACGAGCCGGCAGACAAGGAGCACCCCAGCGACAGCACGCTTAGAAACGTCAGATACGCTCAGTGGATGCTGGAGTACAAAGGTGTTCCTCTGCCCAGGTAGGCTGCTTCAGGGCTTTTGCTGTCACCGTCGTTCTCAATTCATCATCCCCCTTTTCGCGAACAGTAAAGAAAAACTCCGGGAGCTCGGTACTAAGAAACCATCGCCACCCGACACGCTTGACTACGTCGATGAAAAAATTAGGCAACTCAAACGTCAGCACGCGCGAGATCTCGAGTCCCTGTTTGCCTTCCAAGCAGATGAGCTCCGTCAAAAGATGCTTGACCATAGGCGTTGTATCGACGATTCCGCATATATGGATATCGATGAGAATTACCCAGACCAAGTCGAGTTTAGAGAGGCCCTGAGGGTACGCTGCGTCTAGTCTTTCAGTAACTCGTATGTTCACTCGACGCTAAATGTGCTTAAACGCCATCATGGATAAAGCAACTTGACCAACGGATGCGCGACGATCCAGCTACCAAGCTTGCCCTCGAAGACGCCTTATCCACATTGCGGTACACGTATCTCAAGACACTCCTCCCTCTCATCCGTCGAAGGCGGGCCTTGCGAGATCGTGAGATCAAAATACGCAAGCAGCGCGACGCATCATTTCCGCAGAGCATCGAGGAATACCATGATATTGCAGAGAGGGATGTACAACTCCGTGTGGCACGGTTCCTCGCAGCCGACAATACGGAGCAAGAGAGGATGATGGACAAGTTTGGATGGGCTTATAGGCAGGTTGACCCGCTTCGCACGGCGTACAAGTCGAACGTGGGTTTACAGCGCGAATGTCTTTTTATACATTACCTACTGACTAGCACAACAGGCAGGAGTTCAGGGCGGAGATACAGAGTGCACTGAAAGACATTCAGGCTTCCGATCCTAGGAGACGAGTTAACAAGCAACTAACCATTGAGCCACCATTTCCGTTTACGAAGTTCTCACCCTTGCAGTGATGGTGTATACACGTGTATGTATGTCATTAGGCCCACTGAATGCGACATAGGTCATTTTCCGTAATTGTCAACCCTTCCATCTCGCACCAGCTATCCTCCAATGGATTTGGTATTTTAGTGACTCGTCACGATGATCCAGATCAGTATCACTGGACCGGCCCTTCCGTCGTTCGCCCCTCAGGAAGCAATACACCTGGAAGCCCTCCCAAATTTCTACGTAACTGCGCAGCATGCTAGTGGCAATATGTAGGACGCATTTGAATTGCCACGAGCCGATCCAGTGTGATGCGGCGACGAGGCGGTTGCTGCATCGGACATATGCCAATGGGACTTCGTATTCAGAGTGAGTCCTTTCAATTTTGAGCAATCCATGGCCCTTGCTAGCTGAAATATCGAAATTTGTGGGGCAGCAGTCATTGAATGTGCGGAGGTCATCGGCCCTAGCTCGTGATTCTGTGTCAAACTCCGTGTTGGTAGGTAAGTACCTCCCATTTCAGGTAAACCGGTGGTAGAGATATCGTTCTGGTATAAAACCTAGACCGAATGTTGAGGAATGGCTAACGCACGAAGTCCTCGTATTCGTCTGTTACACGCTTTCCAGTATTCGTTCACGCACGTGCTTTCCTATGCGTTTATCATCTTCCCTAGCTGTATTCGCAACTATCGCGCTTGTCGCGGCCTTCGTAGTTCCTTCGGTCCCTTCTTCCCACAGATCACAGTTGGCTCGCGCCTCTAATTCGACTGATGGGGACCACGGTGGTGTTCCTCCATCTACTGTTGGGAAACAAGGTCCTACTGCCTCTGTTCTAGGCGGTAAGAAGGGGCCAACCCCTTCTATCCGAAACCCTTCTTCCACTGGTCAAGCTGACCCTCTCAGAGGAGGGTCTGCCACGGGCTTCCCTTACAAAAGTGGGGAGAAAGCTCCGAAGAAAGGTTCCAAGTCTTACGCGTCGTCTAAAGGCGGAAGTCCTGCTAAAGGATCCCAAAGTGGCTCCTCATATAAGAGTGGTCACCATAAGGTTTCCCCGTCCAGTTCTGCGACCTCGCCTTCTAAAGCTGCTGTTCCGCTGGGCGGATATCCGTCGAAGAGCGGATATAAAGTCCATTCTTCCGCAGCTTCGTCATTAGGCTCTGCATCGTCCCCACATTCCAAAGCCCCCGATGCCGGCCAAAGTTCGTCCTTCGGCGGCGAGCCTGATCAACCAATCGGTTCTCAGAACGATTATCCGTCTAAAGGTGAATATGGAGCGTCTTCCCCCGCAGCTTCGCCATCCGGTTCAGCAGCGTCATCTTCGCCCTTCAAGCCTGCTCTTCCTACTCAAAGTCCATCCTCTCTCGATATTCAGCCCACCGGAACTCATAGCGGTTACATTTCTAAGAGTGAATACGGAGCCCCTTCTTCGGCGGCTTCGCCATCCGGTTCAGCGTCGTCCTTACCCATCGACGCTGCTGAAACGTCGACGCACTAACCACGGCCTCAGGGAGTGCCTTGGAGACCCTCACCTATTAGGGGGGGTATAGGTGCCGGTAAGAGCACAAACAGCGGCAGTGGTCCCGCCTTGCCTTCCAAGCAACGGGACAGAAGAGCGGCGGAGCCCCCTCCTGCGTAGATTTTTTTTTGGCCTGTGCTGAAATATGTAAAACGGGAACCTACTTTCTGACTGAGTTACGTCTTTGTGTCCGATGACTAGATGCTTTTTTTGCAGTTCGTTATATAGCAATTTCATCTTGCTATTCACTGTAACTCTTGCACTGTGTGCTTTTTGGAATACACGTCTCTTCCGCATTGGTTGCAAATCGAGTCAATGGCGGTCAACCCAGAGGGTTGACATCAGATGTAAGCATGCTGTCTCCTTGAACTCGAAAGTCAGCATTGACTTCGTGAACTACCAGCGTCCACGAGTGATCGTGTGGAGGAGTCCTCTGGGTCCTTCCCTCCTGTCGTCTTTCTGAGAAATGCAGCCAAGAGTTGGAACAGGAGTTATAGTCGGGATACTATTGGATCTATCGACAGCTTCGCTCTCAAGCTTCGTAGACATGAGGGTGGAATCCAGACTGCATAACTCGCCGCCGTGCCATTTTTGTCAACCAGCCCCTCCACCACCGCCGAACTGTCCGGACTTGCTTGACACAAGGTGCGTCCTAGTATATTAGTTGCCCTTAGGTAGAGCGTCTCATCATGGACACGAGTTCGAACTCGCTGACAAATATCGCAGTGCTGGTGGATTTGCATTCCCGATTTGTGCTTATCCAGACTGGCACCAGCAGCAGTGCAGCACACTCGGAAGTCCACTCCAAATACGATATTATTACCCACGTAATTGTTCAACATCCATTAGTATGTTCTGATTGATCGCGAGCATGTAAGACTCCATATTCTGGTGAGCGCCTTCTGTTTGCAGACGGGACTCAGTCTGTTACTCTTGTCGTAACTGCGAGCGTCGGAGCGGGCGGTCCTCGAGTGAGTTACACACTTGCGTGTCGATTGCGATTGATGAACATGACTAAGTATTTACAGGGTGGGGTTGGGTCGCCCATCGTTATTCGGATACCCTCGTTTGTGGTGTCATTTCGGTAGGCTGATGCTAAAAATACTGTTCTGCTATGGCTATGTATAAAACCTAGCACCGAACGTCGAATGACGTCCAACGCACGAAGCCCTCGAATACTTCCGTTACACACACCTTCGCACTCGTTTCACACACGTTCGTTACTATGCGTTTGTCGTCCGTCTTCTCCGTGTTCGCAACGGTCGCACTTGTCGCGGCTTCTACCCTTCCTGCAGGTGCCCCTAGCACGGGCGCTGTTAATGGAGGTCTCCCCGGAGTCCCATCGTCTGGGACTCTCGGTGGAGGGTCCCCCAACAGCTCCTCTAATGGTGAAGTAAAAGTTTTAAAGGCCGATTCCGAGTCTGCACCGCCTAGTAGTGCCACTGACGGAAGTCCAGGTGCTACGTCGAGCGGAACAACTACTCCCCCATCAAACAAGAATGATCTTCCCGTCCAACTACCTGTTCCCCGCGCTGAGGCTCTTGTAGAGCGTCTTGAACCTGTCAGTCCTTCAACTCTCAAGAATGATTCTGGCGCTGGCAAAGATGCGAGCGGTGGTAATGGTTCCACCTCGCCCGCCAGGTTCACAAAGAAGAAGCGTTTGGGACCTGTTGGCGTTTCTAATGTCAAAAGCGCTTTTGGTGTCGGCAAGAGCTCAAGCGATGGTAGTGGCTCTTCCAAGCCCATGAAAGAGAAGAGCGGCGCGCCATCGTCTGCGTAGCACTCTTGCGTCTATTGTATAGGAACTGGGGGCAAGTTTCCCAATGCCAAATGGGCTGAACACTTACTGTCTGGTTGAGCTACGCCTTGTGCCCAATGACTCCATTTCGATATGTCAGTTTGTTTTACTACACGCTAGCACACCCTGTGCGCTTTTTGAAATGCACGCTTTTTTGTTCCGCCGTAATGTTTGACTTAAAGCTCATCCGCCTGCGGGAGGTTAGATGGGATTTTTTAATATCCATTTCCCGCTCATTTGTGTCACCGGTATAATTCTGAAAGTCAACCGCAGTCTCAGGGATAAGTAATGAATTAGGTGGAGCTCTGAAACGTTGCTTACGACCATCACTCGCGTCTCACCAGCTTGCTCGCTTCCGGCGGTTCACTCATGGCATTCAAATTTTTTGATCAAACTGAACATACTAACCTTTTTTGGGGAATATAGACAGCAACTCGGCTGCCAAAAATGACTATTATCTGCGATTATCCTGCTGCGCTTGTCGCCTTCGCGGCCATTCGTCGGCGTTGCCACTCCTTTTGTTGGAGCCGTGCCGTACTAACGCACACGCTGTTCGGCCCATCAGTGGCAGGCGAGCGATATGCTGCAATAATTTTTCTTGACGGAATTCTATTTCAGAGGCTCCACCAGATAGTATAAAGACCTGGCGCAGAAACTGTGCTCTGCCTTTTTAACGAACCCAACGATTTTGCTCTTTGGCACGTACCGCATACGCTCTTTTCTGCTCACAATCGCTCGTTATCATCATCAACATGCGCTTCTCACCTATTCTCGTCGTTTTCGCAACTGTTATCCTCACTGGGGCTATTCCCATCGCTCTTGATGATTCTGCGGATGCTCTAGCCGTTCGTAGCGGTGGTCTTCCCCTTACCGGTATAAAAATTGGCCAAGAAAAGGACAATTTACCTGTACGTCGCAGCGGCGGCCTTCCTATCGTCGGAACGAAGCTCGGAGGTAGTACTAGCAGCTCCGGAAGCGGGGGTTCTCCCCCTCCCAGCTCCGAGCCTTCCAGCGGGGTTCCTTCTACCGCCACTTCTTCGAAGAGTACCAGCTACGAAGGCAAGGGCAAGGGGGGTAAGACTTCTGGTAGCTCTAGTGGGAGTGCCCCTCCTACTTCCGGTAATGTTCCCCGTAAGTCTGGCGGCAACGGTCTTGGACCCATCAACCCTCCCGATGTTAAGCCTGTCGTGGATGGCTTGAGCAGTTCCGGTAGTTCCTCCGGTTCCGGAGCTCCTTCGACCTCTGGTAGCTCCGGTGGTAGTGCTCCTACCTCGGGCAAGGTTTCTCGCGCCCAATCTTCCAACAACGGTCTCGGACCCATCAATCCTTCCCAGCTTACGTCTTCCGTCGGCGGCTTGACCGGCTCCGGTAGCTCTGGCAGCTCCGGCTCTGGTAAGAGTGTCCCTCCTACAACTGGGGGTACGAGTGCTCCTCCCACGACTGGCGGTACGAGTGTCCCTTCCACGTCTGGTGGTAAGAGTGCCCCTCCCACCACTGGGGGGACGAGTGCCCCTCCCACTACTGGGGGTACGAGTGCCCCTCCCACCACTGGGGGTACGAGTGTCCCTCCCACGACTGGCGGTACGAGTGCTCCCACTACTGGGGGTACAAGTGTCCCTCCCACCACTGGCGGTACGAGCGTCCCTTCCACGTCTGGCGGTAAGAGTGCCCCTCCCACCACTGGGGGTACGAGTGCCCCTCCCACCACTGGGGGTACGAGTGTCCCTCCCACGACTGGCGGTACGAGTGCTCCCACTACTGGGGGTACGAGTGTCCCTCCCACCACTGGCGGTACGAGCGTCCCTTCCACGTCTGGCGGTAAGAGTGCCCCTCCCACCACTGGGGGTACGAGTGTCCCTCCCACGACTGGCGGTACGAGTGCTCCCACTACTGGGGGTACGAGTGTCCCTCCCACCACTGGCGGTACGAGTGCTCCCACTACTGGGGGTACGAGTGTCCCTCCCACCACTGGCGGTACGAGCGTCACTTCCACGTCTGGCGGTAAGAGTGCCCCTCCCACCACTGGTGGTACGAGTGCTCCCACAACCGGGGGTACGAGTGCTCCTCCCACCACTGGGGGTACGAGTGTCCCTCCCACAACCGGGGGTAAGAGCTCTGGCGGAACGTCTGGCAGTAAGGGTTCTCTCCCCTTGTAAATGTCTTCATATAGTAAGGTCAGTCATTATCCTTGCTCGTCCTGTAAATAAGTTGCTTAATCCTAGATAGCTGCTTCTCCTCGCAACTCCGCTATACGTGCCGGACTAGTAGGGGGAGACCGTGATAGATTCTTCAATACTTCGTATACCACTGTGTTGTTTATCTCTCCTAAGTGAACGTGATTTCTATGCCCATGCAACTAGACCGAGTCTTCGCATGTCAGAACTGGCACTGGATTTCATCGGAAGATACCTTGGCATATTTTTTTCCGTAGCCATATCATTTTTGTTTACAACTCGTTCTCTAGTCAGATTGTATAATTGAAGCTGGGCGAAAAATAATACCCTCTATTATTCCGCTTGCGAGATATTTGCACTTCCTATTGCATTACCTATCCAAATCTCGATTGCAGTCCCACCGGCTCCGCTGACCACTCCTACTTGTTCGAGGTTAATGTCCGCTTCCTTCGCCATGTTCCAGAGTGTTCGCTCTGCTACATCACGTTCTTTGTACCCCAACAATATAGACGGGTAGCGATCGGCCCGTTTGGACTTGGAAAACTCAGCGAGGCGGGAGAGCGTATTGATCAGCGCCGGGAAAGATGTTGTGTTGTAAGTGACATCTGCCATCCTGTTGCAAAACGCTATTGAGTAAAGCCAAGATTGATCGATTGGCTGGCGTACACGATGGCATCGAGTCCAGCGTCAAAATTGGACATGATTGCGTCGGGAAGTCCCTGGACTTCCCAGTCTAATGCCGCAGGTTCCGGTGAGACTTTACTTAAGAGCGAACTGTTGGACGAAATGTTGCGCTGCAAGAGAGGCAACGCTGAGGCTGGACAGTACGGCGTTGACCTGACAAAGAAACAAGACCATGGCTTGTCTACTCACACAGATCAGTAGTCACAATGCGCCCGGGTTGCCCGTAGGTGTCCAGTTTCGACCGCAAGATACCCAGAGTGATTGCGACTATACCTGTCCCCGCCCCTGCACGGAATGCCACGTGATCTTGCTGTTCCAAGCGATTACACTAAACTTACCGAGCTCTATGATATCCCGACGATCCCTGCTGAAGAGTACTTGCCACACACGAGATAATGCTGGACTTGTATCCACCTGTCCTCCAAAATAGAGTCGCACCAACCAAGAACTGAGCCCTATTCCACTATCCCACACTTTCTAAGCTGATGAGGTTGAGTGACTACACTTTTTTGTTATGCGAAGGACCGCACTTTGTCTAGATCGAATGATGTCTGTTCACATATATCGAATACCTCTGGAGGTGAGGCGTCTTGCGCAGGAGCACGCAACAAGTAGGATCGCACTATCTCTTCCTGCTTCGCGGCCTTCCGTGGTCGACTTGTAAATAGGATGGGCATGGACATCACGGGGAACGGCGCGTGTCCGATGTTATCATTACAGAGGAGAACGACCTGGTCTTTCCTTGTCGTACCAACGCTTAGAATAAGCCGCCAGGACTGCCCGTCACGCAGGTTCTGTGGACGCGGTACGGAGATTTCCTTGTATGCGTGAGCTGTCCTCCAAGAGGTGAGCTTTGCAGGTCTGGTGATCACGGAGGCAGTCTGCGAACGTGGGTTGGGGACGAAAGCCCATGAATGATAGATGTCGACGACGTCTTCCAGATACTCTGTCCGTAGATCGTTGGATATCTGTGGTGTAATCAGAATCTGTTCTGTCTGTGCCAGGCTTGCTTGTGCGGGCGGCGGTCTCAAGAACGAGATGTAGTAGAACATCGTCAAAGGGCGTCCTTCCTAATCGGGTCGGTTTCCGCTGACGACGACGACGACGTTTCATGCTGTGGACTACATTCTGCAGGCGCGGCGCCATCTCGCTGAGGACACCACTCAGTCACTCTAAAAGCCGCTCTTTGTTTCAGACATTCCCAAATCACTTCCCAAGAACAGCTCGAGCCCAATCAGGTCGACTTCCGGGCAGCCATGACGCCATCCCGTCCTTTCGGACACAGGTAGCAAAGACAGAGGGCGTTTCATCGTTTGGTGCCCGCCTCGAAAAACCATCGGTACGGAAGCAAATCGAGGTGAGCGCTCTGGAATAATCTCCATTGGCAAAACCACTTCGACAAATGCCCAGCTCTTCCTCGGTGTATCATTGTTGGCTTATCTTGGAGCGGCAGCTGTGACCGAATCAGAGACAAAATACTGGAAGAACAAACTGGTCACCGTTTCGAGCATATTCCAACTTAGACCGCCTTCGACAGATGAAATGAGAAGGGCGCGATACATGGAGCTAGGTGGCGTACGAAGCCGCTCTTTCTATTCGAACATGACGAGTACCTGACGTTAGCTGTCGCAGTCCTTGAAAGAAATCCTCGAACACTTGAAGGATGAAACTTCGACGTGGCCAAGTACCCTTCGAAATGTCTCCATTGCCACGTATGTACGCTGCGCCCAGACATACCTCGATTGGACCGAGGGTAGAAGGTTGTGCTTTCACATTGCTTGCGTGAACGCGGCCATCTTTTTGGCTTGGAAAGTACCCCGACTGCGCTCTTTCATGTGGAAGTCGTTCGCTCACGATCCTCTTTCCGGACGAGCGTATACACTCTTGACGAGTGTGTTCAGGTAACTTGTTGGACAGTCAGAGTTCTTACTTTGCTGACCAACCCGCAATCTCGTAGTCACAAAGGTTTCCTTCACCTCATTGTCAATAACATGGCTCTTTGTTCTTTTGGTGGGTCGTGTAAGCTTGGCCTCTGACGCTACCTTTACCAATGTTATGTCCGAATATTTAGGTTCGGCTGCCACGACGTATTTCTACTTTCAACAACGCAATAACCCAGATGCTCTTCCTGAAGCAACTAGCATGTGGCATTTCCTAGCGTTCTTCCTTTCCGGTAAAATTTTATGACGATACCTTGCGTAAAACCATTTTTCAATTCGCTCCATTAGCTGGTATGTTCTCCGGGCTTGTCAGCCATGTCGTCTCGACCAAGATCCTCTTCCCTCGACTGGTGGCTCGAGCATCAACCCAAGCTTCCATCCGAGCCTCACCAGCTGCAAGTGCAATTGCCGGGAGCACTAACGTGGCAACAGCGGCATCTAAGGGAGAGATCTTGCCTTCGCTAGGTGCATCAGGTGCCGTCTATGCAGCTGTAACGCTGAGCGCACTTGCTTTCCCGGATGCCGAAGTGCGATTGTTGTTCCCTCCGTTTTTCCCCATACCCATCACGGCTGGTGTTGGGGGCATTATTCTCCTCGATATAGTAGGTGTGATCCGAGGATGGAAGTAAGTCATGACTAGTTTCAGTCGGCGAGGAGATTCTGATGTCAGGCTTGCTCGTAGGCTTTTTGATCATTATGCTCATCTAGGAGGTGCAGCGTTCGGGGCTCTATACTACTACTATGGGACGTCTTGGTGGAACTTTCAAAGGCGGCTCGAGGCACATAGTTGGCCATGACGTCTGTCACGTTCATGCTTAGACTATCTCCCCTCCTTCCCTGTGGACGCTTGCAAACACCCTTCATTGCGGCTCACCACGTTACAGTACGGCGAGCATAATACACCTGCTTAACACACGTTCTGGATACAACAAGAACTAAAGGCAACGCTATCAGTGATGCTCCATTTTCTTCTTTTATCTCCCTTTTTTTAAAAAAAGCAAGAGAATACAGTCGCAGCTGGCAATTCCTCTCGTTGCAACTCACGCTTCGACTTCATTAGATCAGCTTTTACGTAATCGCAATGCGCTTCGGCAACTGGTCAGAGGGAGCCTTTGGGAATGTCACTGTCAGGACGCCGCTGTCCAAGTTCGCCTTGATATCTTCAGGCTGAAGTTAAAAAAAAAAGAAAAAAACCATGGTAAGCCAGATGAGCCATGCAATGTTGAGAGACGTATTGCATACCTTTGTACCCGGCGGGAGCACCAAGGTACGAGAGAACTTGCCATATGAGCGTTCGCGGACGACGAAGTTTCCCTCGTCCCGCGTCGCGGCGGCAGAGGTCTCTCCCGAAATCGTGAGACGGTCGTTCTGGACCTCAAGGCAGATATCTTCCGGTTTCACACCGGGGAGCTCCACTCTTGCTGCGACGGTGTTCGCATCGACATTCTCCTGCAAATCTAGCCTGTGCAGAGAACGATGTCAGCAGAAGACCTACCGCGCACAGCGGAAGCAGACATACCTTGGTCTGAAAGTTTCTAGTGCGCGCGAGGTGGGGTCACGGGTACCAACATCTGCCCAAGAAGTGCGAGGACGGGAGAACCGCGTGTTCAAAGCGTCATCAAAGAGACTTTCGAACTCAGTGAAGGGGTCGTAAAAGAAGCGTGTCAAAGACATGATGGTGGTTCACTCGTCAGTGTTGGCGTGGAGCTGCCGTTGCATGTCGTGCTTGATCAACGGCTTTATATGGCTTCTCTGACCGCCGCCGACGAGGCTCATAGGTGACGTATTGGGTCGACAGAAACTTCGGCGCATAAAACAAAAACATACGGCGCAAGCTTCCCACCCACACAGGGGGGCGTGCGTTTCCGAATTGGGATATGATATGTCTACGCCGATCGACTGTCCTTCGAACCGAAGGAGGTAGTAGTGCTTTAACCTCGTCAGCGCAACTTACACACCAATGAATGTTTTGCAAGTTGTTAAACTTCCACGGACTGGCGGGAACGTTCGGCGGCCCTACCCCAAATCCTCCGCCTCGCAGCAAGACTAGTAGCAAACACCTCACGAAAAATTTAGGACACAGGATGCTGATGGCGTATATTCTACATAATCTATGACAGTGGACATTGCGCAGTACAAGTTAACAATGTGGTAAAGGCTTGCCGGACCATGACGGTGGTACTCGAGGGACACCGCAGGCGCGCCGACATTATGGTATTACAACGGCGGTAGCGGCCTGCGACATTGCGGGCATATATTCTAGGTGGTATTTCAGTTGCCGTCGAACGTGCGCTGACGCGAGATTATGCCTACCTTGAGAGCAAGCCACTGTATCGGATGATTGAAACATTGTGAAGTTAGAAAACAAAATGGAGGGCCTCGCACGACATACCTTCTCAAGACATTCCGTGTGCTGTAGAATTGTACTGAGCACTAAATATCACAACCACAAGTGGCATCGAACTCACGAAAATATGGTGACAAGGGGCCACACTATAACTCTTCTTGACGCCCACCTTTTGCAGCAGCCCGCCAGTCACCTGCTGCAACTGTTTTGAGTCCTTGACATGAATTACCTCCATGCAAATGGAGCAGTCGCCAAGTGGCTGGTCCGGTGCCTCGGGGTCGTGCATATTCGACGGCATTGGGGGATGGTAGTCATAAATTTGTGCTGTAGCGAACTATATAAAAAGATGACACGTCAGCTACGGAGGGAAAAGCAGTGCGTTTGGGGATGAGAACACAAACCCGTTTCGGCAGAAAGAACGCGGGGCCAAGGGACTTCTGTAAGAGAACCACACCGACTTGGAACAGAACGAACGCAGCGAGGGAGTATACCCATCCTATAGAGACGGTTAGACCATGCACAGCGCTCAGGATAATACTCACGTCGTGGCTCTACATCCAATACATTCGTCGAATTTGCCAAAAAGTCTGTAGCTTTGTTAGATCTAGCAAGGCAGGCGAACAACTGACAGACAGAAAGGGAACCACAGTCTGCATATTGACATGCCAATGAGGTACTCGGCACTCAACGAACTGCTCCTTCCACACTTGACGGAGCGAACAACTTTGTGGTAGCCAAAATAACGAGTACATAGATCCGACAAAAAATAGAGCCAGCGAAGGCGACACGATTGCTCGGACAACAAATGTGAGACAGATAAGTAATCCAATCCCTTAGTGCAGTCAGCCAAAAAAGTAACAAGTGATAATCAATCTACATACAAATGCGCGCCTGTGGGTCTGAATACAAATTCCGGGCGAAAGTACTCAGGAAGGAACGGGCCGTGAGCGGTGGGGGTGTTTGAGGACGTTGTGCTGGCTGGGCAGTTTCAGCGCCTGGTCCATTGTCCTGTGGAGCTTGCTGTGGAGGTCTCGGTGGGGGTATGGTAGTATTGAGTGCATCTCCTGGGGCCTGGACTTGGTTGATAAGGGTTGCATGGTGCTATAGCGAGACGTCAAACACGGCAACAGAAGCAGCATAAAAGATATACCGCTTCTATGGAAAAAATTATAGAGGAGGCGAAAGCTGGGATAATCAACGCGAGAGAGGGCCTTCCATGTGCCAAGATAGCAAAAGTGATGTGTGCAGCGAGAGAAACCGCGTCGACGATGGCCTGGGTGTAGAAAGTCCAGACCGACAGACGTTGAAGAGCAGCAGGACTATGTGTACGGTCAACGTGGCGACACGATAGAGTGAGCATTATGAGGGAAACGACTCCTGAAATGCTCCCATCTGTACCATTGCCAATGAGAACGAATCTCCTTGTACGGAACAAGGCAACCTACAGTTAACGACTCTTCGGAGAAATGACTGAGTTCTATGAGAGGGTCGAATGATTAACGAGTAACAAACAAGAAGCATCCCCGCTAACCTTAGTCCCTCGGCATGATGGAACCGATAGAGCACGCCACATTCTCTACTCAGCAAGACACCGTTGACGCGAAGGGGGAAAACATTCGGTGTCCATTTTCCCGTTGGTGATTGTAGCTCGCTTTCAACGTCAATCATAAGTTCTTCAGAGATCAGGGACGGTTCAATCTGAGCATATACTAAGAATCCGCAATCACTCTGAACTCCACTGTTGGCTATCACATCATGAACGGAGTCCAAGGACAAAATGCTCCACACCGACCTTCCGAAGACTCTTGGTCAATGACCCCATTATCTATCATGGTCTTGATTTTGTCTACCCGTGATTGAAGTTCATTTCGCACGACAAGAGTAGTTCCATTCTGTGACTCCTCTGGTACGATTGCTGGGAGGTACCTGATGTCGATATGACGTCTGAAAGCCTATAAGCCAATGGAAGTGCCAATATGACGACGAAAGACTAATTACCCGGGAGGTTCAGCAAAGCCATATACAGAACCATTGGCTATGAAATGGACACCCTCAAAATCAAGCCTCATCTCGTTACCGCTTGTCGCATCGACAAAATCGATTCTTCCCTAAATAGTGCATCCTCAGACAGATGGACCAGAGATAGCATGGTGGAATTATCGCACATGAGCCATTGCCAGCTTGTCTGACACACCTTCTACAACTGCATGGTCGATGACACTCCATGCCATTTTTCGTGTTGCTTTCCAATCCTGCGTGCCCAAGGAGTGTAAAATCTCCGTCATGTTCGTGTTTTCCATATAGGATTCGGCGTGCGACGACCAAGGAGCATGGGTGTCATTCAGGCTCGGAAGCGTGATGTTGTGGAAGTCAATCTCCCCGCGGATAAACCCAGTTATATTTGTAAAGTATGAAGCACTAGATGGGTCCAAACGAGACCCGAGTGTCATGTGTGACTCGACGAGAGGCCGGAGTGAGGGATTTCGATCGGGCTGATTATGCCAAGGTTTGAACGTTAACCTCGACTCGACGACTAAGGTGCGCACGTACCATGGAAAAGTTGGTATCGGATCCGTTCATCCAGTTCGTGAAATTGGATAGCTGGTAAGTAAGAGAGCGTAACGCATCGTAGTGATGATTCCGAGCCAAGAACTCGTCTCCGCTGTGATTCGTGAGCAAGAAAAGCATAAAGATAATAAGAACAAAGGATGGAATGGAGCTCCTCTGCTGCAGCTGCGGCCTCATCGCAGTCTGCACATTCTCGGCTTCATCATCACGGTCCATGGCATGAAAGCGATTGAAGCTCGGCGCTGAGTCGCTCGCTGAGCAGGTGAGTGTGCCGCGGCAGCACGTGACTGCCCTTCAAGGCAATCTAGATCTACGCGGTCGCGTTGAGGTCGACTACAAATCATGGCGAAAGGAACACAAGACACAAAAAGATGGACACATTTTCATTCCGCATTGCAGCTGGCAATAAACAGAGCGGCGCACAAGTGGACGTAAGTTATGAGCTATCGAAGTACTCTGTCTGTCCGTCTAACCGCGGGAAGATACAAGGATTTCCAGGAGTGCTTCGCGCTGTGGTGCAAAGAAGAGCCACATGGCGCGGAGGGAATATTTAACACCATATCACGGCACATGGAAGACCAAGTGCACGTTAGTACGTCGAGTATTTCTATTTCGAGAGACTTAAATTGTGCTCCAGGCAAGCTGTGAACGGTTGTTCGAAGATTACAGCGTCAGAGAGAACATCAACACGCTACACGCAGTAGTCACAGAGGCACGAGCCAGAAAACAACGTGGAGAGGTCGACAGGAAGGATGTATGGAAAGAAGATTTGGATCCTCGGGCTGCAGTACGTGCCCGTACGGTCCCAGTATTGCAGGCAGAAAGAGAAAGACTTGAAAGAGACACTGCACAAGGCAAGCATCGAGGCTATGTCCCGCGGCACTTCTGTCTGACGCTAAGTGGCAGCTCGAGGAAGAGAACATTGCCCTATATGAGGAGACTATGAAGTATGCACAGAGCGATCGCGAAGCTAAGGAACGAATACGAGAACTATTGAAGCATGCGGACGAGGTACTTCTTCGATCTTGCCATGCATACATTTTGTACTGAGCCGTCTTTCAGGTTTACTCCAGATGGAATAAGATTCCCCACGATGAGATAGGGCTATGGAGTCTGCAGGTGGCGGAGAACTTGGCGACTAATCGACCTCCCTAGTGGTATAATTGAAGTATCTCTATATATCGTGTTCCCAGCAACTGGCGGGCAGGCAGTTGCTTATCATCATCTCGGTGCCCGGAGATATAACAGCAACATGGCGCAGAGGAAGCGCGCGGGGCTCATAACCCCGAGGTCACTCGATCGAAACGAGTTGTTGCTAGAATTTTTTATTATTTATTATCCCTATTTATTATGTAAGCGCTCACCCCTGTCTCTTGTTCACTCGCCAGACATGGCGGCGAATGCGCTGTGGGCCCACATCCTCCAGAAGGATTCCATCATTCAAGACTCGACGCCACCGATAATCCCACCCTTGGCACCAAAAGACGCGACTGGGACGTCTATGCGCATGCTCATATACGACACTCAATCTACATTGGAGAAATTCTCCGGGAGACTCGATACACTTATGACAAGGGTGGACGACTGCAGGAGCCAAGTCATCAACGCCAACAAGTTACTGGATCATGAGCACGACAAGGTAGTCACGGAGATGGTTGACATCTGTACGATATTGCAGTGGCACGAGTCCTCGCACTTACCATTTTCTCCCCAAAAGCCTCCCGATCCCAGAACGAACTCAAGTCACATATGGGAACCCCTGCGCAAGCTCATGCGTTGGAGCTTACGCACGCGTCACAAGTGTCTACAGAAAACAGCATTCGGGCACTGGAAAAGCGCATAGACGCACTGCAAACGGTCAGTTCGACTGGGTATCGGTTATAGCATCTGCAACTCCAGTACTCCCAACAGCTAGTTCAGTCGCACACAAGTGCATTCGCATCGATTCAGGATCAACAAAACGCGATTCAAGCACATCAAAGCACTCTGTTGGACACTGTGCTGCCCCTCTTACAGCTGCTACAAAATCTGCCTTCGCAGTTCGACCAATTGAAATCCTCTCTGGCAGACGCTGTATCGAGTGCTGAGGCTAATCTTGGGACGAGCATTGGCACCATTAAAAACGCCATCCCGCGTCTTGCATTGGATCACGCGCAACCAAAGCCTCCGGTGGGCCCTGAACTAACATCCAAGCAACTTAACAGTACGCCACGGAAACGTACTAACGCATTCCACGAAATGGAAGGGCGTTCTAAGGCCACCGGAAACGCCACCTGTTCTACTCACTCTCCAAAGAGGACACGTCTCAGCCCAGCTCCGAAACGTGCCTTTCGCACACCTCGCTTGCCTGTTACAACCTCCAACGAGAATGTGTCGCTCGCGCCCCGTCGTTTCACGAGTATTAGCTCTGAGGATGCTTCTCGTATGCGGTCCAGGAATTCGATGCCCAAATTGCTCATGTCCAAACCAGATAATGAGAAGGCAGAGTCAGAGCGCAGCACTGTTCTGGAAAGAAACGCACCAAAAAAATTTCCGAGCGTGATTTCCATATCCTCATCACCTCTTTCTGATGCCGCGGCTCCTATGCCACCCTGTCCCTCAGCTACCCTCGATGCAGGATCATCCCCGGCAATCAATAGCACCGAGCCCCAAGCACGGAAGGATTTCCGGATTCTTCCACGAGTCATCCTCTCTCACAATTCTGTCAGGCCACCCAATCATCCCTTAGATTTGACACTTCCACCACCATCTGGCCAACATGTGGTTTCATCGACGCGGTCGCCACCGAAATCTATGAGTTTGCGTGACCGTCGTACCCAAATGACACTGGTGCGTATCTTATGATTGCATGCTTATAGAAATTAACACTCTGTCGATTCGCGATCTTAAGCTTGGGCGTGCTCGGACGAAACGGTTCATACCCATTGTTGCTTCATCTGATGAGGAATCATGACATGATAGCGCGTTCGCTTCTCAATTTCGCAAACTATGGACAGATCGTATCTGGACTTTCTTCCTTCCCTGCTTAGTGGTGCTATCGTTACCATTGTGAAGCCTGACACAGCCATAATGGTTTAGCATGACAGAAGAGGAAGTTGCTTTCTCGAAATCTTTAAATTTCAGTCATCCTCCGCAAGGGGCTTAAGCTCAGAGAGCTTGTCGCCACAGGAAGTTTCGGTGCTCGGAGGTGATCTGTTCCTAAAGCCTGCTGGTCTCTGTGCAACGATTTGTTGCGGCGCAACCGACTGGCAACCGTGCCCGACACGAAAATACGCTAGACTGGTTCTAAAAATAGTACCTTGACAAGTTCAGCACCGTAGATTGACCGATATAGTAACTGCTAATCCACATGTACGTTCCTGGGGCTTCATCATCTGAGGTCCTGAATCAGGGGCCTCTGCCCTGTCATCGCCCATGAAACACTGAACTGCTGCCTTCAACTGATCTTACAGTGCTGACGGGAAGACGTTAGAAATTCTCCTTCACAACAACTTGCGATTAACAGCACGGTACATGCCAGTCCTCAAATCGGTCATGTCCGCGGTACTGATGACCCCGAAGTTGCAGTTATCTCCAATATGTCGTCTCTTGAAGAAGTCGAGATCGTCAAGCCTATCGAGAACATCCACCCGAACAACCTCCAACGAGTACAAAAGGAGGTCGTCATTCATGCATTCCGACAACTCGTAGAGCACTCCCATCCCTCCAAGGGGAAGGGTAACGTCACGACCACCGTCCATGCTTTTGCCCACTCTCGGGTTGAGTGGCTGCACAAGGTCGTCCCAGAGCTCGAGACCCTGGCCGAGAAGTACCATATCGGCAATTTCGTCGCTATCAGAGGCACGAACCAACGGTTTTTCGAGAGCATGCCAATCTACGCACGCTTGGGCATGCACCTGCTGTTTTATGGGAAGGAACAGGTAAAGTTACTGGAAGGAAACAAACTCGTTGAAGATACCCTCCGCGAACAGAGCATTCATCAAGGGAAAATCTACGATTCACCAGAATCCGCTAAGAATATACCGTCCTTTATCAAGATGTACAACATCCAGCTGGATGAACTGCTGGAACCGGATATCCACAAATATCACACTTTCAATGAATTCTTCTCTCGCAAGCTCAAGCCAGGCGCGCGTCCCGTTGAGAACGTAGATAACCCGAGGGGATTCTGCAGTGCAGCTGACTGCCGCCTAGTGGTATACCAGACCATTAGCCTCGCAGAGAAGTTTTGGATCAAGGGAGACGAATTCTCTGTACCATCGCTCCTGGGTCTCGATCCCACCGATCCTATCTGCGAAGCAGTTGAGCGGTGGTTCTCTCGCCATTTTCCGCCTCGCGCCTGCAGATTATCACCGCTTCCACTCACCAGTTGATGGAAGAGTTCTGACTGAACATCGGGATATCCCCGGTGAATATTATACCGGTGAGTTCGCCGCCTTCTTACCCCGAGAAGTCACCTATAAATTCGCCGTAGTGAATCCCCAGGCTGTCAATGAACCTAACCTTGACGTGTTCACCCGAAACAAGCGCTCCGTCTTACTTCTCGAACACGAGGTCTCGAAGAAGCCGATTGCAATTGTCGCCGTCGGCGCACTCCTGGTTGGCAGCATTGTCTGGACTTATAATGTAAGCACCGGTATTTATATCATGGAACAGTGATATGTGGCGATTATTTAACTCGGGGTTTCAGAATGAGATAAAACGTGGTGACGAGGTTGGCTATTTTGCGTACGGTGGCAGCACTGTAATTGCCGTCTTCCCGCCGGGGCTCATTCAATTTGACGAGGACCTCGTCCTGAACTCGACTGGAAAGAGTGTAGCTGCCAACGGACAAGGAAGCATCGAAACTCTCGTCAAGGTTGGGTACTCGCTGGGGAAGATGCCCGATACTGTAGAGTAAACTCGATTGCTGGTGTCGTGGCTGTTAAAGGCGAATAAGGGGGACTTCTTTTTTTTTACGACACTCTTGTTTCCAACTCTCGTCGCTGTTTCAACTTCGGGGAGGATATTTTTGTCTTTGTTTTTTTTTGTGTTTATGCTGTTTGCTTGTGGGTGGTGTATTCGTGAAACATAGCTTGTTAGGTTCCAGCATCGAAAAAGTTTACTGCTGCGAATTACGTCCGTAGGAACAAGAACTTCCAAGTTGGCTTCAATCGCTCTGCCGTGAAGGTAGTGAAAGCCCATCTGAAATGGCGGATCAAGGATCTCTGTGATCAGACGTGCACCGCCCGTTCATCCAATGTTTACGCACTGCGTGTTTAGCATCTGTTCCACACTCGACGACTCGTCACTCCACACCAGAGGTTTTGGCAGAACTGGTTCATTTGTGTCGGCACAGCGGGGAGCGAGCTAGGAGCCACACTCGAGAGGCTCAGCCCTTGCGAAAGCTCATTTCCCACGCTGGCTCGTAACTTCTCGCCAACCCCACCACTGACTCCAGTGAGGCAGCTACCCGGACCTCGGTTTTCATAGATGCCTTCTTGCATGGTTGCCGGGAAGTGTAACTTGGGATGGCTTTGTCAACTCTCTATACGTTTGTTCTCTCAACGCTGCGTAAGGAAGACAAATGGTGCCAAAAGGAAATCTATGCTCTGACATCACATCTACCACAGCACGAACGGTTGCACTGTCTCTCCGACCTTGTTTTTTTCGGCCCCCGAAGTGGGCATCTCCGCTGATAATCACAGTATTCGAGAGTTGGGATTTGCACTACGACCGTCGTGCGACTCTCCTCAATCAAAACTCGAGTGATGGTGAACAAACCGTGACGTCGATCTCAGTCTCCCCACATGCTACTTTTCGAGATGTGCGTCTATGACGTGATCATTATCAATGCGTCATCACTGTATTGGCTATGCTTCGGACGACTACCCGACGCACTACGCGGACAAACATTTTCCGGTCTTCATCCTGTGTGATGGAGGAAAGTCAGGTATGAGCGCCAGAAGTGTCATCGCCTCTTTGTGGTCCGTCGTATAAAATGGGAGCAGTGATCTTTCGTGACTCCCCCCACACCTAACCGACCGAGCAAGGAGAGGTCTATGCACGACATTATTTTTGCGATCCTTTCTCTGCTTCACTGGCATTGGCTTTGCACCAGTCCGAAAGCGCAGGTCGCATTCTAATCCTGTCGTTTCGAGTTCTTGCTTTTGTGCGCGTGGGTGCCCATCTCTTGCTCTAAGGCTTTGCGACCAATCCATGATCCCACTGTAGTTTCACCCTCGGAGAATCCAATAGGTTGAAGAAGTGATTCCAAGTTAAAGCATGGTCCGGATGTTACAGGTAAGCTGCCTTCTGTGTCGTGCTCTCGGTTGGTGCTGAGACACAGGCAGTTATTTTACCCCTAAGTGAACCTGTGCATCGAAGGAAGACGGCCGTTCCTTCTTCGCCTGAGGTCATGATCACCAGCTACTAAGCTATTGAATTAGTATACCCTAACCTGTCCTGTTGTTGTATTTCCCACAGGAGATTTCTTGTCATACTGCCGACATTTTTATAGTAACTCGTGACAGCCACTGGATCAGATCAATGGGCTGGTTAATAAGTTGGATGAACCACAGCTTCTGTGAAGATTGATGCTTGTAAACTATGCAGATTTTGTATTCATGTATCAAATGACAGCAAGTTGTTGTTGGACTTGGATTCCATTTCCTATGATAGTTGCTTGTCATGTTTGAGTTTGTAGTCCAGCTATGGGTGAGCACAGGTCTAAGACTAGAAGTTATAGTTTGTGAGAAAACTCACTCAGTCCCCAACCAATTGATCAACTGGCGTAGTTCTTGTCATATTCTATGTCTTGTTTCTAGTGTTTTGCTCAGCCCAGCCTCAAGCCCCAGGCCAGAGGGAATTGTGCTGTATTCACAGTTTTTAAGTCCAAACAGTCCATACCTATGACCCCTGCCCACATCTGCCCCCTCCCAGCTGGCCTTGCAACATGACTTGCCAGTGGAGAAGAACCAGACTTGACACACATGCAGGACCAACAACTGGCAGGAACTGATTATTTAGGTTATTATATACATGCATTGCTCTGTGGTTTTCCAGTTTGCTTGGAAGGAGGGTGTTAAGTGAGAGGGCAGTTGTCACAATGGAGAGAAAATGGTTGGATCAGCAAAGGGGTGGTTAGGTAGGAAATGTTCATTATGGCTGTTGAGTAAGTTGTGCAGGGGTTGAATTGCACTTGGACATGAGTCATAAAGACAAAATAGAATGGCATAGAAATAGGAAAAGTTTGACTCTGGATAGCTGAGTGACATGGCATAGGATATATATTTGATTTGATTTACACAGAACCATTGCATCTTGCCAATATTTCCTGGTGTGGCAAATGTGGGGATTGTCAACATGAAGATTGGTGGCACATCCAACTATAAGGGAGAAGCCAATGCCAGGGTTCACATCCTTTTCATCTCAAAGCCCCAAGATTACATTGTACATCATCCTCAAACATTTGGAGATATCCACTTAGCATTGATGCCACCAGATTGGAGGGATGCCTGCCTCCCACCCTACTCTCAAATGATGTTTTTGTGAAGAATGCATTGAGAAAGGTGGCACAGACAGCCATGGGAAAGCAAGAGGTGTTCTTATGGAGGCTCATTTTATGCCAGTGCACATGAAGTGAGTTCATGAAGAACATGCCACCCAGTACTCACCACTTGTCCAACAGAGCACTGTAGATGCTGTAGACTCTGTTGCTGGGCACCTCTTTGCACTTACCATTACTGATGATGGTCTGGACCCTGGTACCACTGTCAGTAAACTTTGGCACTCCTGCACTGATTTTCAGGCCATGGGTCCAAGCAGCAGCATGATAAGCAACCCACCCAAGGCAATCCCTTTAGATGATCTTACCAGTAGTCTGAGTTGCCTTACCCTTCATTCTCCTGGGCCTGCCATCACATCCCCCCCCAAAGACACCCTTGAGAGAGAATGGCTCTCACCTGACTCACCTGTTACTTCCACTACCCCCACTGTATCTGGTCATTGCAAGTTGTCAAGGAATGGCGATCATTGCACCATCAGGGCTCTTCAGATCCTTAGCAATATTGAATCTTGAATCCATTGCTGTCAGTGGCTCCTCCTCAATTCATCAGACCTCAGCTCTCTTGATGTCCAGCATGAACTTGTCATTCTATGCAAAGCAATTGATCAGGTTACTTGTTCCATGGAGTTGGTGGCTACATGCAAAAAGGCTTTATCTGCATTGTTGGATGAGGTCCAATCCAAGGCAAATGAACAGGTGCCTACACCTTTGCCTCAAGATCCAGTTGAGATTGACACAGGTGAGTATCTGGATGTTGTGATTTTTACCATTGCTGATGTTTGATTGTACAGGGAAGCAGTACTCACCACCAATCAAGTGAATGGATGTGATTGCCCAAGTTGCACTATTGCTAGGAGTTGTGTGCAGTATAATTTTTGGCATTGGCACTCCAGGTGCTAACTTTATTATGAACAGACTTTCCCTCTTGCTATACCTTGCCTTTCGGAAGCCAGATGGGACACTGAGTCATTCACATGAGACTGTGCTGAAGCAAATACCATCAACCATCAGTGGCATCTTGTCCAGGTTCCACCTTGCAGCCAAGACAGTGATGTATGCTGTCTGCAGCTGCCATTGCCTCTATGTGTTATGCCTGAGTGCGGTGACTTCTTCAAATGGAATAGGCACGAAGCACACAAGGTGGGAGTCTACAGGCTGAACTTGTTGTAACCCCTATGGCTGAGTTATTGCAATGATCCGACAGAGGTTCTGTCTGCTGGCGAGTCCCTAAGGTTGTTTGCATGGAGAGAGAACAAGGATTTGAGTGAAGGGATGAAGCTCAGTTGCAAGCTATCAAAAAACTGCAGATACAGGACAAAGTACATAGGATTATATACCCCTAAGTATGAGTACCTTGCCAGTCACGACAGACATGTTGCGACGCATATCCACAGTAATCAACAATCCCATCAATGAAATAAATAAGAGTCATACGGTGTCAAAGATGGGGGTAGGGAGGCAATGAAGGCTATACTGGCTGGCGCAATCAATGTGCAGCGAGGAGCCTGACACCAGAGCTATAGTACAACATCAAAGCAATAAAGATGAGTCAATGGAACAAGAAATGAACAAGTTGTCCATCAGAGAGGGCGGTGGAATACTGGATCACAGTGGCAACATGGTCTCAACAGGTATTGGAAATACCTTGACATTGGGAGATCCGAATGTTCCCTGGAGCATTCGAGCCCCTAGGATGGCGATGGTTATGAGGGACATGACGAGGCATGTGACACATGTGACCGCAAGAAGCTGAAAAAGGAATGACCCCTGATGGAAGTGTAACATCACCCCCCCTCTAAGGTCCTCAGACCCTTGAGGATGGGCTGGAAGTTGCGTTATGGGGGCGAGAGGATAAGGGTCGGCGAGTAGTATAGATGCAGGAATGTGTGCATGAGGATACGGGCAATGATGGCGATGGAGATGGCAGTTCTTTGAGGGCCAGAGTATAGCGGGATCCATGTCCGTTACGACATGACCAATGTCCCAGGTAACAGCATTGGTAGCAGGCGTGCTGGTAGAGGACATGGTCAGGCAGGATGGGGACCTGGCCTCCGAGGTAGAATTGTAGCTGATCAGCAAGTATGGGGATGAAGGGAGCTGGAGGGAGAGGGTCAGTGGTGTGGACAGCATTGTGGTAATTTTTGTGAATTCCAGCCCATGACGCATCCTGTAACAAGACCTCCCAGCCAGAGTTGTGAGTTCCCATACCAAGCTGAGCACCAACCTCCTTATAAAGATTGCTGGAGTCGATGAACCCTAGCTCAATGGTGCGCCACTGCTTCTCCTTCTCCTGATCTGTGATATCTTTGTTTTTAACTTCGAAGCCGATGGTTCTTCTTGCTTCGGTTTGATAT